ACAGTAACCTGTCTTGGGGAAATATCAGATACGAATGACGGATGGAGAAGTATGCATGATGGATGGAAATGCCGTCATCCTGTGCCATCTGCTCGGTCACCTGATCCGATGCTATTGCGCGGAGTAGTCATTTTAAAGTCCAGCACCCGAGAGTAGACGTGAGTGACACTTCGAATCTTCATAAGAATCATCGTCTTTTCGCGAGGCTCTCTCTGCAGATTCACCGCGCGGACATCGGTTTCGAAATGGGATTCGAATCCATGAATGAGGACAAAGCACAGGAGATGTTGTTGCACAGAAGAATCACGAGAACTCCTGCAAACACAACTTCAAGAATTTCGATTTTCCATTCCTACAAATGCACACGCTCTAAGTCTTCTTCGCCCTCTTCGTCGCCTTTTCTGATTGTACACCAGTCGCACTCGCACCCGCCTCGTCGCCCGCCTTGACCGGCACCCCCGGACTCGCCAGGGTATCCCTCTCGTCCCGGCTCGCGTTCTTCAAATCTTCATCTCCAACCGCCGTGATCGTACTCGCGAGCCACTTCTGAAACGGCTTGGCGACGAAGACCCCGTCCGCGGTGAACCACGTCGTGTAGGGCGCGCGGATCTGCCATGAGCTGGCCGTCGCGCCGGGGCCCGCGGTCGTCGTGACGTCGAGGTAGTAGGTGGGATCGTGCTTCTTCTGGGAGGAGAGGATAACGATCTGATTGATCATGCCGGGAAAAAAATGGGTCAGCCTGGGCGAGATCTTCGAAAATCGTCGCGGTCACACCGAGGACCGAGAATGAATTTTCTCTTTTCCACCCAACTTACCTTCTTCCCGTTCTTGCTGCCCTCAAATACCAGTCCCTTCTCTACCGCCCACATCCAGTACGTAAATCCTCCGTTCAGGACCGCATATGCTGCGACGGCGACGGCCGTCCAGCCCTTCGTCGCCTCCCAGCCCAGTTTCCAGTCGGCGTAGAAGATGACTCCGGCGATGATCACGGATACATAGCCCAGGGCTAACCGCACGTCCAGCTTCGAATTGTCCTGTTGGAAAGAGAGCCCGCGGAGGTAGTTCCCCAAGGCATCGTCGGTGGTGTTCTTGAGGTCGTTGAGGTTGTGTGGGGAGATTTTGGATTCGGCCATTTTCGTTTTCGAGGCACGCGACTTTGTAGGGTGGGAACCGGAGGGAGCGCTTCGAGAAGAAGTAATCAAGGGTCGCGATACTCGAATATCATGTTGCACGTCGCTTCGGTTGCATTGGACAGCTTCCAGCTGGCATTCTAAACATGACTCGCGTGTCGAGTTCATAGGGCTTGGCACGTCGCTTCAAGCTATCGGGACTTGCCTCATGTGAAGATGCCCGTGAGCTCAGTCACGACATCTCCACCACTGAACGACTCCTCGACTCTAGCCCATCATGGCTGGCTTGGTGGAACAGCAGATCCATCGGGATCCTGCACTCTTGTACGAGGCATCCCGGACGCCCCCATGACTCCTCTCAAGCATCGCTAACGTCGCTCTGCGGAAAACTAGCTACTGGATCCTGCTGCCGATCACCGTGGTGATGATCCTCACCGGCATCCTGCGACACTACCTTAGCACCCTGCTGCAAGTCACGCCGAAGAGACAGGCGATCGAAAAGACCCGCGAACGGAACTGGCTCCTCCGCGGCCAGAACCTCCGCAACAACCACGCACAAGTCTCCAAAGCCGCCTTCGAGAGGCGGAAGGACTACTTCATCGATGGCGCGAGGGAGGGGAAGTTCCTGGCGGACCCGGAGAACCGCGGGAAACCCAAGGGCAACCCGATGTCGGACCCGGCGATGATGGAGGGCATGATGGGCATGATGAAGGGGCAGGTCGCGACCATGGTCCCGCAGACTCTGATCATGGGCTGGATCAACGCGTTCTTCTCGGGATATGTCATCAGTACGGTCTATCGGGGTTTTCGCAACTTTCCTACAGGGTGAAGCACACGGCTGACTGATTTCCCTCTTTTGGCACACAGTGAAACTTCCGTTCCCGCTCACGCCGCAGTTCAAGCAGATGTTACAGGCGGGCGTCGGCACCCGTGACCTGGACGTGCGATGGGTGTCGAGCCTGAGCTGGTACTTCCTGACCCTGTTCGGTCTGCAACCCGTGTACAACTTCATCCTCGGGAGCAACAACGGTAAGACCCGTGGGATCACCACACGACGAGGATGACATCCGGCTGACGAATCCCCCCCTTCCCAGCCGCCACCCAACAGATGGCCCAAGGGCAAATGCCCGCCAACCCCATGGCCGGGCAAGAAGACATCGACAAGATCTTCGCCAGCGAGGCCGAGAACCTGGAGGTCATCGAGCACTGGTATATTCTGGACGGCGTAGAAGATAGATTACTCGCCAGGCTCGGGAACGGTTCATAGCGGGCTCTTCTGCAATTCATATGGTCGCTCGGTCTGTGTCATGATCATTGAACGCAGCGCAGGCTCACGAAATAGAAAATATCCCAGTTCAGAGAAGTTACCCGCACCCGCGAGACCAGGTTCATCAGTTTACTCCACCGACCAGCTTCCGATAAGTCTGCGTCGGTGCGGAGACGCAGGTTCGAAGACGGCCACTTGGACCATGACGTCCTCGCGACGACCGTGAACGCAACAACGTCTGTGGAGCCCCTCCGCGCTTGTAGCTCCCGTCCAGGATGGACCCGACGTGGAGATGTCGCAGCTCAGTGGGCCATGGCGTGGCATATGATCATGGAGAATGGAGGCGACGCGGCGGGTCACGGTGGTGGTGGAACGGTGGGCAGCCGAAGTGCAAGCCCGAGAGCACAGCACGGCGGAGGGCAGGGAGCTCGCGCGTCGGTATGATATGGTATGATAGGGAAGCATTCCAATCCCTTTGAAACAGACGAGGCCTATGTGGGACGGGTGGGGCCCGAGAAGTGAGGATGGGTGATGTATATTACAATGCAGGTGGTGCGGTCCAAATGATGGATGGATGATGGAATCATCAGATGGGCAGTTTGGGTCATCATGTGGTTTCGAAGGCAAAGCTTAAGCATTGGACCTCGCGGTAGTAGGTATATCTTTCCATCGATGCAGTCGCTGGCATGCCCCCTCTCGCATTACATTATGTGAAACTCAGATCGCGGTGACTTCAAATGCGATAGGACGTCGTCCCAGCGGTAGGGACATTCCCATTGAGTCTCCTTAAAGGTATAGCTTCAGAAATGTTGCACAAAATCGCGCGATCCATGAGACTTGGAGTGTTTTATCATTTCATTTCAACTCAATCAGTGTCATTGACCGGGAAGCCCATCCAGAGACAACTGTTTCACGGGCAATGATCGACATTGTCACTCGCTCCAGAGGAGATTCGAGGCGTCGCCCTGATGCAATGCAATGCCACTCCGTGCAGACTACAGTACGCTTTCCAGGTCACGATCGAAGACACCTGAGCGCGCCGAGGATCGTCACGTAGCCAAGCAAGCGCATCGGGGAGGATGTTTGTCGATGGGCGATCGCAGCAGGCAGCTTCCGGGGGTTACGAGTGGTCCATCAACCGGACGGGACCAGGCCGGCGGCTGTCCTTCGCTCAATGGCGCACATCAAAAAGTCCTCGCTCGTGGACATCGTCGGCGACGCGGAAGGTCCGGGCGATTTGCCAGAGTGCCCAGGAGGATCGCAGGCCACTCGGACAGACGGGTCGCGGGGCGCGAAGACTTCTCTCGGCTCTCCCCCGGCGAGGTTTTGCGGACTGGAGGCCATGGCTCTGCATGCGGTCATCTATGTATCACTCTGCTATGCATCAAATGTCTCGCCTGGCGGGTAGATTCGGACGCTGGCGAAATGCGACTCCGTTTGAGGGAGACGAGATCTCCAGCCGGGCCGCTGGGAAGGGATCGATCGAGGACGACGTTGAACTGGCGAAGGCCGCCGAATGTTTCGGGGGAGGAGGAGGAGGAGGAGACATGTTTAGTCTCTGTGTCCATAGTCTAATGCGTATAGATGATGATGTAGATAGGCTCACGATGTCTCGGTCAAAGGACAGAGAGTTGAGTTTTACCTTTCAGAGTTCAGACCGTCCTCGAGCCACGGACCGACCGTTATTCTTCTCACACTCTTTCTCACACACCCTCACGACTCTCTCCCGCGTATGCTCTCCCATAGTTTCCCGCCTGCACGCGCGCAGAGCACGCTACCTGCTCCATGCATCCGCGCGGAGTTCCCCATTTCGAGACGTACATCGACGTGTGTATCATCCGACAATTTGCCCAGGTGTTCGTCAAACGAAACAACCACGTCAACGGAACCTTGGGACAGGCTGATCACGAGAATCGATCACTTTGGGCCAGCGTGGAGGAGTCGAGAACGTTTTCTTGGGTGGGAAGGCGCCGGGGAGGGAACGTTTCCGGTGACATTTATTTATTCATCACGGGCGTTGCGGCACCGTACCATGGAGGCGCGCCGAAAAGGGCTCTGTTTCGTTGTCGTTGTCATCATCACTTTCGCCCACCGCCTCCCGTATGATGGACCGGCCAGAAATGGCAAGGCACGGCAAGGCAAGGCGACGTGACGCCCGCAGCCGCACGCGAAAAAAGGTGCAAAAGGGAAGAACAGGGAGACAAAGAAGGCAAAGGCTGGCTCAGGGTATTCCGGTTCAACAGATCCGGCATGCAAAACGACGCCCATTCCTCCCGCCTGCATCGGGCTTGTCTAACACTGGAATGATAGTAATAATAATAATAATAACAATAACGACGCGTCACGGCCACGAACCGTATATTATTATCATCATCATGATTATCATTAGTATTACTGCACGACGCTTGGGCAGGTCCCCCCCGTCTCGCCGGCGGAAGGCATCGCGCCCGTCATCATTGTTGTCATCAATCGATTTGATTTGATTTGATTGATGGATTGATGGATTGATGGATTGATGGATTGATGGATTGATTGATTGATTGATCGGCTGACGAATTGATTGATGGATCGATGGATTGGTTGATGAATTGATTGATCGCTGCCCTCTCCGCCGTGTTCGTTCTGGTCAGCCTGCATCGGCAAGTCCGCCCGCTCGGGGCGATGGATTTCGTCCATCTGCTCTTTTTTTGTCTAGGATGTCGCAGGCCGACGCCTCTGGACCAACTGCGACAGAACACGACCTGCTCGATGATGGTGATGATGATGATGATGAGGATTATTACTACTACTGATTGGGGTGAAACTCTGTTTTCGCCGCCGGTGGACAAGTCGTCCACCGTGTCTCACCTGGGATCGGGTCAGGTCGGTGGGCGAACATGGGCGGAGGAGGGTCTGCTCTGCTCTGCACCTCAGAGAGCGCGAATTCCTGCCCGTCCTGGCCCCGGCCGACACCACCCATCGTCAGACAGACCCTCGACCTCGTCGCCCATATGTATCGATACACTCCTCCCACCGGCCGTCGGTCTCATGACGGGTGCGAGATAAATGTCCACATCTCCACCGTTGAAACCTGTTCTCGCTGACCCTTTCACCTATCCGCCTCACGTATACGGTTGCAGAAAGGGAAAGAAAGAAAAGACGTTTGGTGCCAAATCTCCTACTCACGCGTCCAGCCGCCTGTCGGATGGATTGAGGTTCCCGCTTGCTGTACCTGTACCTGGAACCCATCCGCTGCACGTCGCGACGCCCTGCGTGATTGCTACCCAGAAGAATCTCCGGTTGAACAGGAGACACCAACACATATCGGTTGATTCGCCGACCCGCCTTCTCCATTCCCTCTGGCTGGCTGGCTGGCTGGTTCCGGTGTTTGACTCTTGGTACCACTCGAGTCTTTTTCTTCATCACCTCGAGAAAAAGATTTGCATTTCCCTTTCGTATCCCAACATCCACAAACATCTACACGTCCGACCTCCAACCTCATCTATCACGACGTACGACTTGCACGACCATATCAAACCCGTATCATAATTAATATCAGCCTCGACAAGAACAAGAAGAACCCCACTCCCATCCGAGCCATCTCCAAGAACCAACGCTCCAAGCAAGAGAACCAACCATCAAAGACAAAATGGCTTCGAGCACGACAAGCCCATCGCCCTTCTCGCCCTCCCAACCCACGACTTCCACCCGGGACTCCCTCCAACGCCTACGGACGTCCTTTTTCGCCATCCCGCACACATCCTCACCCACGGGCGTCTCCCCCTCGACGTCTTTCATCACCTCGCCCCTCAGCAGCATCAGCAGCGCCGCGGGCCACCACTTCCCGGGCCTGACGCTCAGCCAGAACCTCTCCTCGCTCTCCATCGGCGCCAGCAGCGGCAGCCGGAACGGCAGCGTCGACTCCTCCAGCCGCTACCTCATCCGGCGGAAGAAGAGCATCATGGAGATCGAGCAGGACGAGGAGCGGTCCCTGCTCTCCGAGGAACTCATCTTCTCCCTCATCGAGCCTCGACCGCGTTTCGGACCCGCGCTCGGCGGCATCGAAGAGGTCCTCAGCGGGAGGATCTGAAGCGTGCAGGCGCGATGAGCGATGGTCGGGCGGAGACGCTCCCGTCACGCCGCCGACCCCACGGCCCTCGAGGGGGCCCGACCGGACCAGAAGGGACATCTTCTCCTCTGCTCTCGACGCCGAAAGGGGAGAAAATCCCCTCTCGTCCCCGAAAAGGAGCTGCCGCGTAGATCGCCGCGGGATGTCGGTCCTCCTCCTCCTTCTTCTTCTCTTATGTTCCATGTTCCCGTGGGCCGCGAAGGTCGAGACGGGATCTCTCCCCGTCCGGAACCTTGCCTTTTTCGAGTAACGGCGTTTCTGCTTTCTTCTTCTTTTTGGCCTTTGCAGGGCGGGCCGCCGGGGTTGCTGTGTGATCGGGAACGAGCGAGGTCCCTGGATTGATGAATGCGGGATGAAGTCCCATCACCGCTCGTGGGCACGGGTTCGGTTCGGTCGGAGGCGTCACGGATCCGCGTGGTCTTGGGGGTTTCTTCTTCTTCTTCTCCTTCTTCTTGTTTTCTCTTTTCCCGGGCAGCGGGGATTTGTCCCGTTTTCCGGACGGCAGAGAAATGATAGTGCTCAAAAACAATGAGAGAAAAAAACGTTGAAAACCGTGCCGACTCCCAGTACAGTGTCCCTCTAATGAATCTCTATCGATGCAGTAAAATTTTCCACGGAAAAAAAGCAGACCGGCGATCTGCCATGGGGGAAAAAAGCCGTGCTTCACTAACACAAATACCCGCCTCATGGGAAAAATGCTCAAGTCTTCTTCGTCCCTTCCCGTCGTTCCATCACAGGAAAGCGATACGCGCGCTCACTCGAGATCTTCCGGGTCGAGCTTCTCCCCTCGTCGCTCCGCCAGGTACAGCCGTCCGCTCTCATATACGCCCAGGTACAGCCCGCTCCCCAACATCGTCCACGCCGCCCGAAGCGCGCCGCCGCGGAAGAGGCCCTTCACGCCATGCTCCTGCAGGATCTCCCGCGCGATCTGCAGGCTGGTCGAGCGGGTCGATTTGCGTACGGCGCTCTTCGCGCTCTCGACGGGCCTCGCGACGGCCTCGAGGGATTTCCCCGTCGCGTCCAGCAGCGCGTCTTTCGCCCGTCCGACCGCCTGGCCGACGCTGGGCGCTTTCGCTTTCCCTCCTCCTTCTCCTCCTCCTCCGGGTTTCTGCCCCTCCGCCGCGGAATCCTCCGCCGCGGCGGACAGCATGATGCGCGTCTTGATCACGTCCACCGGCGTCGTGACCACCGCCGCGACGCTCCCGCCGAGGCCCGCGCTCACCGCCGTGATCCACCCGCTCTCGAAGAGGGAGTGCGTCCGCAGGCCCTTCTCGTCCCGGTATCCCTTGATGCCCTCCTTGATCCGCTCGAACATGGGGAACTGCAGCGCGGTGAAGGGCAGGTTGCGGCCGGCCAGCGCGGCGTAGCCCCGCCACAGCGCGAGCGGGTTCGAGCGGAAGCGCCGCAGCGTCTGCATCGTCGCGTTCACCCGCGCCCGGTCCGAGGAGGAGTTGTCGACCACCTGCGCGTTCTGCTTGATGACTTCGGCCGGCGTGAGGATCGCGCAGGAGATCAGCTCGGCGGTCCCCGAGGCGATGGCGTGCACGATCGGCGCCGGGAGGAAACCCTTGGACGACGACGACGGCGAGCCGTTGAGGGACGGGTTGTGGTTGGAGATGACGGACTTGACGCCCTCGTACGTCGTGAAGAAGGCTCCCGAGGAGGGCAAAGTCGCGATGATCACGCTCCCCACGCCCTGGTATACGCCGCGGAACATGGCCGGGCTGAAGGCCGTGTTGCTGCCATTGCGGTACAGCCGCGCGTAGTCCGGGCTCTGGAAGCGGGTCTTGATCGTGTCGAGCGGATAGACGACCAGGTCGACGGTGAAGGCCGCGAAGGCTCCGGCTATCCAGATATCGACATTGTTGTTTGCGGACATCTACTGCGCAGGGAGGGGAGAGGTTGGTGGGTAGGTGGGTGGTGTGTGAAGTGGAATTCTGCTGCGGCGGTTTTCCCAGGTCGTTTATTCTTTCCAATGCTCACTCGATGGGGATGTGAAGCTTGAACTGCCGATGTCGGGTATCTACGTCATCAAGGTGTCGACACTCGATTACGAAGTATACCGTACAGAGCTGCTGTCGTCGTGAGAAGTGCTCCGTAATTGCAACCCTAATGCTTTTCTAGCTGTAAAAGGTATCACCAAGTGAAGTTCAGATGAGACGTGCAGTACTGCTCATGAGGATCGTGACGGATGGGGATGTTGTGCAATTTCTCATCATTGTGGTGATCCCTAGAGAATCACGTGTGCAAATTGGGCATAGATTAGATGACAAGGTGTTTGGGTCATGGTCTGTATTGCCTCAGCCATTGACCTTCTGCGAACGTCGAAGATCTCGCTCCATGTTACTGGCAAGCCTTACGCGCTTTAGCTATACCAAAAAATAGACTTTGCAGCAGTCATCGACCGATGTCCTTCACCATATTTCTGGCGCGACCGACCTAGGCGTAGTCAACTCAACCAATTCGGGCTTCACGCTCCGTTCTCGTGATCGCTTCGAGTCCACACCCCAAGTCTGATGGGAAAATGAATGACGAGTAGTCCAAAATGTCCACCCAAAAGCGCGGTCGTGCTTGCGAAGCCTGCTCGCGAATCAAGACGAGGTGCAGCCTGGGCACCGATCCCGAAGCATCACTGCCTTGCGAGCGATGTCTCAGGCTGGACAAGATATGTACTCTGACCAAGCCTCAACGGCAGAAGTATGTGTAGTAAATGTTGGACACGGTCATGGTTGGCGACTCTGGCAGTACGATCAGTGCTGATGTCATGACAGAGACCGCGTTCAGGAGCTGGAAGCCAAAGTCGCCGCCCTCACAAGACTGCTCCAAGCCCAAGGGATCACAGAACCCGATACCAACCCCGATGATGCTGTTGAAGGTCAAAATGAAACACCCAAGACGACTGAGTCCGACAAGCTTCCATCGCCGCCGGCTGCACAAAAGAAACGGAGGCTGGAGACGAGCCTCGATGAGGGCAGGTCCTCCTCCGCTTCACAATCGAGTCCTCCTCAGGGCTTGTCCGGCGACAAGGCTGGCTCGCTGCAGTCATTGGATGCGATAGTGCCTGTTCACCTACAAGCATTGTGTCTTAGCCGGTACATAGATGACTATGTACGCATATGTCCTTTGGTCGTCCCAACAGGTGATTGCTCGTTTGAAACGATGAGAGCAAACCGACCTATCCTGCTTCACGCCATCATCTTCGCTGCAAGTCCTGGTTTATTATTTGACCAAATGCAAGAGGACATCGGTCAAGCCCTGCTGCATACTTTGTCACACAGAAGTATTGTTGAGGGTGAAAAGTCTATAGAAATCATGCAGGCTCTGCTCATCACCACTGCGTGGTTCCGTTCGCCAGCAAAGCACAAACATCTAGCCGCTGCTCAATTGATCGCCATAGCCGAAGGAATGGCCATTGATATTGGCATTGCAGACCCAGCATCGGCACGATTTTCGATGGCGATCACGGCCCACGGACAAGATATCAGCACCGTGGAAGCGGCAGCAACATTCCTTGTTTGTCACCTGATGTCAACTCTGTTAGCTGACCTTTCGAGGCGTGCCACGAGGACCCCATGGTCTGCATATCATGACACATGTTTGATGTTCCTCCACGCCTCCGGCTCGACCCTACCCACCTATCGTTGGTTGATTCATTATTGTCGCTCCGAGCGGCTCTGCGCTCAGATATTGAAGGAGATTGGCCTGAACGACTCGACTAAGGTTTACGACATCAGCGACCGAGATTTCCAGCAACAGGTTCGGCATTGCAATGTGATGATTTCGGAGTGGAAAATCCTTCTTCCAAGCACACTCTACGTCCCCGAAATTCTGATCTGGGAGCACGTGGCGACGGCATATCTTCATGAGACGCTCCTGCACACCACAACTAATCAACAGTCCTTCGCAGCGCCCTTCATAGCTGATCGGCTGACCGCTCTGGACTTCCCACGCCCCGTGATTCGCGAAGACCACGTAACCTCTCTATTCGCACTGCGCTCAGCTCTACATAATATTATCGACCTCTACGCGCACATGGACACAAATAAGGTCATGGCCTTGCCGGTGTTATCATACACCTCGCGAGCACTCTATGCGCTCTACATGCTTCTCAAACTGTACGTCGCGACAACGGCTCCTGGCAACACCTATGGCAGTGTACTTGCGCCGGAAAGCCTCCAACTGGACACGTACTGTGATAAAATTATGTCCTTATGGAAGCGCCTGAGTCAGGTTGATCCCAGATCGGGGCCCGCCCGAGTGACCTCGGCGGCAGTAACACTGCGAGAGTATTACATCAATTACTTGGTTTCGAACCCCACTATTCAATCACGCACATCTTTCCCATCCGCCGCGACCGAGATGCCTGTCGGAGACGGCGTTCCGGCAGAAAACATGAACATGTCGACGAACTCATTCGATTATGATGCAATCGACTGGAGTCTGTACTTTCCATTACCTCTGGACGATGGAGATTTCTTCGCCAATGAGATGGATTCTATTATGACCCAAGGACTCATGATGCCGGGCATCTCTGAGCGGAATGATCTAATAAATTTGTAACATCCGTGCTGGTGTGGCCTAGGCTTTTAATGGTCACAGATGGATTCCTACGGATACAATGCGACCGGGATTTCTTCCAGGACAATTTTGCCGACCATGACGCACAGAGCCCACATCGGAGACTCCAATCCGTGCCTCAGAGAGTTCATCGTCTCCCTCTTGCCGGTGCCGATAGCCGTGCAGTAGAGTCTACTGTGAGTGAGTGTACACAACAACTACATGCCCATCATTAGGGTCGAGTCCTGGTCGATTTCCAGAACCCTTCCATTTCCGGTGCAAGCCATAGATAAGGAACTGATCTCGCTCCCACCTCTGCCAATCACAACTGCCGCGACGGAAAAGAACGGGCGGTCCGGGCGAGTCTGTCGCGTGGCGGCCACAGCCAAGAGGTTCGAATTCGGGAAAGTCTTCGCGTTTGCAGCGTCGAGTCGGGGTCGAATTACGCCTCCTCCCCACCTGCAGCGGCGAAGCCCTAGGACGCCAGACGGGAATGATACGCACGATCGCTTCGGACCACCCACGCGACTGGCACTCCAACAACCATCGGCCGCCGACGGCGAAGTGATGCTCGGGACCCTCCACCGCCAAAGTACCCAAGTACCTGGGGAGAGATAATCAGGCTGACTCGATAGGATTTGATAACTGGATAATTTTGTATGGTGGTGGGCCAGGCGTCTGCCGCACTGCAGTGTGGTTCCCGCGCAGATCTGGTGGCTAATCTTTCGCTATCTGGTATCTCGTCTGCATTGTCCATGGCTTGTGTGTGGCATCGGATGATCGTTACATCGACGTGAAATGCGACGAGCACAGCAAGACAATGATCTGGGTCGTGCTGTATACTTCCTTTTCAACCTTGAACTCCGCGGCCGCTCCTGAGTTCATGGGAAAAGACATATATATGATCGCATCGCCAACTTTCGACAAGAAGATCTCGCTACCAGAGCACTTTCTCAGACCATCCGATTCGGTGAACCCACCAATCACAGTCCGCAGGAAATTGATCATTCGCAACCTCACTCTCTCATGCACTGAGAGCCATTGCACATCTCTTCTATACTACCCAAGTCGTTACCCCTTCACCTGGCCTCGCCGGTCAATCCTCACCACATAACAATCACGATGCGATCCTCCAAAGTCTCCCGCTTCTTCGACAAGCTCGCCGTCGAAAGCGAGCCGGGCCTCACCTCCAAGCAGCTGATGCTTGCCAATGAGGATCTAAAACCCGTGGAACCCGAGCGCCGCCAATGGGGCGCCATGAACTTCGTCGCATTCTGGATCTCGGACAGTTTCAACATCAATACGGTTGGTGTTCAACCCTGTTCCGAAGTCAATGGCAGAACGTTCCCATTTCTCTGACAATGATCCCAAAAGTGGATGATCAGCTCTGCTGCTATCCTTGATGGACTGAGTTGGTGAGTCTACTGTTTTCAATCCTCGATGCTTTTCATATTCATTTGCTGACGATGATTCAACACAGGTGGCAGTCATGGCTCTGTATGTCGCCGAATATTCAATGACGCCCGTGAGTTTTCGACTAATTGATTCTCGCCTGTAGGTGTCTGGATCGGCTACTCCATCGCTGCCTGCTTCATCTGCATGACCGGTCGCATCGGTGCCAAGTACCACATCTCGTTCCCCGTCGCCGCCCGTAGCTCCTTCGGTATCTGGGGCTCCCTCTGGCCGGTCCTCAACCGTGCTGCCATGGCGTGTGTCTGGTACGGTGTCCAGGCATGGATCGGTGGCTCCTGTGTCTCTTTGATGATCCGTGAGTCTTACCTCTCGTCGACACTTTTCGAGGTCACTGGCTGACACTTTGCAGGGGCAATCTGGCCCTCCTGGTTGTCATATGGATTGACTGGTAGCAACAACACGATCCAGGGATCCAGTGTGTTGAGCACGATGGACTTTGTCTCGTTCTTTCTGTTTTGGGCTGGATCTTTACCGTTCCTCTGGTACGTTCACCCTGTTTCCACCGTCAATGGTCGAGTCCTCTAGTCTACAAACTCAAATTCCCGAGTCCTGAACTCGAGTCCTCGAGTCTACAAACTCGAATTCCCGAGTCTTCAAGCTCGAACTCCCGAATCTTCAAACTAACGAAATATTCAATCAGGTTCCCCGTTCACAAAATTCGTCATCTATTCACAGTCAAGGCCTACGTCGTCCCCACCGCTGGTGTAGCGTTTTTCATCTGGGCTGTCGTTCGCGCAAATGGCATCGGCCCGATCGTCAAACAACCCGCGTCCATTGGCGGGACAGCTCTCGCATGGGCGATGGTAAAGGGAATCATGAGTTCAATCGCCAATTTCGCAACTTTAATTGTTAACGACCCCGACTTCTCGCGCTTCGCGAAGAAGCCGAGTGATGCCTTCCTACCTCAACTCATCACCATCCCCGTTGGTTTCGCCTTGACTAGCTTCATCGGCATCATCGTTGGATCGTCCTCCACCGTCATCTTCGGCAAACCAATCTGGTCTCCCCTCGACCTTATGAGCAACTTCCTCAGCGAGGAGAACGCTTCCGGTGCCACCCGCTTTGGTGTCTTCGTCCTTGCCTCCGCCTTCACCCTCGCCCAACTCGGCACCAACATCGCCGCCAACTCCGTCTCCGCCGGTACCGACATGACCGCACTCCTGCCCCGATGGCTCAACATCCGCCGCGGAAGCTACATCTGCGCACTTCTCGGCCTGGTCATGTGCCCCTGGAACTTCTTCGCCAGCACCAACAACTTCACCACCTACCTGTCCGCCTACTCCGTCTTCCTCTCCAGCATCGCAGGCGTCATGATCTGCGACTACTACATCGTCCGCAAAGGCTACCTGCAGACCCGCGATCTGTACAGCGCTCTCCCAAGCGGCCCATACTACTACACTCTGGGTGTCAACTGGCGCGCCTACGCAGCGTATATTGCGGGTATTCTGATCAACGTCGTCGGCTTCGCGGGCGCCATTGGTGTCGAAGTCCCCATCGGCGCGACATACATTTACAACGTCAACTTCTTCAGCGGATTCATCGTCGCCTCGGGTTCTTACTGGGCATTGTCCAAGTTCGCCCCGGTCCCAGCGTGCAGTGATCGATGGATGGAGGTCGATGAGGATTTCCTTGGTGGACAGACCTTGGCCGAGGGAGCGCTGCCCGCGGATGTTTCGGATGAAGAGAAGGGCGTTGTGTACCCGAACAAGATGGACCTTCCCAAGGGAGTGGTTTGAATGCTCTTCTGGCTACGGAAAAGCGGTGTCTGCTGTACTGTTGGTGTTGTTGTTGAAATGTATTTTTGGAGCGAAATAACGAATTCACGATTTATTGCATCATGAAGAGTAACTATGATCATTCATATACCTTGCTGTTACCTTGAAGTTGAACCATAGACTGATGTGACTAAGGCGAATAACGACAAAAGTTCGTCCATCACCCTTACAACTATCCGGAGCCATCAGATGATCGCTCGTATTCAACCCTTCAGCTTTTCCGACCAGCAACGCGCCCGCTTCGAGTACTTATGCGTGCGACAGGTGCGATATCAACAGGTTTTCTAAATCGCCGCCTGGGATCCAGCGAGACTGCCAATGTGTGCCTCTCAGGTGCCTCTGATTCGACCTCCGACAGCTGAGATTCTTCATCGGACAAGCCATGGTGGATCGTAGATGCCTGTGCCACAACCGACAAGGACTTTTGCAATGGAAAGTTGTCAATCGTTTTCCCTTCGCAATTGTCGCATATTTCGGAAAGCTCCGCCATTGTGGTTGCAGCAGGCCGCGATGTCGCTACTGTCGCTTTGTCGGAACTAATGATGCTCGACATGGGCTCGATCTCTGAGTCGCACATCTCACGAACAACGCGTGGGTTGCGGTGGGTGCTGGAGCTGTTGTCGCTGCCTTGGCTTCCGATGACGAAGCGTCGCCACATGTCCTCATCGGCGACAGTCTCGTTACGAAAATCTGTACGAGGGGGTATGAGATTGACCAACCTTTGAATCTGCTGGAGAGAAGCGGACGGCGAGAGACCTCCGTGGCTGGTTACTAAAACGCTCTGATCAGCAGAAGGTGTTGGTCTGTTCTGAGACCTCTGCGCTTCATAGGTCTCAGGTTCCTCGGCTCTCACGTGGTCCTGCTCGAGCAATACTTTCTGAGGGCTCGGACGTGCTGCAGGTGGGATCATTGTCGATGCCGTGAGATGTTGGCTTGAAGAACGCAGTACTACTATTGAGACTTCGCTGTAAGGATCCGGATCAACTTCGAGGAACTGTCGCCAATTCTGCTCGTCCATCTCAACGCTGTTTACAACAGGAGATGGCCTTGCAAGACTTGGCGCTGTGGCAATATGTAAACTCTGATCTTGGAGAGGCGTGCCACGATCGGGCCTCGATGGCTCCCGAATGAACAGGTCACAAGACGCGATCTGAGGTACATTTGCGGACGGCGCTGCTGGAGGTGACGGTAGAGATAGTAGCTCACCGGGTATGGCAGGAACCGTCACCGAGTCTTCCAGGCTATCGATGTCTGCATGGCCACCGAGCGCGAGATGATGTTCTCTCGCATGCACATCAGCGATGTCTTGAACACATTGATCACTACAGACCCCAAGCCATTCGTTCGGATCAGTAACACGTGTAAGGCCGCCACTATCGATAGGACTAGGTCCACTCATATCTCCCGAAGGCAGTCTATAATGACTGGAGATATTGCGAATATGGGTCGTTGCCGGAGTTCTGGAGATTCGAGATGGTAGTGTCTGGCTCTCGAATGCATCTGTACCAATTTTAACTCTGATTTCATCATCAGCCGGTGGTACCAAAGCTCCGCTCATGAGATGCTCCTCGAAAAACGGACACTCTGCAAAAAGAGGGGCCTCTTGTACAGCTACTGGCTGCCTGGCACGAACAGAATTTGTACGTCCGACCTTGCGTCTCTTGCCGATGGCAGCTTTGTCTTCGTGTGTGGGAAAAGCGATCTGGAGTGGTCGGGCTGCGGACAGCCCCAACCAATCGTTTTTCGCTTTCAATTGCTGTCGACAGACCTCGAGAGCATCGTCGCCGGTATGTTGCTCACCAGGGAACCTCGAGATGGATTCGGCATGTGAGCGCTTCCTCGAGTTCTTTGATCGTGTCTGAGAAGCGATAGAGGCCGAGCGTGATCGCTCTGACCAACTTCTATTGCTAGAACGACTTTGGCTGGTAATCTATCCACTGTCAGCTCGTTGTCCGCTAGATATTGCTCAACATCGATCTGGTTGTACCTGTATCGTTTCGTACTCGTTTCCAGCTGCCTGGTCAGCCTTATTGTAGTCAGGCCGGAAGTTGCGAAGGGAAGTCGATGGGGCAGAAGAACGCTTCAAGACAGCTGCTCTGGCTTTGGCGAAGTGAGCTCGTTGCTTTTGCAGAGTGCTATTGCCTTTACGATCGGCAAAACGCCGCTTCGAACCTCCTGTCCAGTCCATTTCGAAAAGCTCAACGCCGTCAATGAAACTTGTGTTTCGAGAGCTTGGTTGTGTCATGAGGCAAAGGACGAGGTGAGGTCGGGCGACAAGAATGCCGACAACGCGGAGCAATCAGTGTAGCACAAGTGTTGTGAGGACATCACCTCCGACGTCTAAAATACAACAATATCACTTCAACCGCGTCTACAACGCTCTGAAGCTATTTGAATTCAATCTCCTCCAACTGCAGTATTCGATGAGTTTTTTCTCGGCTCCTCAACATCAGCCGCCTGACCACGCAACCACCGGAGGCTATTCTCAGTCACCTTCCCTAGTCACAGTCAAACAATCGGCTTACGGAAACGGGCAAATTGCTTTGCAATCGTCTTTGAAGTCCTCGAAAGGCAGCGAGGCTGTTGGGTTTTGATTGCAAGGATTGTCATCCAAGTAGTATCGCGGCTCGGACAATTGATCATGAGCCGTGGCCACGGAGGCTGAATGCAGTCACAAGGTCTAGGAACGGCAACCCGAGCCGAACGCCTGATGCAGCCCTCGCAGCACATTGTGGACATTCATGAGTGGTCGGAAGCTCCATTGTTGGGCCTAATTGAAGGATTGATTGAGCACGGTGCGGACACGAGTCGGGACAAGATGTGGTACACACTGTAGACGGCCTTTCGAAAAGGCACCCGATGTCACTCATTAGAAGGACGGACAAGAGTTCTGCTGCACGATGAGATCACCTCGCATGCTTGAGCGCTGCAGCATGCAGAATTTAGCATCAACGCGTGGAAAGAACGACACCCATCAAACGAAATCCGTCATTTGGAAAGCGCATGAAAGCTGACGACAAGGATCGTGTCGGGCAAGATGGTGTGAAAGTGCTGGAACGGGGTATCCTTTAACAACTCGCGTGATGAAAGTCGGGAGAGAGCATCTACCATTTGATAAGACGACTCAACAGTTCAATTCGCCATGCACAGTTCACTGCCATGTTGTGGACATCACGCGACCGGAGCTTCACGTTGTCTTGTGAAGAAATTCACTCAATTGGCAAGTAAACATCTGCGATAAGTGGCTTCTCCCGACGTCGACAAGAAAAATGTAGGACAAAGTGAGAATTGACTACCAAGGATCTTACAATCGGGCGACATCGGTCTGAGAAATTGTTCTTTGCAGGTCGAAATTTCGGAAAACAACGGAGCAGAAATGCCGCTGGTGTGCAACGGGCCCACGCCGATCATGTCAAGCACATGGCTCTCTTGCAGATTAGGCACAATATGCCTCATTGCACGTCCTGCTCGGCAAGACAGATTTTGGTCGTCAGGACGCTGTGATGCCTACTGAGCAATCGTTGATAAAAACCGGAATCGCCAGCAACGGTTACAGCTTGACGAAATTATTTACATGTTGCGGGCTCAGCCAAAATCCTGGCCGATGCGAGCCCAAGCTGAGTATATTTTGCACAACACAAATTGGAACGGTCACTGGGCCGTCTCCGAAATTTGCCCCACTCACATCTCCCCCTCAAAATGGTTTCACGTGCGATTTAACGCGTTGGACGATCGGCAACAGACGAGCGATGATGTCGCTGCCGAGATGGTGCCGAAGCGATCGTCCCGTGGTTGAGCCTATGAAACCCACCAGAACAATTGCTCGGAGTGAGGAAGCATTGATTCCAAGGCCAGGGACTGTTTCACTTCCTGTGAGCGAGTGCTGGATACGACGACAAGACCGATGGCAAGCGGCCGCGGTGAAAGGATGAAAATGATATCGGTAGTCGGAGCAAAGATAGGGCAGGAACACCTCCAAAGCCCCACTATCATTGGAGGCACCTCCTGCATGTATTACCAAAATTATTACCACCACCATCATCATCATCATCATCATCATCACATCAACAGAAACTCCTCGTTCGCGTACACAAGCAGATCTAATCTCACCCCGACTGCTCGCAGGGTCGGCGCGAGCTGGTCCTTATCACATCTCGGTCCAGTTCTCTTTTGCCTGTGCTGTTCTGTGATCGGACCTGCAACTCCCGACCACAGATTTAACCTTAACCTCATTCTCATGTCGAGCATTTCCGACTAGTGGCCGGTCTGAATCTGAGCCCATCCATGCGCCATTTAGGCGCCTATGCTGCTCAATGATGTCCATGGCCGAATTGGGTTCAACCGTTGTGATCAGCGTCATCATCGTCACGAACGCGCCGTGCATCCTCGTCGTCCTCCACGAGGTTTTAGTGGCCTTCACTGGGTCGAAGGAGGGGTGTCCCTGGTCTCCAATCAAACATTGCGCCGAGCCCATGGCCATCCGAAAGGTAGGATGTGATCATCGCTTCCGTGCAGTCACCGCATCGAACTACTTTCTATATCGTCCGCGCAGTATTCCTCTTGACTCACCCTTCAACTGTTTCTCTTCCCTACTTCTCTCCCTTTCGCAAACCTATTCCTCATTTCCTCTCATATCTATTGATCAGTAGAAAGTGTTCCGAGCCCTTCCTCTGCACTTGATCTCCTCCAGTATCATCGGACCTGGGTGTGACTCCGACTTCAGACCGACAAGATGGCAGACAAGACTATCAATATCCCTTCGCGGCCCGGAGCTCAGAAGGTGCGAAGAGTAAGCTCTGAGGATGTGACCTTAGACTCACTCAACGTGCGCGGCCCAACCGTGGTCGTGCCACCAGAGCTTCTGTCAAATCCCGGTGGTGCCAGTGAAATCGCACTGGCTATGGAAATGGCCCGTCTGGAGATCGAAGACGGCGAATCTGGAGAATCTCCTTCTACACCTCCGGAGACCACAGTCACCGACAAATTCGCATTTGCTTTCGACATTGACGGTGTACTCATTCGTGGTGGTCGACCGATCCCGGAGGCTGTCGAGGCCATGAAGGTGCTCAACGGCCAGAATCAATGGGGAATCAAGGTCCCATACATCTTCGTTACCAACGGAGGAGGCAAGACTGAGCAAGAGCGATGCATCCAACTCAGCAAACAGATGGAGATCGAAGTCTCACCCGGTCAGTTCATCTGTGGACACACACCAATGCGGGAAATGGCCGAGAAGTACAACACCGTTCTGGTCATCGGAGGAGAAGGCGAGAAGTGCCGACAGGTGGCAGAGGGATACGGTTTCAAAGACGTCGTTACTCCCGGGGATATCATCAAGGACAACCCGGACACCACACCATTCCGCAAACTTACACAGGAGGAGCTGGACAACTCCCGTGTCCGTGATTTCAAGACCACCAAGATCGAAGCCATCTTCGTCTTCGCAGACAGCAGAGACTGGGCGGGCGATCAGCAGATCATCCTCGATGTGCTCATGTCCAAGGGCGGAGTTCTCGGCACACGTTCGGCGACCTTCGACGAAGGCCCACCAATCTTCTTCTCCCACAACGACGTCGTCTGGTCCGCATCTCACGACCTGACTCGACTAGGAATGGGCGCTCTCCGGCTCTCCGTCGAAGCGATGTTCAAAGCCGTAACCGGCAAACCTCTCGAGACAGTCGCCTTTGGCAAGCCCCAAATGGGCACCTTCCACTTCGCCACCCGTCTACTAAAGCAATGGCGCAAGGACACCCACGGCATCGACGCCCCACCGGAGACGGTCTACTTCGTCGGCGACACCCCCGAATCGGACATCCGCGGCACCAACGAGTTCAACACGACCTCGGACAACACCTGGTACTCGATCCTCGTCAAGACCGGCGTGTACGAGCCGGGCACCGAGCCGCGCTACCAACCTCGCGTCATCGTCGACCACGTCCTCGACGCCGTCAACCTCGGCATCCAGCGCGAACAACAGCGCGAGCAGAAGCGCCTCATGAAACACGCCCTCGATGTCCCCGGGAAATTCAACCTCAAGGGATCCGCGATCTCAGACGATCTTTTGACCCCGACACCTGGACCGCAGACTCGCGCGGATCCCATGGACAGCATTAAAGCTTAGATTGGTTTCCCATTATGCAGAAGGACTGACGCGGGACAGACAGACAGACAGACAGACAGACAGAGTGATGAATGACTCGGCGCCCGGCGTTGTTTGTTTTTGAAAGGAATATGACGGGAGATGGGCGGACAAACCAAGGGTTTGTCATGAATCCTCGGGTGCATCCTCCAACTGAAGTTTCCTCCTCCGCGAAGAGGCGAGGGGGGGCAAAAGAAGTTAGAATGGTATCCCCCACGAAAAGGGCCTCTTCCCTTGGAGCAACATGGTGAACCCGCGTTGAGACGGGACACGCCTGGGAAGTACATACATGTGCTGGTGTTTCTTGCGTAATCAGGTAGATAGAATACAAACCCCCCTGACAGTAGGAAACACAAGACAACAACATTTTTACGTTATTCTCAAGGTCAGGGTCCCGGAAGCCGGGTTTCTTTTGGTACAAACGCGAACCTCGTGGTGCTTTGATCGATCAAACAGTGGCGGGACGTGTTGTTGTCCCCAAAACACTCCGCTGTAGAAAAGGGTTGAGCCTGAGGGTTCGCATGTCAGAACCCTAAGTCGACCATGTCCAACACCTCTCCACCTCTACACATGGCACGCCTGAGAGAACAATCCCATACACCACCAAGTTCAGATAAGGGAGAGCAGGAAGAGCATCACGCAGACAAATGGCATCACTAACATCCCAAGATGCACGCTTTTTTCATTTCGCCTTTTTTTATGTTTCGTAAGACTTCATGACCGTGTTCCTCATTCGAACTTGATCGTAACATCCGACCATGCCTTGTCCCACCGATATACGACACAACACCGTGGCTCCCGCATCGACACCCACACCGCTTGAACCAGTTTCCCGCATAGCTATGACAGACCGCGCCATGAGGAGAGCAAGGAGGCATATATATGCTCAAAGTCCCAGCGCAGTGGCCCCCGTGTTCTCCGAGAGCGAGCCGGCGATTTTCCTGCGCGCCTCCTCCTGTTCCGCCGGCGTGGGGTTGGCTTTCTGCATGTCGGGGGTATGCGGCGGATGGGAGTGGGTGCGACCGATGGACATTCCGACACGGATCTGAAGGCGAGTGAACGTAGAATCGTCAGCGGGGAGAAAACTTCGTCCAATGTAGTAGTACGAGTGGAAATGGAGGAATGCAAAAGAAAAGAGAGGAGAAGAAGAGAAGAAGAGAAGAAGAAGAAGAAGAAGAAGAAAAGAGACGAGGGGAAGAAAACAAGGGAGAGTCCGCGAAAAAAAAGAAACGTACCAAAGTCTCGAGCGCCTCCTTGCTGTTCGCCACCAGGTCCTCGTCGAACTGCATGGCACCGGGTTCGAAGAGCAAGAGGATGGTGGAGCCGCCGAATTTGAAGTAACCCAGCTCCTCGGCGCGGCGGACCTTCTCGCCGGCGGAGCGGGTGATGACGGTGGAGCCGACCATCATGGCGCCGACGCAGATGACCATGACGCGGCCGTGGCGTTCCGAGTCGATGGGGACGCAGACGCGGACGTTCTCGCCGTAGACGTCCAGGGCGGAGCGGATGGCCATGGGGTTGACGGTGTAGTATTCGCCCTCGATGAGCTTGGGCTCGCCCATGATGCCGTCGACGGGGATGTGGAAGCGGTGGTAGTCCTGCGGGGCGAGGCGCATGATGCCGAGGGCGCCGTTGCGGAAGCGTTTGGCGTCCTCCGGGTAGGCGTCGCCGAGGAGGCGCTCGACGCTGAACTCGCGGCCTTTGACCCAGATGGCCTGGGCGTCGTCGAGTTGGTTGAAGACGACGGAGCGGCAGTCGGCCGGGCTGACGATGACGTGCGGGTTCTCCGGGGCGGAGCAGGGCCGGGCGTTGGGTTTGAGGGCGCGGTAGAAGAACTCGTTGAAGTTCTTGAAGGATTCGGTCGGGCGGAGGACTTCGCTCATGTCCAGTTGGTGGAAATTGATGAAGCCGGGGATCTGGGCCGCCGAGGCGGGGTCGTCGTACTTGCGGCCTTGCTTGATCGACAAGGATTTCAAGAGCTTGCGAGCTATCACACCGACATGTTAGCTGTGTATTCCAGAAAATTACGGACGAGATGGGAGGATAGGGGGAAAAGAGGAAAAGGGATATCTCGACCTGAGTAGACTACTCGCGGCCTGGGTTGAGAATCGACTAATCCGTGTCAGTATGTGCATTGGGAAACGATGCCTACCCCTTTTCTTCTCCATTTCCCTACTTTTGAGGCCCTTGTACAGCAGGCGGATGCCCAACCGTACGTAAACACTCATCCGCTCCTCGTTGATCATTCCGGTGATTCGATCCTGAACTAGGATGTTGGCACTGTTGGCACCGAGCTTGTAGCCGCCGTAAGAGACCTGCGTGGAAGTATAATCGATCAGCAACCACCTCTGCATGTAAAACAGTCGAATTTTCTCACCTTCGAAATGACCTTGGAGTACCATTTCCTTTGTGCCTGCGAACTGGTCACAAACCCTGCCATGACTAGGTTATTCACCGCACGCCAATCACTACTGGCGCATGTCGCAATGTGCGTGATGATGTCGGCATCGGTGGTACGTCGTCCCCTGGCAAGTCGGGGCTGATGACAGACTGGACACTCATGGATCTGGACGACATGCTCCTCCTTGCTTTCGGGATCATCATTGAGGTCGCCCTCGAGATCCATTTCACCGGGGGACTCGGTTCCAGTCACATTGAGTCTCTTCGGCTCGCCTTCCTCTGTCAATTCGCTCACTTCCAATTTGGGAATCTGCGCGGTCCCAGGAGGCATGAACGGCGCGGAATCGGAGGCAGTCATGTTGGGTGTATTACCTCCCACTGGACTGCGTTCCGCCGATTGATGATGGAAGACGTGAGGCTTCGCGATGTGATCGTACAATTCCGAAAAGCGATGGTTGTGACGGACGGTCTTGTTGAGCTGTTCTTCCAAGCAAATGACGGCCTGATCAGCGGTGAGGAATTCGACTCCGCCGTTCACATTTTGCCAGCGCTTGAAGAAGCCGTCGATGGTCTTGTTGTGCAAAGTGCTGCCCAGACTATCCAGCATCGTGACCAGTTCGACCTTGTCGATCCTTCCGCTTTCGTCGGCGTCGTACTGACGGAGCAGGACTCGCCAGAATTGCTGTCGTAGTGCCTGATATGGAAGGTATTTCGCTTTGATGTAGAGCACAGGCCGGTGCTTGTCTTCCCAACGCGACTTGTTCTTCAACTCCAGAGGTATCTCATACGACTTGAGGTCAGCCTCGTGACCATGAAGAGGTTCGGAATCATCAGCGGGGTTGCTTGTGACACTGGGGACGCTGCTGTTCATCTGTGACAGCGGAGGCCTTGAGCCGTCCGCAATTGACAACTCTGAGACGCCATGCGCTAGAAGTGGCCGTCCGGAAATTGCCGCAGCTTTCGCCTCCGATGTCAGTCCCAAAGTTTTCAGATTGTTGGCAGAGGTGTTCCGGCTGACCCGGCCCACGTTGGTCTGACTAGTGCTTCTCGACATGGGCAGACGGAAGCGCTTTCGTCGTTCTCGCTCTCCTTCGACAATCGCATCCGGATCAGGCAATTGATACAAGCCGGTCTCTGGGTCCGCTTCGGGTGCGGCAGCCCTGATCTGATCGAGCGGAAAAGTCGCTGTGCCGACGAAGTCGTTGCCGCTGAACTTATCGCGGTCCACAACAGAGAACGATAGACTGAAGTTGAGCTCGTGCTTCTGCACGGAGAATACCAGTTTCTCATCGAACACCGGATTGAGATTATGATTGACGACTCTGGTGCGATAAGTCTTTCGGCCCAGCGATGTCACAACGAACGGATCCATGTCGAAAGTTGTGCCGGTCATGTTCTTCTCTGGGGGCAAGTCTGTGATCTTGCCAATCTCCAGAAACAACACGCCCGAGACATCCGAGGTGACACCAAACTCGTATGATTGAAGCGCTTTTTGGTTGCGTTTCCTCCTGAGTCGTCGACGCCGACGTTTCTTCTGCTGTTGATCAGCAATACCGCCGGGTGTGTGAGCGCCACCGTCAGTCTCGTCCGACGGCTCCTTGTCATCGTCCTCTTCCGCCAAGTCGTCCAATTCCTGCTCGCCGCTGTTGGTCAATTCCAACAGGTCCTCCTCGTCCTCGTCCTCGTCATCCTGTCCGAGATCTCCGATGATTCCCACCAGCTTCGACATGACATGCTGTGATGTGGCGGACGTGTTGATGGCATCGTACAAGGTAAATTTCAGCTGCACCTCGCCCGAGACATTCTCATCTTTCTTCTTTTTCCCACCGGTCCGCCTTCCCTCGAGGCGGTGCCATTTCGAATCTGGAGTCGTCACTCCCGCGTGGAAGATGTCCTCGATCGCAACGTCAAACTCGCCCATGTAGTCCTTCTTGAACCGATCTTTGTCCCAGCACACCACCCGCAGCAAGGCGCAATCCGCCGAGACGACGGGGAATTCTAGGGTCTGGTTCCATTCCGGGTTCAAAGTCTTCTGCATGGTGCCCGTGGCCTGCTTCGAGTCGCCCAAAGCGAGTACCAGGAATGGATCCGAGGTGCCGGATTTGTCCTTGGCTGCGAGGCCACGTCCTTTGATGACCTGGACGCGCAGGACGAGGCCCATGCCTTTGTGATCACCTCGCTGGTCGCCTGGGGACTTCTGCGCCGAGCCAGACATGTTGGCGGACTGACCGGGGCTAGTTTGGCGACTTTGGTTTGCAGGCGGAGTGATGGGCTCTGAAGCGGAGTTGGCGGAACCTCGAGTCGCGCTTTTGGACCTGTGCAGCGAAAGGTATTTAGGGAGGGTTGGTCGGGAGACCATGGTTACGTATCGGCGACCGAAGGTCTAGGTTGCATCGGGCTGTGGAGGGTGAGATATGAGGTATCGCCTGTACGCCTGATAAGCAGGGATGCCCAGCAAGGGGAGGTCCTCCTGCCTGGTATTCGTTTAGAAGGATGCGTGTCTGTGTAGGCGGATGATGCAGTGTGAGGTCTTGGCCGACGAGTGTCAAATGCCAGATCGGGGAGCTTAGTGGTGGGGATCGGAAGCAGCAGCAATATCAGCAGTGGCAGCACCGCAGGAAGTCCAGTTTGTGCTGCGAGGATCTGGCCGGTACAGTCCTTGCCCTGTCGTTCCGGGAGACTCTACGCGGTTGATGCAAAACTTCCTATGTAATCTGTGGGATGCCCGAGACGCGTACCCAATGACCAACAGTTTGTAAAGAGAGTGCGTCCAGACGGTGGAGAGACAAAAGCAAGAGAAGAAGGAGAAGGAGGAGGAGGAGAACAAGAAGAACAAGAAGAAGAAGAAGAGATTAGGAAGGAGGAGCAATGTGGTTATGATTGTGATCAGGTAATATATGAGAAGAAAATCCCGCGCTGGGAAAGGATGGAGATGCTCAACTGTGCATGTATGTCACTGCTAATAATAATCGGAAGAAGAAGAGGACGAGGGAACTCCTCGGGCAGGGACAAAGTTCGGAGGAACAAGGAGCAGTACGTACGTCAAGGATGACAACGACAACGCATCAATCCGGGAGTATTGCCGTCTAACATAATAACAATAACAGACCATGCCCGGCGATATTCCCATCAATGGGGATCAATGATGGCGGCGGCGGAGGCGGCGATGGTGATGGTGATGTCCGCGCCGCTCCAATATTGCCCACCGTGCCTCTGCAGGATGCCCGTCTCCATAATAATAATCACTGCCCAGGTGAACTGAACTGAGCTTCCGCTCGGAAACTGCCCCGCGCGGGCCGATGATGAGAGGAATTCACCGCAAACAACCATCATAATAATAATGCACGGGCGCTCAAGATGACGAGGCCGATGATGAAACAGGGACTGGCTGGGCCGAGATGACTATATGTACCGCAGTAGGCATGTTACGTAGTAGGTAGGGGGGGATGAGTAATATCGACCTTGATTGAAAGTCATAATGGGTCAGGATGATGTGTAGTTAAATAATAACCTTGGAACCCACACGTCACATCACATCACATCATCTCCCCAGGGCCGTCTGTGATCAAATAAATGCTGTGGTCAATTAAATGCGCGGGCTGTGATCAATTAAATGCTGTGATCAAATGCTGGCTGAGACAGACAGACAGACAGACAGACAGTAGGTATTGCCAGAGGTACGTATCTGATTACGTCAGCCACCGCCCAGCGCCCACCAGTGGGCAACCCGAGCCGGCGCAGTGCCTGAGGTATTCTACCTGCGGCAGTGCCGCAGCTGCTGCCTGAGGCATCAACTTCTTTTTACCCTTTTCTCTTCTGTATATAGAATTTCCTCTAGATAGGGAATAGGGGGAGAGACATATCTTTCAATACAATTTTAGCTGCGTCTGCATGCAGGCAGCCCGTTCCCGCATATTACCAGTGCGGCAATAGTAGGGCAGGCTCGAACAAACGCGTGGGGCCGTACATAGTAAAGGACTCCCCACCTGCCCGCGATGTGTGGGTTGGTTTGTTGCCATCAATTCACGTGTGTCACGAATAGCTCGCTGCTGGCATAAAGTCCACTACTCTTCCAGCTCTCAATAAATACAGTACAGCACCTAGGTAGGCGGTGGTCTATCACATCGGCTTTCATCGAGTCGGTTTATGCATTCATGGCAATGATGGGAGAGTTTCACAATCTTGGGAAGTCGCAGGGTGGGACGTTGTTGGCCGGTACACCGAATCCGCCGTAGGCAGTGCGGATGGAGCAAGCCGTGCACTGGCAGCTACTGAGTCCGGCGAAAGAGGATATCATTATGCATCAAACGAGAATAGCGAAGACGTGCTTGGCCCAGTCAAAAAGCCGTAGCAGCAGCAGCAGCAGCAACAATAGAAATCAAAACATGAATGATACAAAAACGAGAAGAGACAGAGGCGCCCGATCTAGTCACAACGCCCTCGATACTACTGCCTCCGCCAACCCACATCAAAATAGACGAGCAAAACAAAACGGAACAAACCATCGATCGCGTGAAACGTCCAACCCTCCTCACGAGGAAGGTCTCCGATCCAACTGGCTGTTTCCCCTCTTCATCGTGAAGCTCCTGCGCATGCTCTGGCCCCACGCCGAGTCCTGAAACATGCCCATCATCTCGTTCTGGCTGAGCGCCGAATTCGCACGGCTCCTGGCCGCCACGTCCGTCGGCGTCTCGCTGCCTCCGCCGTCGATCCCCGTCCCCGCCACCATTCTCGTGCGGGGGCTCGGCGGCGGGGAGGTGCCCTCGATGGCCTGCGCGAAGTGCCAGTCCGGCTGGACGATGCCGCTGGCCGACGAGGAAGGCGCGTGGCGCGGCGAGAGGTGGGTGGTGGTGGCTTCGCGGGTCGGGGAGTTGCTGGGGGTGGTGCGCTGGGCGGAGTTGCTGCGGCTGCGGACCCCGGTGCTGGAGATGCCGCCGAGGCGGTCGCCTGGTTCGGAGATGCTGGTGGTGGACGGGCGGCCCGTGCGGTCGGAGCTGCTGCTGCGGCTCTCGGGGTCGACGGTCGTGATGCTTACGGCGGGAACGTCGAAGCGGCGCGTTGGGACACCACCGCTGCCACCACCACCGCCGCCGCCACCGCCGCCGCCGCCGACGTTGCTGCTGCTGCCGACGCCTTCGTCGTGGACGTAGATTTCGGGGACACCGACGAATTTCGGGATAGCAGTCATGCGGCCTTCTCCTTTAGAATCCCGTCTTCGCCTCATGCGGCGGGCCCAGTAGAGTGTATCGAAGAAGCCGACGACGATGTTACGGTGAACGGCTTCCTCAACACGCTGGAGCCGTGCTCGTCGGCGGAGGAATTCTTCCAGTTTCAAGCTCTTGCTTTCGTTGATGACCTTGTAATGGGCGAGGATCATCAGGAGCGCGTTGAACGAGATTCCACGATCGGGATCCGCCGAGACGAGGACCTCCTCGTAGAATGTGTTCATACGTTTCCGGCGCGCGCGGACTTCATCGATTGGCATCTCCGCGAGTCGCGCGTTCAATTTGGCCAGGTCGACTTCTCGTTTCGCGGGCATGTGGTCCAGGTCGAGGGGTAGAGCCGAAGTATTGAACGGGACGTCCACGCAGCAGTCTTTCAAGATCTTGTTCACAGTGAAATCACCATCGTAAATTCGCATCTCGAAGATACCCGACAGCTCGCCCAGGAATCGCGGGAATTGCTCTTTGGTGATGTAGCCTTTACCACTGGGGTCGAATTCGGCCCAAGCCTGCTTGAACCGTCGAATTTCCAACCGGCTGATGACCGAGAGTCCACTACTCCGCTGATAGACGTATGAGAAACTCTCGTAGATCAGCGAGATGAAGAGGTTGACAAAGATGTACATGCTGATGATATTCCAGGACACGAATAGTGCATAAGCCCATTGCGCACTACCGCAGTCACCGTCGTAATACTTTTCCGAACTCGTGCAGTAAGGTGGAACGATATTCGCGAAATCGATCATGAACTGATTCCAGTTTTCACCGACACTCATACGGAAGAGCAGGATGAGGGCCTTGGGTACGGTGCGGAAATTGATGTTGTCATTCTCGTTGGGTCCGAAGCGGGTGAGACCGAATGCCTGAGTAAATGCAATGGCGTAGACTAAGAACAGCACGAACCATGTCGCGAGGAGGTTTGAAATCGCACTGAAGCTCGCTGCCGCAGTCTTGAAAAGCTGATCGAGTTGATTGTTGCGTGGGATGAGCAGCAACGCCAGCGAGACCAGGAAGAGCTTGTGCACTTGACCGAACAGACCACCACCGAGACTGATGAATCCCATGACGGCGGTGATGAAAGTGCCGGTGACTGTCACGAGTGCGTATACGTCCCAGGCGCTTCGACGGAATCGTGTCCAAGAGAGTCCGATCAGTCGAACGATGACGTTGGCGATGTAAACCCAAAGGAAGATGAAGAAGATGCCCATCCGCGTAACGGTCCACCACTTCGGCTCAGGATAGAATTCACAGCAGAGCAGAATGAGATGTAAGATGAGTACAACCGTCACTGATCGTTGCCAGGCTCCGTTCTTGGTGACGGCACACCGGTAGCACCACGCCTGCCATTGTTTTCGATTTTGATTCGGATTGGGTCGTTTCGAAGGAGCCACTTGTCGTAGCAATCTCCTCAATTCGAGCCAAGATCTTTGCTCAGATGTCAAGAATGCTACACCGGTCTGTTCCGTGTAATTCCGCATGAAGACGGAAACAAACAGCGTCAACACGAAGACTGCACCGAGCAAGTTGAAAATGACGAAAAAGGCGGCGTTGCCTTGCTGGGCAAACCAAGCCGGCTGAGTAAAGACCCCTGTGATGGACTGCGCACTCCACATGACATCGACCCATCCCTCCTGCGAGACAATTTGGAACAGGAGGAATAACGAATCGCCGAATGTATCGAAATCGTAGTTGGTGTTAAAGGGCGCGACTCGTCGAGGTCCGATGATATTCCAGCCATTGGGCGAGAAAGTTGATTCACCCACACAATCAGTCAGGTTGAAGACATCGTACTGTTGCCAATCATTACACCAATCCATTTTGCCAGCAAAAAGATTGAGTCCGTAAATGGCGAATGGGATGAGCAAGCTGAGCGACACGAAGGCGGCACTAACAACCTTCCAGCCGCCGAGGATGATGACCGAGTGGAACGTATCCCGCGCACTGTCGCTGACGTTCAACAATCGAAGCGCACGGAGTGCTTTGAACGCGCCAACAGCACGTGAGCCACTACCAGGATTTGTGAGGGAGGTGACGACATTAGCCCATAGTGTGACAAGCACGACACCATCGATGAATCCCCATGAGCTATGGAAGTAGGCGTTGGGAGTCCAGAAGAAACCATCGGCGACGACTTTGATCAATGCTTCGATCGTGAAGAGTGCCGCGAAGCCAATGTCAGAAAAGACGAACCAATTGCGGGTGTCGCTGACGTCTTTGTTGCCACGATTCCCATTGAAGTATTCGAGTTGAAATAATGGAGTGGTGACACAAGCGAGTAGGACCATTCCTACGATGGCCAGGTAGATAAAAGCGGAAAAGATGTACCAGATGGTGAGGTTAGGGGTAACACCCTCGATGCGCACACCACGGCCAGGACCGACGATGCGTTGGCACCATTTTCGAATAGGATTGTCATGCTTGAAGATGAAGAGGGAAACATTGTACATGGGGTGTTTTGCCAGGTAACGCCGCTGTGAGACTTTGCGGCGCTCTGCAGCATCGACGACCTCTCTCGCCAAAGTGCCAGGGTCGAGCTCTTCGTGAGGCTTCGTCAATTGGAGCCGCGAGTAGAATGGATTAGGCTCGCGATCCCACACGCTGTTCTTGACACGTTCGAAGATCCGAGGTAACCAGGAATTGGCGCGCTTCGGTGCTCCGAAACCACTGAGATGTGTGCTAGTACGCCTGATGCCTGGATTGATGTCTTGTTCGTCGAGGAAATCTCGTACCACGGCATCTTTGAGTAACATTTCGGTCGCAGCCGCACCATAGTCTAGAGGATCCTGCTGATGCACTCGACCGAATTTGAAGATGGAGGACAGCGCAAGTGTGCCACCACCAGAACTGCCCATCTCCTTCTGCTGCAGGAATGCACGAACTTGCTGCATTCGCTTCTGATCCTCAGAAACATCGAAATTCTCCTGAATGACAGCAATAAACATATTCAAGACGATGAGATTCGCCAGAATGTACCAGATGATGAAGAAGACAGATCCGATCCAGGCGGTGTTATGGATCGTGTTGAAACGTTGAATGTTGTAGAGAATGCTCGTCCAGTTCTCAGACGACAAGATTTGATACATGCCGAGGAAGGAGTTGAACATGGTCGCAAATGTTATTTGCACATAATTGCCGTTGCCATCCAAGATAGGGAGCTGACCGCGGAACAGCTGAGCGGCAAAAATGGAGGCCAAGAAGGTAAGCAAGAACACGAACATTATAAGATTGGTGATACCAGAAACGTGTCTCAGAACAAGGAGGATCAGGTCGCGGGTCAGTTGCACGGCGAGAACGACCCGGTAGAAGCGCAGAATTTGGAAGATTGTAAGCCATGCATAGATAGTGCCTGACTTCCTGATGACCGGGATTTGTATGATGCCGGTGATGATGGCGAGGAATAAATCAAACCAGTTCCTTCGATGGTGAGAGAAGTCTCTCCAATCGGACACGAATCGGAATGAAATCTCGAAAATCAGCGCTGCTGTGACGATGAGCTCGACGTTACTGATCAGATTGCTCTTGAAGCTTCCCATGGTGGCAGTGCGAAGGCTGTGCATGACAAGATCGAACACAATGATGACGATCCAGAACCAATAGCTCTTTTGATAGATCCATTTCAAGGCCGACGGTCGTTGCTGTTCCAAGCGCTCCGCCTTCTCGTCATCGTCGACTGGATGGTCCTCGGCAGGATCATCTTGTGCGGTAAACGCACTAGTGCGACTTTCTTCACGAATGACCTGAAAAGACGACGTGATGACAGCAATGAGCAGAGACACCAGCCAGAAGGTCAAGAAGATGATGCCACATGCAGCAAAGAGGGCGGCTGCCAGGTAATCCGTGTCAGTGAGAAAGTACATGATGTCGGTGAATGTGTTAGATGTCATGATGACAAACACCATCTCGGCCGACTGGATGATGTTGTCGAAGCTGACGGTATTGTTGTAGGGATTCTCGCCTTCTATGCACTGCGACAGCACTGGGCAGAGAAAGCCTTTATGTTGGGTCGTTCCATTTGTGCCATCAGCCTTTAGCCAGGGCATCGGTTGGCCGTCTAGATTGAGCCAACCTCCACAGAATTGAAAGCTGCCCCCGGGCGGTGGCATGTTCTGTGTGTATGCGCCGTCTGTGCCAGGCATGTAGGTACACTGTCGGCGGAGGCTGGACTTGAAAATTTGTACGCCAATGATGGCAAATAATAGCCAGAAGAAACCGATCAGAAAAGCGACGTTCAAAAGTGTCGGCGCTGCACGCTTTAGACTTCGTAGAATGACAGAGGTTCCGCTCGTAATGGACAATAATCGTAAGATACGAAGACAGCTCATCATGCGAAAGACGTAAAGCTGATATTGTGATTCGATGCCAGCGGCGGCGAGGACAAAGCTGATCCAGAACGAGACCACGGCCACAAAATCCAGTCGGTTGAATGAATGTCGTAAAAAAGCTCGATATGCCAGTCGTTTCTTTTGCTTGTCTCGTGATGTTCCAGGGATTGCATCCATGTCGTTCATCGTGAAGGAGCGTAACAAGGAGTCCGGCGCCTTGAAATCCTTTGTCGCGGATCCGCGGAGTTTTCGGTTAGAAGGCTGCCGATGGAGAGTGAAAATCTCATTGGCCTTCTTCTTGAGGGCCTTCTGTATCCCAATACTTCTGTCGATCGTGCTGTACTCTGTGGGGTTGAGAATGAAGCCCGAAACCATGATTTTGATGACCATCTCAGCCGTGTAAAAGATGAAAATTCCCAACAGCACCCAGTCTGTCCAGTCCGTACCGAAATATGAGGGTCGCGGATGATCGTAGACATTCGAAGCACAATTAATAGCTAAAACGACTGTCTGGATGATGATTAATATTAGGATAATAGGTTCAACTAGCGGATGAACCAAGAAATTGAGCAGCCAGAGGCGTAATGAGTTTGTTGGAGAGAGCAGCCCTAATGATTTGCCTCGCAAAGGATTCAGGTCTGTCCGTGGTCGATATTCCGGGAATGTGACCGCCTCCACAGTGGGCGAAGGCATCTTTTCACTGATAGGCGACGGAGGAGGATATGCGCCATGCGAGGTGCCATCCATTCCAAATCCTAGTTCGATGAAGCTTTGCGTCGCCGAGCCTGAGGGTAGAGGCAGAGGATTCGAATTGGGCGGCACTGCAGACTTCCTCCGGATTTCGCGTTCTATGTCGTCTGGTTCGTGGCTCAGATTGACCACGCGCGTGGAAGCTTGCCGTAGCAGCTCGCCGGTGCGACGCAGTGTTGACGAGGAAAGCGGCCGGCGACGATTCGTAGGTGAGAGGCTCGTATCTGCACCTGAGGTATACGCCGTATCCACATTCAAGAATTGATTACCACGCCGAGAGCCATTCGGAGAGTGGTCATTGGGAGATCTTGAGGGAGGAGAGGTCAGCGGTTCAGTATCATCATCAACGCCGCCCGCGGACAAAAAGGCTTGCCCATCGCCATTCTGCACAGTGGTCCCATAGAGATCCTCCTGTGGTGTCCGCGTGCCTGGTGCTGGTCCATCCAGAGACTCGATCGAGTCCCTCCGCATGCGCCCTTGCTGTGAGCGCCGTGGCGGCGTCATCTCATTGTCCATATCATCCTCTGCTGTTCCCATATTGAAGCTGAGACCGGCGAACCCGATGGCAGCCTGGAAGGCGCCTCTATCGGCGACGGGAGAGAGACCCGGCTCATCATCCTCGACTGATATCCTCTCATGCTGTCCGGATGGGCTGGTGACAAATGCGATCGGAGGAACAGCGGGTGTGCTTCGCGTCGGCGATTCGCGCTCGATCCGTGAATAGGCGGTTCGGCCGGGAGAGCGATTGTTGCCAAACAGTTCTCGTCCTCGATCACTTAAGGTCCTCCTATGGGAATCGCTCCTGGATATGTCGCCTAATCTATCTGCTCCCGTCCGGAGGGTCTGCAAGGGTATGGAGCTGCTCGCGGAACGATCGCGTCGCTGCGCATTATCCTCGGGCGTCATGGAGTCGCAGGATGCGTCTCAACGACCGGCATTGAAGGTGCGCATCTGGTTCGTGCAGTGGTAATTCAATTATTATGGGTGGAGTTGGAAGCGGCACAGCCAGAAGCGGCAGGCAAGATCGGTGTCGTGTTAAGCCGGGTCGCTTGACGTCAAAGCAAATCTTGGGAGGACGGTAGTGATGGGCGAAGGAAAAATGGTGAACATGCGCAGCAGGAGATGTTTGGTTCGGGTCGTGGTTGACGGGCAACCTAGGCAAGAAATAACGGATATACGATATATGTATTGTACTATGGTATGATGGGCGAACTGCTTCCAACAATTAATTCTCACGAGCTTAACGAGGGTCTGCCCTGGAAGACGCGTGCCCTGAATTGGTGTTGGTCTCCCCCAATCCACAGTGGGCCGCCTTCCGCCAACCGTGCCAACCAGGGGAGACGGCGACGGCTCGCGTTGGAGCTAAAAGCTCCCTCAGTCAACAGTCAAGCCAGGGCCCACTGCCATCGTATCTAGATGTCTTCCGTTTCATCCAATCCTTTCGACGACAGCTTTTTAGTACTACAACAGAGAAAATGGATCGCACAAAAAGCTCCCTGTGGCGGGCCTCTTCTGGATAAAAATAGCCCACCCCCAAGATTCTATCCTCTGCCTCATCATCAAACATCACGAGCAAGGACAACCCAACAACATTTGCCAACATGCCATCGATCGAGAAGGGGATTCGTCACCGCAGCCTGTCCATCATAGTGTAACTGATATAATGCGTCGACGTATGATTCCATCGCTAGAGGTCTATTGCTCTCTCCATGAAAAGCTGGGCGTATCAGAGTGAGGCGTGCCGCGCATAGGCCCCTCCTTACGTCCGCAGGTTGGCCTAACTTCAGGCGCTTGATGTGAATGGTGGGACATGCATGTTGACATTTGAACATACCAACCAGTAATGACCACGGGATGCGCAGAAACATCCTTATTCTCACATATTGCAAGCAACTCTTTTTCATTAAGACTCTAGGAAATTCTATCCGGTAATGAACTGCGTCAGCAAACCCATTTACACCAAGACATATCCTGTGAAAGTCACACCGTCTATTCTGGACGCGTCCACTGCGGAGCATTGATGGTGAACGCCATGATAGAGCCGGCAATAATAGCGGTAGATGGCAGCGTCACAAACCAAGCAAAGTACGACCAGCACACGACACGCCAATTGACAGCCTTGATCTCACCGCTGCAGAGACCTACGCCGACGGTAGCACCAATGATGCACTGGGTCGTCGACACAGGCAGAGCGAGACGCGTTGCCAACACGACCGTAATAGCGGCACCCAGCTCCATGCAGAAGCCGCGGATCGGCGAGTGCAGGGTGATGCGATTACCCAGGTTCTGCATGAGCTTGTAGCCGTAGGTCCATAATCCGAGCGCGATGGAACCACCTCCAAAGGCCAAGATCCATAAGGGAACTTCGGATTTGCTGCTGACATTGTTGGTAGTCCAGACTTGATAGACGGCTGAAAGGGGTCCCATGGCATTGGAGATGTCGTTGGCACCGTGGACAAAGGATGCGGTGGCGGCGGTCATGACTTGTAGGATGGAGTAGAGGTGCTCGACGCGGTTGTCATATCGGGTGACAATGGCGTGCTTCTTTTCGAGATTTTTGCCAACAAGGATGCGTTCGATAAACGTTGGGCGCTTGTTGGATGTCTGAGCCGAAACGACATCTTTCATCACACCGCGGAAGAAGAACCAAACGGTGCTCTTCCAGAGATTACGAGGCTCCCACCATTTGCCTTGGATGGGAGCTGGAGTCTCAGCGGACATTGATTCGATCGAAGAGGTAGGCGCCAATGGCACAACAGCAAGACCCTTCTCAGCAGGGTGCGTAGTCTCCTCATCACTGGGAGGAGTCGCTACTGCAGCAGCTCCGTGTTGCTCGAGTTCTTCCTTGGTTCGATGTCCGCGGTAGTAGTCGGGGACAAGCTCCACGCCTTCGGGAATTGGTGGAGCCTGATCACGACGTAGGAGAAAGGGTCCCTTGACGGCATCCCATGGCTTAAGTCGCCAGTCTTCTTTGATCAGGCGTACGTAAGTGTAAGGGACGATGAAAAGTCCAGCCAACAGGGCAACACCTCCAGCCACACCGAATATGGTGCCGGCAGTCGGCGCGGTGCCCCAATCGTCGAGATTGAGCGAGGCGGCACCCTTCCAGACAATCAACATGGTGAGGATACCGCTTGTGATGGCGAAGTAGATCGGAATCGACATCATACCCCTCATCAGGGGGTTCTTGGCCTTGAGAACAGTGAACTTGGTGAGCAAGAAAAGGATGGCTCCAAACGATGCGGAGATCATTGGCGCGATGAACCAGGCGGCAAAGACCTGAGATACACCCTCCCAGGACCAGTCAACACCATTTGGACCAACGGTCGCAAAGCCAACGCCGATGATACCACCGACTAGAGCGAAGCATGTTAGTATCGAACACACTTAAGAAGGTCACAAGAAAGATGACATGTGAAGGCCGGATGGTGACTTACTGATACAGTGCGTAGTGGAAACAGGCAGGCCAATCTTAGTTGCGCAAGTCAAGAAGACGGAAGAACCGATGAGAGCACACAGCATTCCCAGCATCAGAACGCTAGGCTTTCCCTCGAAAGAATCGACAGCAATGATGCCTGACTTGATTGTACCAGCCACACGCGATCTATGATGAAGCCATCGATGAGCATGAAAAAATTGGTAGATTGAAGAAACGACTCACCCAGCAAGGACTGCCCCCGAGAATTCCATGATGGCACCGATCGTCATGGCTTGCAACATGGTCAAAGACCGGGAGCTCACCGAGGTAGCAAAAGAGTTCGCGACATCGTTAGCACCAATGTTCCAGGCGTCAAGGAAGGCAAACACGATGGCAATGCCGAAGATATACGAATACTGTGGAAGTGCGGCCATCGTTGCGATTGACTCTTCGGTTCAAGTCCTTGTGAGGGTGAAGAGATTGAAGAATATTTGTTCAGATGCAAGTTGCAACTTGTCCGATCGAAAGCCTCGAGTACATCCCGGCCTTGGACTTAAATATTCTTCCTCTGTTGTGGTGAGAAGACAGCACAACTGCGTGATCGCGCGCATCGCCGCGACGCCATGCTTGCCCAGACACGTCACTGCCTGGTTTTGGGAAAAATCGCAATCACGACGGGAGAAATTGGTGTCTTGGGCAAATGTGGCCAAGGACTTCGTAACGAACTGTTTTCAAGTCTTCTGAAGATGTTGCAGTCCAATCAAATCGCACAATAGATGTTCTCATGTGGTCTGCTGTTTATGAAGAGCACTTGCAGCGGAGCTCGGCGCCGAGGGCGAAAATCTTAGGGTTACGTCTTGGTTTTCTTGAACGGCGAATCGTCTGGCATGATTTTCACACGTGTTATTCCTTCCTTTGCTGTACAATATTTTATCTCGCGAATTGATCACGATGATGTTTACCATTTCAACAGGAAAGGAAACCGAACTCGTCTAAAAGATCGGCGGACGCGTGTTCGATTTCCAGATTGGTTCATGCCCCGGGGGCCACGTGCGAAGGCGCCCACGTGTGTTGCACCGAAAGCCTCGAAGCGAGCGTCACCTTTGCATTCCAAGGTTCTCTTCACGAAAGTCTCCGAAATTGACCCGCACACTGTACTGACGTATCTTGGTCACGGAATGAGTCGTGGCGTAGACTTTGAAGTCTTTCAATAGCTCCTTACACACAAGGAGAGCTCGGCGTGGGATCTTGGATCGTCCAATGTAGTATTGCAAGATTGCTAGAATGCGAAGCAGACTGGCTAGTGGTCTAACGCAAGTACGAGATTGTCTTCTTCATTAATTGATAAGACTTTGGACTTCATCGTGGGACCCATATTACTCCTCTGAAAGCGGCCGATTTGTTGGGCATATGTGCATGGACTTCATTGATCCTTCCTTTGTTAGCCTGAGTGGCTTGCCATCACATAGCAGAACGCCCCAAAACGGAGAGACATCATGCGTTACGACGCTCATGATCAATTCGTATTGTACGGTAAGCCTGAAACCCTGCCCTTCCCTTGTTCAAGAAGCGCTCTCATTTCATCAGACATCTTCCTATGGTATTTGATATTTCCAACAGCGCTAGGAGGATTGAGCTCTTGGGCCAGAGAGAGTTCGTCCTCTAAGATCTGCTCACGTAAAGTATGAATTGCATCGGCGCCACGTTCAAGGCACAACTTCGCAGCAGAAATCTGATCTAGCCCGACTGCTTCACTCAGCACCTTTTGCGCGTCAACTCCGCCCTCTTCCATGAGCAGAATCAAAGCCAGCTCCTGATATTCAATTCCACAGTACCCGCCGATGGCTATTTGAACTGGCCGCTTCAGGTCCTGGTTCTTTGCTCCTCGCCGGAGAAGCTCCGCTGCCACTGGAAGGTTGCGATTATAGACGGCACTGCAAAGTGGCGTTCCATTCTCCGGGCCGTAATCGAACAGATCGTTATAGCCCTCATACAGATTTGCATTGATATCAAGGTTGTGACGGTCGATTAATGAAGAAAGCATTGAAAGGGACTTTTGCTCGCTGTGACACACTGAGACACGATGGAGAGCCGAACTCCGCAGAGGATCGGCACCTCGTGCAACTAAGAGGTCAAAGAACTCAACGTTTCCGAGGGCGGCCACTCTGTCCAGAAGATGATGGGAGAAATCAAACATTCCCCGAGGAAGTATGACGCCGTCGTACATTCTCCTACAATCAGTCTCGTTGATGTCACAGCCTTGCGCGAGTATGTAGTCCACGATTTCTGGCCTGTTCGCGAAATCTCTGCAACTCGGTCAATATATCATGTATAGTCAAAGGCTCAGATTCTTACTGCAGTAATAAATGACCGCTACGCTCCAAGTCCAGGCCTCGTTCTTGGAATGTCTTTAGATCGTCTATCGACTCCGCTGCGCTGGCCAAAACTCCCCGCAAAGGCTCTCCTCCTCGGTGACGGAGGCAAGTTGTCAGCTCTCTGGAGTCAGCAGCCATCCTGAACTCGTCCCAAGTGTGGATGTCTCCGAGTTGCTTAGAGTCGAACATTGCCTGGGTAGTAGTGAAATCTTCATTCTCGACCGCGGCAACGAATTTTGCCCATTTCACCTTGTGGGCTGCGTCTGATCGTTTTTGCTCCATTTGTGTCAAAGCATATACCTGGTATGCTTTGGCGATTGGTAATTCTTGAAGATGATGATTACCGAGGATTGCTGATCGTAATGATACTAGAGGCGCCTTGCATGTCTGCAACCCGAGATAGTCATCTGCTGTTTAGCGGGGATTGACCTAGCTACCTAGGTAGTCAGAGAAAGCTAGCGCGGCCCAGCAAATACCTGCAGGTATCGGTCGAATCGGACGGCGCACTCTGACGCATGTTGATACACGAGGTAGGTGTTAAGTCGTATTGACTAATGCATCATAGTTCGATGCAGAAGGAGCCGGGGACGGGATCTTGGCTTATAGGCAGTATTGAAAGGCTTTAAGAAGAGCGTCGAAAGTGGAACCTCGTGTTCTCACGCGAGTAGACAAGGATCGGTGTAGAGGTTTGCGCATTGCTTCCTGCATTTGTGTGCAAAGGTTAATTTTCGGACGTTCAGCCTGCCTGCAAGACAGTTGCTGTGTACCAGTGAGAACTCTAGGCGAGCGTTCTGACATGATTTTCACGCAGGAGTTGCTAGCAAACAACATTCATATATCTCATCGTTGCTGGGAGAGATGGTTGGAATTCTAGAACACATTGTATTGATATCGCATACAGAACCCTCTCACAATCGGCTCGCTTCAATTGATGCTTTCAATGTTTTGTCTGCCCGTTCCTCAAGTAGTGCTTTCATCTCCTCAGACATCTCTCGGTAGTATTCTCTGTCCTTGTAGGCTGGAGGATTTAGCTCCTGGGCTAATGCAAGCTCATTTTGCTGCAGCTGCTCTCGAAGTGCAAAGGCTGCATCTGCGCCGTGCTCCAAGCTCACAGTTGCAGCGCGGAGATTATCACAGTGAATGGCTTCGTCGAGAACCTTCTGGAGATCTAATCCTCCGTGATCTAGCAGCAAATGTAGTGCCGGTTCGTTGTATTGTACCCTTGATCCTCCCATAGCAGTAACGATAGCGGACCACAGGTCATCTTTCTTGCTTCTCCGTAAGAGTTCAGCTGCGACGGGCAGGTTGCGATTATAGATGGCAGAGCAGAGCGGGGTCCCGCGTTCTGGTCCTGTATCCAAGCCATTAGTATATGCAGCGTGCAGCTTGACCTCCATACTCATGTTGTGGCGGTCTATCAAGCAGGATATCATGGCGACTGATTTGGCCTCATCATGGCACTTGGAGGCTCGGTGTAGAGCCTCGCTTTTCAAAGGATCGGCTCCTAGCGAGACCAGCTTGTTGAAGAGGTTGACGTCTCCTAAAGCAGCGACTTGGTCTAACAGATGTAGTGAGGTATCGATTCTCCCTGGAATCACATTTCGCCCATTGTACTCCCGCCGACAATCAGTTCTGGTGACGTCGCTGCCTTGTGAAAGAAGATAGTCCAGTACCTCGGGCCGATTTGCAAAATCTCTACACTTAGCGTTAGTCTTCAGATAATAACAGATTCCGAGCAAAGACGCACTGCAGATACAGGTGGCCTGTTCTCCGAAGGTCAAGACCGCGGGCCTGGGCCGCTTTGAAGTCTTCGATGGAGTGCAAATCGCGGGGCGAAGTCCGAGCAATGTAGTCGGATCCCAAGCGTTGAAGGCAACTGATTTGCTGCGTGCAGTCTCGGGCCATTTCGAACTCCTCCCATATGTGCTCTTGGCCCAGCTTGCCGGCATCAAACAATGCTCGAGTTGTGTCAAAATCATGCTCCTCAATCGCTTTTACAAACTGTGCCCAGATCGCAACACGGTTGTGGTCCCGTGGTACATTTTTGATGGAGTTCTCCATGGGGTCAACCAAATTGTCGCTTGACAAATGTGACGATCGGGAATTTGTGGGTTGCTTCGTGGACGGTTTCCTCCTCAAGAGGTTGCTTCAGAGGTCAAATTGAGATAGATTGAGAAGAAGGAAATACCTTCTCGTCACATACATCTGGTCATTTAGTACAAGAAGACTGCGACGCAAAACACAAGGCCATCTAAGTGATGAAGTGTGGATGAAGTGTGATGACCTGTGCCGCAAATAGTGACGGTGACCTACCTAGAGGATAGTCAAATTTTGGTGGGGTCACATACATACCTGAAACGCTCAATGAGCCGTGTAAAGAATAGTGAAACCCTCATGTTGGCGACTCGCCTTCTTTGTCCCCGCGTCTAGTTCATCCCCTCTCAAGCAACAGACTTCTGCCTGGGTCAATCGCTATTATCACAGGTAAACTGAAGTGACTTCGATTTTCAACACAGCGTACAAACCCTGGACTTCCAAGCCCCTGGGCCACACCCGCCAACAACCTTGGAACGCTTGCTTGCGGCACGGTCATCTATATTTGATACCGCTGGGCATGGCGCAAGACCTTGGCCTAGCTAATGTTGAAACGGGTTGAATCAATTATTGTCCAGCTGCGGGTAGATGTGTTTGTCATTGGGGAAGTCTTGCCGCTCCAGGCCTATTCGGAATGGATTCAATCCCAAGTGGTCGTCTCAGAGATGGGAAGGGAGCAGGCGCGTATCTGAACACGTGTATGGTGCGTTGATGAGAGTCGTCTTTGCTATGTTACCAATTAGCGACGTTGAACTCTGGGGCGCAGTGTGGTGTTACCGCTTCAGAACGGGAAGTCGAGACGGGCTCAGCAGACATCAGTATCCCGCTGGTCCTGGTCAGATGGTCAGTCAAAGATGCTTCTGTCTTGTCATATCCGTTGGCATCATTTTATAGAAACGTTTAGTAGACGACTCGCAACACGATATTCCCCTGAAGGAATCTTCGTGTTGGTGATGCTCCTTCCTTTTGATGGCCTATCAGGCAATAGAGCGCCGAGTACAGATGGTGGATAGTCGTAGCGCCGTCTTGTGTGCCAGTAGTTGCGCTGGCCTGATCTTGAAACGAGTTTGTCCCGTTGCTTTGATGATACGTATAGTTCAGAATGGTGATCATTGTATAAAGCAAGACGCGTTCTCGGATAGATCCCATCACTGTATCAACTACCATACTCCCACAACACCGCTTACCTTGCAAAAAAGCATAACCACCATGTTTTGCAAACAACTTCGGCACATTCTTTTGCAACTTCTGCTCATTAATTCAGTCTTCTGTGCACCAAAGGCCTCAAGTGGCAAAACATGTGCTTTGGGAAACAACCGTAAAGAAGACATCTAGCAATTTTGAGTCAGGTATAAGTGAGACTGACATGATTGTAGCCTCCCCTAAGCGACTATCGGTCAGACATGATGACTCTGCTTCAATATCTTCCCGGACTGGGTTATCCAAGCAACCCCTTCAAAATCCTGCTACTACATCTCAAGAGAATTTTGAAACATTCATGGCCAGTATGATAGACGAAAGTACCAGGACTCGGAATGGAGAACGAGTCAACACACTTTTTAGGGAGCCCAGTAACGAAGAAATTGCAGCTTTCACCATAGCCTATCAAGGTTCCAACTTTCATTCTGGAACCACTGGCTTTTACTATGAATTCGGAAGTAAGAAAAATGATTTCTATATCACAGGCCTACATGGCTGTACTGCAGTAGTCATCGTTGTGGGTAACACACCCCATCTACATATGCTTAATCTACTGACATGCGCACAGAGTCCCCGAGGAATTTGGGGACTCCACATCTGGGAGACCGAGTCAGGACCGGACAGGGCCGGCGGGTTTCGGAAGCTGACAGGGACACCGCTGAAAGAAGTATCACGAAGCGATGCAGAGTTCCAGGCTATTGCCGTGGATATCATAGGACAAGCTACGCCGGCGAATCTTCGAGCTCGACGGCCAAAATGGAAGAGTCTATCAGATGTGAAGAACAACCATGGAGATCCGTTTGGCACAGGTGCAGACTCGACCGTTTTTCTTTTCACGCCCGCACTAAGGTGAGTAGAAGAAGTTCGAAAGCTCCACGTACAACACTCATGTCTGCTCCCTCCAGTGAATCGGATCCGGGCCAGAGATTCGCGACCAAGGTTGCGATGATTGTTCGAAAAATCCGAGATCTTCTCCCCAACGTCTCGAGAACGAACTTCATCCAGAAAACTTACGTTGCAGAGAATCGAGCGATAAAAGAAGTCATACAAGGAACGATCCTGGTGCAATATACGCCATACGAGCGCGATTCGGATCCAAAGAACAAGTCGCCACAAGCGAGAGCCCGACTCTTTATCGAAAATCAAAAGAAGCCCATTTACGACAAGTATATGGCACCGCCGGTCTAGCCTAGCCTGACGATGGACGATGGGAGCTCGCAATTTCTCCATTTCAGACATACTTCAAACCGGCTTGCATGTGAAGACAGAGCTTCGAAGTTTCGGGAAGATCGAGCTAAGAGCCATATTTGAAGTCCATGACGCGAGCGTCGTCATAAATCAGCAGACATGAAGCTATACTGGACACCAGACGTGGAATATGGTTAATGCGTGTTAGACGAAAGCGGTAGTTCAGCATACCTAGAGGCTATTCCAGTTGGGGTGTCCCAGGTGCGATCGATGAGAGAAAAATATTGTTCGGATCGAGTAGTATATCGGGCGAAACATCACTGCTGATTCCATTCAAGAACGTACTGCATGTGAAATGTTCCGACCAACCAGGCGAGTGGACCGCATGATGAAGGACGTCTTCTCATTCAAAAGTAGCCCATTTTTAGACTGAACATCCAATTGCGACCCACGCGGCGGCCGAGACAAGAGCGGCGGGTGTGAATCGAACTGGTGATGTGTTTCAAGCTTCAGGAAACCATTTAGTGAACCAAGCGATGGCCTGTGCCTCTGCTTTCTTGCCCTGCTCGGCCTCATGCGTCGCGTCCTCGTCGGCACGAACGGCAAAGCCGTGGTGTGCACCTTCGTACAGCACAAACTCGTGCTGAACAGTAGCGCTGGTGCCGGCTGCCAAATTCTCCTTGTTTTTACGCTCGAGAATTTCGCGCGTGGATTTGGCATTCGCAGGCGACATCTGAATATCGTGCTCGGAGGCAGCTACAGCAAAGGGTAATTTCACAGCCTCGATGTCTTTCGGGTACTTCAAGAACGACGGGTGAGCGGTGAAGCCGCAGGCGACCACTGGCGGGGACGTGGGGTCCACAGGCTGCAAGACGCCCGAGCAGATTTTGGCGACGAAGTACCCACCCCAGCAGAAGCCAGCGACGCCAACAGGCAAGTTCGCGGCTTCATGTTGCTTCAATGCCTGGAGAAATCCATAGACTCTGGGCTCGGCGGCAGATGGACGGTTGTAGAACTGTACCGAGACTCGTTAGTCGTTGTCTGACTGTGTACCAGGCGAGAGCAGAGATGGGAATATCCTAAATTCACTGGAGAGATGGTCGACTGTCGCATCGGGACTCGGTGGCTCTAATCTGACTAAAAGACTTGCAGGGAAAGCTTGCTTACAATGAACGGAATCATCGTCCGAGCAAGGGTGATAGCATGGCCGACTTTAGCGATTTGAGCGGAGAAGCCCTTCGCGTTAAAAGCGGACAAGGAAAGGAGAGCCGAAGCAGGAACTCCAGTACCTTATACCGCAAAGAGAACGTATTAGCAATCTTCGCAGATTCTTCGTTTGATATGGACGGAGCGGGATGAGCGCGCACTTACCGGGTACAAAGAATTCTGGCAGCAAGACCTTGAAGCTGTTTCCAGTGGAAAGTACTCGTGGTCAGTACCAGTGGTCACATCTAGCAAATGATGCCTTACCCGCCCTCTTTGGCATATGCGTCGGCCAGGATGCGATTGTTCGGCAATTCGATGCCAAAAGCTGTGTACGGCAAATATGATCAGATTTGCTCGACATAAAATAGTCAGTTGATTGCCGATAATATACCATCATGGATGATGACCACAATGCCTTTCGCAGTTGTGCCGGCTGGCGGCTCGGCGATATACACATTCAAGCCATGTAGCTTCTCAACCCGACCGGTCGGCGTGCCTGTGTGGAGCGAACCAGTAGCGCAACACTGTTTCAACGACATCTTGAGTTTGGCCTCTTAGCTTGTATGATCACTGTTGTGATGCGTTCTGCGATGCTTTCTTTGAGATGGAGATGCTCTCTAATCTCAGAATAGAGTCAGGCGGCTGATGCGCGATTTCACCTCGGTCACAAGCTTAGTAGAGAGTTCAAAGAGGCCGGATATAATACGTTAAGTCCGTCACGCGTGCACGTGTATGGTTGTTGCTTCATCCGTCTCTCAATTTTGCACGTGAGGTCGAGTTTGGCAACAAGACAAATAATCATGAACATGTCCATGAATATCTTAGGGCCGGTCCCGTACATGTGGCTGCCTGCTGTGGTGGCTTGAGCGGTGTGTGCTGTGCCGCACATTATCAGTGTCGCGGTGTAATCCATAAATATTTCGACCATTCGATCGTAATCCTCATGCCCCCATTTTTCATTATTACCTTTGGAAAACATGCCTGAGCCCAATTTCGATCGTTTACCAAATGAGTTTCTTGATATAGTGACAGGATGTCTGGACGTGGAGGGCATCTGCGCCATGAGGCTCATGAACCGAAGTGTCTGTCTCCGAGCCACGATGCAGAGTCAATTCCTCGCACTCTTTCAAAAGTCGACTCGTCTAGTATTGAGTAGAAGCAGGTTGGCAAGCCTGGCCCTACTCACTCGAGACATTAGAATAGCACGATGCATACAAAGCCTAACCATAGTCGGCCGCGCGTATAGCATATTTGGCAGGTCGCAGCAGAACGATGAGCCGCTGAAAGAATTACTGCGTCAGCAAGCCGATGACATACAGCTTCGAAATGAGTCTCTAGATGTGCGGTATTTGAGCCAGATACTTGCGAACCTGGCCGTGTCCCAACCGCACCGTCTCGATTCCGTCTCAGTCGAAATCTTTGTATACTCAAGCGACATGCGATCTCCGAAGATGTGTTCCAAGGCCGGGGGCTTCGAAATCCCTGGTGTCCTCCAAGCATGCTCAAACACCTTCTCCTTGGTGATCCAAGCTTTGAGACGCTCACGGGTACGCATTCGAAACTTGAACTTCTTCAATTCCAAGCCTGAGGGCCTCGAATACGCGATACCGAGTCCAGCGTTGAATCAACTAGGCAACAGACATCTGTCCAGGGTAACAGCGCTTTCCGATCTGCGTTCCCTTTCAATGAGAATCACAGAAGGGCCTTTGCCTGAGCGAATAGCTGAACTAGGAAAGAACCACGAGGACAAAGTGGAGAAGATCAGAGAGTCTTTGAGTTTGAGCGGCATGTGTTCTATGCTTGACTACTGTCCACACTTGGAAGTGCTAGGCCTTGCTCCTTACTATAAAGAATCATTCCACGACCTGACAAAAAGGTATCGGGGACTACGCCAATCTCTACGCGTAGAGCAGGTGGGTCGTTTACTAGATGTGCACATAGTTCGGCTTCGGAAGCTCTGCCTTGCTGGATTCGCTATGCCTACCAAAGACTTTTGTGCCTTTCTGGAACGTCACGCGAGCACACTACAGACCATCGAGCTCAAACACATCAAGTTCAAGGGACGCATAAGTCTCGAGAGTGTTTTCGCTCTATTGGCGAGCGACTTGTTCCACCTTCAAGCAATATTCCTGGACGATATACATGAGGCCAGTCTGATACAGTTCCTTGGCCCTTCACATGAAGCGTCTATTCGAATCAGCGGGTTTCACATTCGCCGTATTCGTTATCATAGTTGGGGAGAGGGAACAAAACAACTTATCACATATGCCCCATTCTCAAGACCGGTGTCCGGGACCATGGAGTATCTCGATTATCGTCGACAGACGATGGAAGAGTTTGGAACCCTTAAGTGGAAATGACATAAGTATAGCTGTTGTACAAGAGTTTATGTGTGGGAAACGCAATCATTAACTCGCTCCCATTCTTGTGATTTAACGTTTGAGTTCAATGTCAGATAAAACTCAGCCTTCACATCTCTACTCTGAATCATTACAAACTACAAGAAAGCGACACCTCGAGACGTTTACGGCGGGCCTATACTACGGCGTCTGGGAGTATGTATACTTTACGAGCTCAAGGTTCACGAACAGTATCACGAGTGTGTACTTTATGTCCTCATTCCAGTATTATGTAGCTGCTTCAGACTCCTTCGCCTTGATCAGGCGGAGACATGTTGCTATGAACCCCAAGCTGAGAGTTGTGCGTGTTCGAGCCTTGCATGACTCAGTAGCTTTTATAACTCCTGCTGACTGCTCGAGCTGCAAGTATGGCCCTCAGATCGCATACAAGCAGTACAGATAATGTTATGTAGCGAGTTCCCGTGATTTCAAGGGCCATTCAAACACTGCACTGCAGACGATGTGTTGTCTTACTTATCTGCTCTAGCGGGGCGTAAGTGTAAGGCAGTGGAACTACAGCTCCAGTAATGCAGTCGAGGCCATTACAGTCAATGCACAGTTGATAGCTCGTAGAGTCAATTGCAGAGTGTCAAGAGATCGCGGAACAACGTGAAATGTGTGTACAACTCCAAGCGCTTGGGCGGGTAATCCTTCCATCTTTCCAAGGTCGTCTCTTTCTATGCACTAGCTCCATCCTCAACCACACACTGAAAACGAAGCTCATGACATTAATATCAAAATATAACTGCCTCCAAGGTTCCCAAAAAATACCTCTCTGACAACGAAAAATTGATCGAACTGAAACCCTTCTGGAACGTTGACTGCGGAGTCCGTACTTCTCACATCCCATTCCAGACAACCACGGACACATACCATTTCACCTCTGGCCCCCGATCGACAATGTCCTCCACCAAGATTCTCACGCGCGTACTGGTCATATCCGATACCCACGGCGCATCCGTACTCCAACAGAACCTCCACACCAGCGCAGACGTCCTAATCCACTGCGGCGACCTTAGCGAACGTTCCGAGCTCCCAGAATTCCAGAACACACTCAACCTGCTCAAGACAATCGACGCACCCCTAAAATTGATCATCGCAGGAAATCACGACTGGACGCTTGACCCCTTAATCTTCGCGGCCAAGTTGAAAGAAGCCGGTCTGGAAGCTGACGATGAAAGGGTCATCGAAACGTATGGGACACCTGGACAAACGAAGAAATTACTCCAATCGGAAACCGCTCATGGTATAATTTATCTAGATGAAGCGATCCATTCTTTCCAATTACGAAATGGTGCAGAAGTGACGGTTTACGCGAGTCCGTATACGCCTTCCGTCAATGAGTGGGGCTTTCAATATGGCCCCAGCATCGGACATGAATGGAAGATGGATGCTGACCGTAAAATCGAAATCGCTATTACACATGGCCCTCCGCTTGGCCTGCTGGATCAAGTCGGGAAGAAGCGCGCGGGATGTCCGGGCCTTTTTGATGCGACCGCGCGCTCGCAGCCGCAGTTACATTGCTTTGGACATATCCATTCAGCATGGGGTGCGCGACGCGTGGCTTGGAAGCCGAACCTTGCGGCCTCGGATTTGTTGTCTCATTTCACGGCGATTGATAATAACCATTCCGCGGTGCTGGCAACACTGAGCAAACTTGGTCCTCAAAAATACGACTCGGACAAAGAGAAGGAAGCTAAGGAGCAAGCATGCCGAGCGAATGACGAGCGTGGGTTTTGCTTGGCGACGTTGGAGCAGAACCGAGATCAAGGTAGCAGTCCGGCGAAGACACTGTTCGTCAATTCTGCGCTGGGGGGTAGCAACGAAGACGACCTGGTGAAGCAATTGCCGTGGATGGTGGAGTTGCTACTCCCACGTTCGGCGACTGAGTCGAAGAAGCGCAAAAGGGATGGCGAGGATGACCCAATCTCGAAGAGGGACGGCGGGTATGGTGACGGCGTGCCTTCACTTGTTGCGTCGATTTCCAACTGACTCATATGCCGGCGATACAATCGATGTAGATAGTTTTGATCTGGAGATGAACTCGCTTATGGGTTGACCTGGACGTAGTTTCCTAGAGAAGAGTACAACAATTAGCAACTCGACAGAACAGTCTGGGCGAAAGCTCAATGCCAAGTTCGAACGCAGGGTTAAAATATTCGTAACATTGAATGGTCCACGAAGTGAACTCCAGCGTAAGATTATCCAAACTTATCACAGACGTAAGGCGAGACTCACCAGGAAATTGTCCTTTTCGCACGCCGATCTTGCCATTCCACCACTCGTTGACATTATTCGTGCGCGACACAATCTCAATGACCTCGCCCGCGGTAAATGAAAGATCTCCGGGAGCTTGCGCCTCGTAGTCATAGAGTGCCGTGACAGTCTCTACATTTGCGAGTGCCGCGCCGGCCAATTTTGCTGGTTTGGGTTTCGGAGGGGGCGGCGCTGCACCCTTGGCTTTCGCGGCTGACGTCCATGCGGTCGCGGTGCTGTTTGCTCGGGCAAGGTCGGAAGCACCAAGCTGAGCGGAATACACTGGAGGTGGAGCGGCGTTGTCTTCGTCTTCTTCGTTGATTGGAGGGTTGTGGGCACCGGCAGTGAGACGATGAGAGGCTGAAGCACTAGTGCCGCCATTCTCGATTGCAAGACGGCCTGCACCGTACTTGGAGGCAGGTCTTCGAGGAGCGCCTGTAGATTTGAATTTCACAATTGCGAGCTTCTCGGTCTCTTCCTGGATTCCGAGGCGCTTCTGCTCGAATGCCTCTTCGATTCCGAGCTGTAGATCGAAATATCCAATGTCGATACTTTGCATTTTCTCGTGGAGAGTGTAGAAGACGTTGAGCTGCATGTAGTAGAAACTTTGGAATAGTGGTAGAATGAATTCGCGCTCAAGGCGGAAGAGTAGCGGCAATTCCTCTTTCATCAGATTATTGAAGTACTCGAAGTCCTGCGTGGCCGACTCTACGTCCGCTTCAGCCCGATAGAGCGCCTTCTCGTCCTTGAGTGTTTTGTCCTTTTTCTCCTGAAGCTTTTTCAATGTAGCGTTGTGCCGATCATAATCGAGCTGTTTGTGATCGCGTTTGATCGCCGTCTTGCGTACCGCTTTGACAATCTCCAGCAATTCGTCTGCAGGCTTTACAACCCGCTGCTCGATCATCTCCAACTCGGGCTGAAGGCTGACCTTGAGTTCGTTCACAATGTTGACGTATTCCTCGCATGCACGTATGCCTTCAGGGTTGCCGTCAACGACGTAAGAGTCCGGGTCACTAGCACGGCCGGAGATGGGCTGGTAGACTTCTATGCATGCTTTTGAGAAGCCGATCTGGTGGTCTAGCATGGCATTGATTGCCTGGAAGTACTTTTGGCTCTCCTCGTGCAGCTTCTTGCACTCGCGCTCGAGATCGGCGAATCGTAGTTCAGCATCAATGTACACGGCATCTTTGGTGATTTCGCCCATATTAAACCGCTGCTTGAATTGCTGCGGCGCCTGGAAGGTGAAGGCGTTAGAAGCTGGTCTGCGTTGGAAGGTTTGCGCGAGTGGTGATTGCCTACCCGCGTCACGGTCTTTTGAAAGCCTTTCCAACTCATCTTTGCGACGTCCGAGAGTTGTGTGCAGTAGTGAGGATGGTCGAGGAGAAAGGGGATGCAGTAGAGCAGAAAGCTGTATATTCGTGCTTGCGCGACAAGGAGTCTCGATTTCAAAACGTGGTTGTATACACAAGGTATGCAGGGTGATGGAATATGGCTGCGAGCACTTTACCAACTACCCCATGTGAAGGTGAAGGGTGGCTATGCACTGGAATTACGATGGGATTACATATGCCGAGCAGCTTCCCAGGTTTTTGTCATGCATTATTCGGCAACCTAGCTGATGACGACGTCAGCGGGGCTGCGATGCTTCACTACCTGGATACAGTAGAGACACCGGAACACGGTACGCCAAGGGAAGGAGCCGCGAGGAGACGGAGTTGTGCACCTCGGACACAAAATGCACAATACGCATTCCTCGTCATGTCAAGATCTAGACGACTTGTCATAGAACTGTCTACTCCACACGTGGTTGGCGATGATCGTTCAGTAGAGTCGCCTCATATCCCGGATCGATTGCGGCCGACATACATTTGTGATGGGTTCCAACGTTACAAGAGGAATGGATGATGCGGACAGGGTACTATCACGTGATACTGGAGCCCAGCATCGAGAACCTCAGGCACGGACCACTCTAGCTTCGGCTCCGATGAGATAGAGACTGCAATTGAGCCTCTTGTCCGTTATGCTGAAATCATCACCAACTTAACAGCAAAAATGTCACATATTGCTCCCAATACTGTGCGTCAAGCACTCCGTCGGTCATCTCGATCGCTCCCATCATCATCATCACCATCATGTCCATTCACATCGCAGACTCCGCGAGCATGTATCGCCGCTCGTGGACGACGAAATTATGTCTCTGAGACCAGTCCCAAAAACGCCACCGTCAATGTCGAGAGTACTATCCGCAAAGACCAAAAGGCATTCATGTCAGAGACAGGACTTTCCATCAAGGACGCCCGTATGCCCACTACTGGTATGCCCGCAGAGGCAATGATGAGCCCGGCTGCTGGTATCCTGAAGCAAGCAACGGTCATGGACGAGGGTACTCGGCCAATCTATCTCGATATGCAAGCCACTACCCCCACCGACCCGCGCGTGCTCGACGCAATGCTTCCCTTCCTCACCGGTCTATATGGTAACCCACATTCAAGAACACACGCTTATGGATGGGAGACGGACACTGGAGTTGAGCAAGCGCGTGAGCACATTGCCAACCTCATCGGCGCTGATCCGAAGGAGATCATTTTCACGAGTGGTGCGACGGAAAGCAACAACATGAGCGTCAAGGGTGTTGCGCGCTTCTTCAAGCGATCCGGCAAGAAGAACCACATCATCACTTGCCAGACCGAACACAAATGCGTGCTAGACAGCTGCAGGCATCTTCAAGATGAGGGCTTTGAGGTTACATATCTACCGGTGCAGTCGAATGGTCTCGTTGACCTCGCTGCGCTGGAGGCTGCTATGCGACCAGAGACCTGCCTTGTTTCAATCATGACTGTGAACAACGAAATTGGTGTAGTGCAACCGATGGAGGAGATTGGCCGGTTATGTCGAAGCAAGAAGATCTTTTTCCACACCGACGCTGCTCAGGCGGTCGGTAAGATTCCTCTGGATGTCAACAAGATGAACATCGACTTGATGTCAATTTCCGGACACAAGATCTACGGACCGAAGGGAATCGGCGCTTGCTACGTCCGAAGACGGCCGCGTGTTCGCCTCGAGCCGATCATCTCCGGCGGTGGACAAGAGCGCGGGCTACGATCGGGCACTCTTGCTCCAGCACTTATCATCGGATTTGGCGAGGCTGCACGGATATGCAAGGAAGAAATGGAGGTAAGTTCCTGATAATTTTCGTTTTCAGCATTTTGGACCACGAAGTCGACGACTATATGATTACACGCTTTATACATGCATGGCTTTCTGAGATGTGCTTTGACCGGCACGCTTCATGCTGATGCTCAGCAACTTACCGATGATTCTGTCTCTTCTTTCGTCCCATTGTGCGTTTCGCGCAGACAATTTGCTTCACACGCGCAAAACTTGCTACGGAACAGGCTTCCTTGATGACTGACATTGATCCCTTCTTATAGTATGATAGCGCTCGCATCGCCAAGCTCTCCCACCGTCTCCGCTCCACGCTTCTCAGTATGGAGCACACCACGCTCAATGGCGACCCGACAGCACACTACCCGGGCTGCGTCAACGTCTCCTTCGCCTACGTCGAAGGCGAGTCTCTCCTCATGGCCCTCAAGGACATTGCCCTCTCCTCCGGCAGTGCTTGTACTTCAGCTTCGCTCGAACCCAGCTACGTCCTCCGCGCGTTGGGCAGCTCAGATGAGTCAGCGCACAGCTCGATCCGCTTCGGAATTGGACGTTTCACGACTGACGAGGAAATCGACTACGTCATCGACGCAGTCAGTAAGCGAGTCACCTTCCTGCGCGAGTTGAGTCCTCTATGGGAGCTGGTGCAGGAGGGTGTTGACCTGAACACGATTGAGTGGTCGCAGCACTGATGAGATTTTTGTTTCCCTGGGGAAGGTGGTGTTCTTAATGATTATCCAAGTCTCGGTGGAGCCCAAAGCGTGGCTCGGTTGAGCAATCTTCTTTCTTCTACTTCTACTTCTCCTTCTACTCTTGATATCATGTAGTATTCTTCATCTATGTTACCATCAACTTATTCAAGCTGATTAAATTTGCTCCCGTTGTCTCATTCGATAAGTACGGTCCACAGAAGGCGACACGAGACTGATAAATGCAAACTTTGCTTCGCCAGCTACATTTGCAAAGGCGAACAATCAACATATCTTGCGGTACTGAAAATTTGTGACAAACAGACGTGGACTGATCGTGTCTCTTCCGAAGGTTCTCCGGGTACATTATAAACTTGGACAATACCTGGCGTCGTGGTGGGGAAGCAACTCAGGACTTGCAGTTCTTTCAAGTATCAGTCGCTACTTTGCACCAAGTACCAATATTGTCGACTCGTCCGATAAGATCAGCCTTCACTTCAAGGGCAGCCGCAGCTTACAGGCGCAGCAAGATATGCAGGCAAGCGAAGGATAGATCCATCGCTTCAGCGCATACGATACCATGGAAGATTGCAGGCTTCCCTCGCTGGAGCGGCCAACCAGTCGACCGGAAGTTTGATCTGTCACATTTTCCGTCGCGGAGAGATTTCGTTCGACATGGACATTTGCCGCAGCACCATGGCAATGGCAGTCACAGCGAGCATTATTCCGGTAGCAATGGCCGGGATCGTGTGTCCTGTCCTGCATCCGGTCCTTTTTACCATACCCCGGTAGACGATGGCGTCATGTTGATCTATCACTCTCGATGCACAGGGAGGTAGGAATGGTATACATACCAGCTCTCGAGCATACCTTCGATGGAAAAAACGGTCTTCTCTCCCGAATGGCAATCTTGCCGACGGAGAACATGGATGACATTCCCCGTACGCGACGAAGGTCCTTGGCCACCATCATGAAACATCTTCACGTCGGGACTGCTGGCAACGCCGCGGACGTTTCACCTTGCGTGTTTTATGATCCTCGAGCCAGAAGGCCGACACGGTCGGTGCAGGCTCATCCGAAACAAAAGGTGCAGTTGCGTCGTTTCATCAAAAAATCGCTGTCGGTCGCAGATCTTTCGGTGGGAAATGGTCAGTGATCTCCGACTGAAGTCCTCAAAGATGTTTTGACGAATACATCTGACAGGAACAGAATTCTTCTCGCCTCGCGCATCACGGCGACCGCGCGCAGTTTCGTTGAGGGATCTACTGTCGCAGGAACAGCTCGGGGGAGGACATGAGACCTGCGTAGCATTTGCGACGCAAACGTCATGTGTATGTGCGTCAGACGAAACGTTGCAGGCCTCGTTATCAGCTTCATTACCACCACAGGCGCTTCTTCAAGACAGTCGAGTGTTTCCAAAAGCGCGAGTGCCGCGCAAAGCGCATTCTGTGGACGGGTTTGCCCAGGCTGTCGGCGCAGCTGCACCATGCATCTGGACACAACGCAAGTTCACCAAAATCGTTTCATCACCTCTTATCAGTCCCGAAACGTGTAAAGATAATGTTGCACAGCCTTTGGCATGTTCCAGGCTGTATGATACCCGGGCTGATCAAGCAGTACGAAAGTCGTACGACCAACAAGGTCTAAACAGCCGCCGGCGCATCACAAAATGCGATGACTTCACACATTCAACGCAACAGTGCGCACAACAACATTCAAGTAACACCAACCGCAATATCGACATTCCGGCCCCCATTGCAACAGTAAACGCGAGTGGGAACTATGTGGTGTCGGATTCGCGACCCAGCCGTCAGATCGACGACTGCGCCGCTGATAGCGCCACTGGGCCGAACATGGAATCCTCCAGCCCATCCAAAAATTGGGACACGAGCAATGTATATGCCGAATCGCACCTGCAGTTTTCTACAGAATTTAATCCTGAGTCGTTTGAACGACGGCGCGAAAAATCGCCGTCGCTGCCAGTGTTGAGAATTACTACAACCAGTTCTTCTTGGCAAAGGAATAAAGACAGAGAATATCACATCGATGCATATTCAATGGCGACGACATCTCCAACCCTGCTGTCTCCAAGTGCATTGGATGACAATATGAGGCGATCGCGTGCAGGTCCGACTCACCGCCGCACAGTGCGGAAACGAGTTGCACCAAAACGAAAAATCAGCCACCGTGGAAAAAGCAGTATGGTTCCCGAGTTTTTGCCAGCGATCAAAGAATGGTCACCTACAAATGCCATGTCTAAGCGTGGGTTCAAGAACACAAAGACGAGACCACCGTCCATGCCGTTGCCACCCCTCCCACTGTTCCACGATTCACCTGCTGCGACGCCAACAGCGACAACGACAGTTATGACACTTCCGCAACCTGATCGATGGCGCCCGACGATATATATCCCTGGACCGATATCTATTCAGAAAAGAACGAAGAACACACGGAGTGACTCGGCGACTGCGTTCGACGATGTCAAAATCCTCGATTCTACAACCGAAATCGAGTCGCACAGCTTCGACGACGAAATTTGTCGATTCTTTGACGGATTCTGTTTTGAACCAGTCAAATACCTGCCCGACTCATTCTTACCTACACGAATACGTCCTGTCCAGCGGTTCAAATTACCTGTTGTGCCTCGACTACCAACCAAGAGGGTTGAGAGTGTTGTGGAACCGGCTGGAGATATTGCCGACCTTTCGTTGTTCAGCGTCTCGCCCTTCAAGACTGAACCAAAGTCGCTATCTGCGATCAAATCGGCCCCGGACGGTGACATTGTCAAGTCTGCCATGCCTCTCTCACTCAATTCACATTTCCCTCTCAAGCAGTCACCCCCTCCAACAACATCAGAGCAGAAGAAGAGACGGCCAAAGGAAACCGCGACAAGTAAGCCGATGATTCGTGTCGACAGTGGTTACGACGAGAACAATGTAGAGGAGAAGATCGCTCGTGGACCACAGACGCCTCACAATCTCAGTATCAGTCCTCCACGAGCAAACCATCTCCGCCAGCGCAGCCGCGGCCCGGCGACTCCGCCTCTGCCTGTTCCCAAAGCATCGGTCGCATCATTACGATCTTTATCGGCGTCAATGGGTCCTCAGCCTCCTGTACCAGCGCTCTCTGGATTCTCCGGCCTCTCAAAGCTCACCGCACAAATCCGCGTCTCCCGCGAAGACCAAGATCTCCCGCTACTTTCACCACCTCCTCTCCGATCCCCACCTCCACCACCTTCAGCGACTCTATCAACATTCAGCCAAGCTGAGAACTGCATCCTCGACCAACTCTCCACCCTCAATGCCTCGCCTCCACCCCGGCCTAGAACCGCCATCGACCAAGAAAAGTCCACCCGGCCCACCGCTCCAGCCTTTCACTTTCCCCTCCGCCCTCACATACCCAACGCCACATCCACACTCGCACCAGCCTCTCCCACCTCCCACCTGCGCTCCAAAAGCGTCGACACACACCTCCACCGACACCCTTCCACGCGCACCCTTGGTGGCGGCAGCAGCGCCAACGCCAGCGTCGACTTCGACTGGTGGGGCTCGGACAGTTCCTCGGGCCTGAAAAGTCGTCCTACCTGGAAAGCCCCGGCCCCCGTCCTCCCGCCTCCGCCGCCGATCGAGGTCCAGATCCAAATGAAAATTCAAGCGCAGGCCCAGGCACAGATGCAGAAGGGGCATCGGAGACAGGGCAGTGCGGTGGGGAGGATTAGGAGGTTGGTTGCGATGGCTTGAGGAATATTGGGTCACGACGACGGTGGCTTTCTTTGTGTTTCTTCTATGTTTTGGTATTGGGAATGGGATTTTTCCTTTATCGGCGTTTTGAGGTGGGATGATACCAGATGTTTGCTGTTTCTTGCAGTCTCCGCATTGCATCGTGTTGGAGCGGACATGGGTGGAGTTGGGATTATGATTATCATGAACGACATTGAACGTGTTTCTTTTTCATCTCTATCTGAAATATCTCAACAAATTGAGGCAATTAATTCTCTTGTGCGACCGCGATTGGAATAGCTCACGTCGTCCTTGCTCTCCCGCGCCACGGGCGTCGGGTCCAGAAGAAGCGCTGAAGTCTACACAGTGCAACTCACTTTGGGAAAAGATAGACAACTGTGTGTAATGAGCGCACAAGATATCGCGCAGTCCTTTCCTACCGACCATGACGCTCAAGTGACCGGAACAGACACAATCCAATGCCATATCCACCCACTCACGAAAGCATGTAATATCCTGAGGGAAGGATCACTGGTACGGTAAATTCAATAGTCCCCAGGGCTGACCTCAGCACAGCCCAGTCAGCCAGCCGGTCAGCCGCCAGCGAAGAAGGCTTTCCCCATGTATGCGCAGCCCACGCGAGACGAGAGGGATAGGCCACTGGGGTTTTCGAAGTCTAGTCCTTGAGCGCGTATTGGGAATAGATTTGCGTAGCAGCGTCATCGAGGAAGTACGTGAGGAGATCGAGGGAGTTTTTAACGTCGTGATGAAAGTGTGTTGGCGTGTGAATGCTCATCTGAGGGCTTCCAGCTGGGTGTAGTACTAGGGTTGGTGTTGGGCTTATCATTTGCAGACTCTATCATAGTCGCGAGATACAGATGTCGCTTCTGGCATGCTCGCTAAAGCCAAATTTTGTTTGTGTTCAAAGGCGACAGATCGAGCGCCGCTTCTCACTGTCGACGCGTCTGTGTCCATGTGTGACCCAATACGCTGTACAATGTCGCAATGCCTCCAGACCCCTGAGCAAAATCAAATAGCTGCTGTAGCTCTAACGAGGGCAGCAACCGACCCCGGGGCTGAAGGACCGACTGTTCCAACACTGGATCTTATCCTAGTCACTCAATGTCGGCCCTCCGGCTTCTCTATCGTCCACATGGCGATTATGTCGTCCTGCTGCAAAAGCTCCAGTACAGCAAAGCTGGAGCAAGATGGGCCTGCACACCGCGGACCTTTGAAAGTGTAGTCGGACCGCGGATATTGCACCCTTTTGTGTCTCTCCTATTGGATCATGAACTCGTTATGAACACATTTTCTTCATCACAGAAAGTAATGAGTACTATCCAAATCTCAAATCAGGGGTATCATTGTCATATTTCTCGTTCCTAAGATCCATCTCGATCATCCCTTCAAGAAAATCCACCAATCGTCACATATCACAACGATCGAAGCTCCTTCGCTTGCCTCAGTTCATCCTCCAATTCAACGATCCTCTGCTCACGCGCTTTGACAGCCGCTCGTGCTATCTCACGACCCATGACAATACCCTGCACGCGAAGATCATGCGTTGCCAGAAGCGAGCGAATCTTCGTCAACGACGACTCCGGGATGGCAGTAAGCAGCGGGAGGATCGTGGTGGTGAGTGGAGGTAGGGAAGGTGTCGTGGGAGTTGTGGGAATCTGCGTTTTCGGCGTCGTAGTCGGGTTGAGAGGTTGGTGTGACTTGGAGCATTCGCTTTCTTGCAGTTTCGCTAAGGAGAAATTTTCGGGCGGTGGAGTCGAGGGCTCGTTGAGAGGCATGAAGTGTACACGCGGGCGCGTGGCCTATGCGGTTGCGTCGACCGGCGGATACGAGTCTTGAACGTATTCTGGTCTTGTCTCTGCGGACTCGTCTGTAATGGTGGATGTTGGACTGAGTGAACCTGATTTGACTGGCGGCGCGAAGTAGTCTAGCACTGATTTGCGGGTCCGCGTTGTTGTTGGTGTCACAGGCTCATCTACGTTCCGTGTGAATGACGGTGTCTTGAGCTCTGCGCCTCGCCTCGCCGGTGTCGGCGATGTAGGTTCGTCGTCGAGCCAAGGTAATTTCCTCGGGCTTTTCTTGGTGGTCGTAGTCGCCGGCGTAGCATAGACACCAGTCTTGATAGCCTTTCTTGGTGTATCCGCTTCATCGGCGATGCGTGCCAACTCTGATTCTTCTGGACCATCTAGTGCCCATCCAAAGTCATCGTCATCAGTGTCATCCATCCCAGCACTGCGAGCGCTCCGCTTCCCCGGACCACGTGTGTCTCTGACGGGTGACGGCGATGATGTCGGTGAGTCGAGTCGCACCGGACTCACACGTCGTCCAGTACCCGAGAACATGCCTTTCCCGGCAGGCAAGTTGGTCGACCTGCTAGGCCTGGATTCCTTTGCAGGCGTGACAGGCTGTGCCAGTTGCTCCGTCTGCCGCTGTGCTCCAGCGCCAGGTTCCGACCGACTATTTCCCAACACAGCCGCCGCCTCTCGCGGTTTAGCCTCCTCGTCCCACAGAAAGAAACCACACCTCTTATCCGCATCAAGCTGACAAGTGTAGAACCAACGGCCCTTATTCGTACCTTCCTTTTTGACCTTGAAGTGCTCGGCGGGTAGTCGCGGCGTACAGTCGCAGTGCCAGACCCCGTCGGCGAAGACCCCGCGGGCGGTCGCCTTTGCATTGTTGGTACTGGTATTGCGTCTATGGTAGCCGCTACTGCCGCCGTTTGAACGACCTCTGCTGCTGCTGAAGTTACGGCGACTTCGGTACCGGCTTCCGCGATTCATCGTTGCGGCTGGTCGTGATATGATGATCGTCTTGTTCTTGTCAATATTGATGGGATAATGTCATGAATGTGAGGTATTTGACGACAGGCTTGTGCACTGTGGCGCCTTAGTTGTGATGTTCACTTGTTTTTCATGATTGTTGCCCGGGCGAATCAACTCAGTGGGCATCGAGAAGTGCAGCGGGGCAACGCCCGACAATTGTGGCTGGTTGGCTCCAAGTGCAGATGCATATCATGTACTGTACTGTAGTTTCACGTGCCACGCGAGAAATTGGGCTGGCTTGGAATCGTCGCAAGCGATGGAGCCAAACCACATGGCGCGGAACCTCCCGCTCTATCTACCCTGTGACGTCAGTCGCATGTTTCGCCGAGGTCTTCACTCACCATTGTTCGGTCGAATCTACCACCTCCTCAGGTATCGCTCAATATTATTTTACTATTATCAATCAGAGAACGAACAGAATGGCAAGTTTGTGTTTCATGAATTCGTTCGAACTTGACAACACTCCGTGTAATGCGGCGTAGCTGGGCGTTAGCCATGGGCGCATTCAATAAACTACGGAAACCCTTGCGAAAACCGAGACAACTTTTCGTCGGGTCCTCTATACAATGACAACATTGTACTGGACCCAACATCTGCCATCTGCCGGCAAACGATCTTCAATCCTCCACGCTTTTGCTCGCGTCGGCCGCCTCTTTCGGATCTTGCTCCTGAGTCTTCTTCGTTTGTGCTTCTGAGTCTGCTGCCGCGGATGCGGGTGTTGCGGCCATGGAGGTCTTCGCGTCTTTGACATCCAGAGTCTTAAGCTTCTCCTCGACATCTTTCGCACGAGTGGTTTCTTTCTCCTCGGTCACTTCCGGGACGGAGGCCTTGGACTCTTGAGCTGCTACAGCCGGAGTAGACTCCTTTCCACTTTCTTCTTCGTCTTCTGCTTCCGCAGCAGCCTCCTCATCCTTGGACTCCTTCAGAGTCAACGATTTCTCGACCTCGCGAATTACCTCAGCAGGTGCCTCCTTGATCTCACTGCCCCGATGCGTCGAGGCTGATGAAGCCACAGTTTCTGGTGATTTCGCACTGTCGGGTGATTTTACTGCTATAGGGGCCGATAGCGCAACATCCTGGGCTTTACCCGTGGATGTAGCAACGGTGATATCTGCGCTCGGTTTGATAGCAGAATCAATCGATCCTGGTGCTTCTGGTTTCTCCGTTGTAGCTGACGTCGTTGATGGCGCAGATGCTTTTTCCGCAGCCTTCTTCTCCACGAGGGAAGCATTGGTAGAATTTGATGAGGGACTTCTGGGTTCTGCTGTCCCGTCGGCGAATGAAATGCTCATCTTCCGCTGAGGCATTGGGATGCCGCCGGTCTTCTCCTTTTCCGCCTCTCCTGCTGTATCCTTGCTCTTCGTGGTAGAGACGGCAGACTCTCCTGTCTTGCAGCTTTCAGATGTTACCGCTGCCTTGGCTGTCTCGAGCGCTTTCGCGGCACGTGCTGCAATCTCAGCAGCACCTGGTAAGGCGTAACCTTTGGTCCTGTCAAAACCAGCTTCAGGTATTTTGGCAGCGGGTACGGCGGTTTGGCCATATACGCCTGTAGTATTCGTGGAGCCTGGTGCACTAGAGCTAGGTACTGCGGAAGAGGCGAAGCGGCTCGGCGGAGCGATGTTGACGCCCGTTTGGCCGCCGCTTGGAGCTGCTGCGTTGTGTGCAGGCACAGGCCCGATGTTCTCTTTGAGCTCGCCAAACTCATTCCACTCTTCAACTTCCGCGAGATCCTATCATGGAGTTAGCTACTGAGGCCCTGCATGCTATTGAAGATACAGCGCTGCGTTCACATACACCAATGACAAAACCCTCCTTGACCAGGCCAGGCAACTTCCGTCCACCAGCTCGGCGCTGCCATAAGCGCCGTGCCTTTTCATCCGTGGCCATATCAATCGCTTGGAATGGAATCTTGTTGGCCTTCAGAATCGTCTCGAGCCGTGACGTCGCGGTGATGATGTGGGAGGAACCGGCAGTCAGTGAGGTATAGAGAAAGAGTCGCGGATCCTTCTCCAACTCTAGGAGAGACATGGGCGAAGCTTCCGCCATGCTTGGGATTCTGATTGTGAGATGAATATTGGAATAGTGAGGACTGTCGAATGTATGGGAAGGCTGCAGGGAATCGTGGCTGTCGGTGTTTCTACCCGTCGACTCAAGACGATTGAGATGAGCTACCGAGAACGATGCGCGGTCCCTTTACGACGTCGCGGACGTGAAATGGTTATCTGTATATCTAATCGAGGCTCCGAACTTTTCTGTCCTGCTTTGTCGTCATAAGTCGGCAATAGAAGAGATAAGAAGTAGATTGCAGATTGTTCGTGCAAAGAGCGTAGCTAGAAATGCCCGCTCGTGACCGCGCCCAATGACGGAATGTGGGGAAGGGGCTCATCAAAGAGGGCATATGTATGACAATCGATAAGCAATTGCCCTGATTTCGGGTCGTTAATTCGCGCATTTAAAATTAGGCCGTCTCGGGCCCTTGTCCGATGGTTATAAGCCGACCGGTCCACGTCAAAACCACCCACGCGCGCCCACGCCGCGGGTAGCCTTCAGCAATCAATGCTCTCGTTCAGCAAACGGACGTCATTCTATGATGATGGAACGTCGATGCCATTTCGGAAGGCTTAGTTTGCCGCAGAAATTCTCATGTGCGGCTGAGATGTGGCGCTAACGATGACGGCAGTATCAGCAACGTGGGTAGTGGAAGTCTACAAGATGTGCTAGGCATCTATTGTTGCTACTGGCGTTGAAAATTGGGCGTATCTCGAAATTTCACTACCACTAATGAGGCTGGCATGTGTCCGTCTAATAAGCCTGTTCCCATAATATAAGCCCTCAGAAAATGAGTGCCAAAGAGGGTCACTATGATACACTGGACGGTGTGTGGTCACTCTCGGAGTACGACTCCGAACTCCTGCTTCAGTCGCAGGCGATATTCGTGGTCTGCTAGGTTGCCGCGTCTTATTCTGGGGGTATATATGTATGGAGCGAATTGCACTGTACCATCGGCCCCCGCGTGAATTATGATGCCCCGTCCGTTATCAAAAGTTTCCGAGAAGTCTGGATCTGCTTCATTTGTGAATGCGAAGAGGTTGTCTTGATACAAATTGTGTAGTCGGATGTGCTCGAGATGAAAGGATTCGCCCACCAGCAGAGGCAATAACCGCAGAAGATGGCCTATACCTTCGAATACGAGATGCGAGAGCTCGATACTGCGAAGCGTACTGGCGTGATTCTTCAGGAAAGTGCGCAAATCTTTTGGGCTCAACACAAACCCGGCGAGATGAAGCTTTCTTAGTCGAGGTATCTTCACAGACAGGAGACATTCCATTTGTTCTGCGCGATGCGACAGCCTTACGCTTTGTTCTTTAATTGGCGTATTCGAGCTATCATGTTGCCGGTAGGGCGTGATGTACGCTTCCTCTAGGTTAGAACAGGCCCTTAACAACGCGATCAAGCGTGTGAGATCTACGGAATTTTTGATGATGTCCGTGCCTAACACGTCGAATCGCCTTGCCTCGGATGAGTGTGGAGGTAGAGGCATCTCTGCGACACTTATCGCGAGAGAGCGTAGAGTGCTGAACGTGTGCGTGGTCAGGGAAGCTTTCCATGTCGATGGACTCAGGGCTATACTCGGAACGCCACATTCGAAACCTGCAGGACCGGACTTGAATAGATCTAGAGCTCGAAAAGAAAGACTCGTCTCTTGCAGAGCTAGTACTACCGACGAAAAGGTATCCAAGCACGCCTGTGAGATGATTGAAGGCGAGATCCCGACAGCATCACGCGGCACGACTGGGGGGTTCGAATCATCCATGTACACCACAATCACCATCGAGATCGTGTCTAGATCGCGTGAATTGGACAAAACCAGGTTGGAGAAAATTGTGGTCAACAAGGAACTGTCGAGACCCTGTCGCTGAACAAGCGTGTCGTCTGCCTGTTGCTTCTCAAGCCCAGTCAAAGTCGAATGGTCTCCATGTAGTCCTCCCGGCCTTGCTGTACGGTATGCACGCCCAACGATGGTCAAATTTCGTACACGCTGAGCTAGGCCAACGTCTTGAGTGAGCAGGGCGAGACTTGTCAATCTGCGCCTACTCAATTCTAGGCGAAAATTTTGAAAGCATGAATGAAATATTTCACACTTTGTAGCCTTGGTCGAGATGTCGCGGCTGAGTAGCCGCAGACTGTAGATACTGCTGATCGACAAATCTTTTGCGATTGTATCGAAAAGTTCTTGTGGCAGATGTTGAAAGTTTGCCTTGACCATGGTTTATCGAGTCGAGTGGAAGCAATGATTTTACGTGATTGAAAGTTCATGCGTGAATATAAGTGGAATACCGATGATGACTGGGTCTCCCTTGGAGGCGCTAGGCACTGTAAATGCCGATCAGAGTGAGTAGGCAGCTATGTTGAATATGTGTTGGCAATATGACAACGTATAAGTGCTGAATGCCGTGAGGAGATCGATGGTGAGACACTTGACGTGACAAGAGACATGGAAGCCTGTTCGCTCGACGACTGAGTGTAGATATGGAAAGCGCTGATTTATTTACAATCTTCGTTCTTGCAGTATGTGCATCCTTTACCTTTTAGGTAGTTGCGTCGCGCGCCAGCAGCTTCGTCTGCCTGCACAGGTTTGCCATTGCGGGCTGTGTATTGAACATCCTTTGTCATAATCTCTTCGTCACATCGATGTCACACGTCGATGAGACTACCATCAATCAGATAATCTGGTCTGATGAGATTATTGTTTTCCGTTGCCAAGGTGTAGGTGGTCTCTGCCTCCCCAATGTCTGATCAAAGCCCAGCCATGATGGGTTGTTCGGTGACATGCAGTGTTTAGGCATCCGTAAAACGCGCCGATTCGCGATACGGGATACGATCAATAGAGTGTAAAGCGCGAACTCCGACAACGTCACTTTGCCGTTCTTGCTGCTTCAGGCACAAGTGGGCGAAGCAAGCCCGTCAGTCAATGAATGACTTGGCCTGAAGCAAAATCACGGGTCATTATCATCTTCTGATAATTACTGTGATGCTATCTCAGAATGGCGCAAGTCCCGGAGCAGACGCTCACTTGGCTATACAGTCGACTTCATGTGAGCGACGAAAGCAATAGGTGGACGAGCCCCGCTCACTGATACTCCATTCAGGACTATCATGACCCACAGCGCGCATATACCGATATCGCACGAACGCTCTCAGTACATACCTCACTTCTACCGCGCACCGATGCATATACGTATGAGAGCGGTGCGCCTGCACTGCTTCTCAACCTCGATGGCACCATCCCAGCCAACTTCCGAGGAACGACATATCGCTTCCCCATAAAGCTTTGGGTTCCTCAAGCGTACCCACAGGAACCCCCAATGGTCTATGTGCATCCAAGCAAGGAAATGCTCATTCGACCAGGTCAGCATGTAGGAATAGATGGAAGGATATACCACCCCTACCTGAGGGATTGGGCGAGCGCATGGGATCGCGCCAACATAGTCTCCTTCCTGGAGATACTGCAACAGGTATTTGCTAAAGAGACACCGGTCATCAGTCGCGCACAACAACAGCAGCTACAGAGGCCAATTGGACAAAATTCGCATCTCACGAATACTGTTGAGGGTCCTCCACGGCTGCCACCAAAACCCAATGCCAAGGCTGCTTCAGGTGCCGTAGCAAGCACTGCAACGCCTCCTCCTAGACCACCGAAACCTGGAGAAGAGTATACTGAGCCAAGTAGAGATCCGGAGATTCATGGGCCGCCATTGCCGCCGCGACCACCGCAGGCGCGTCAAAGTCCATCAGCGCAATCACAGTATGGGCAGTATTCTTCACCTTCATACACGCAGAAGATTCCTCATATCGGGCAGTCAGTGACTTTGCCTACACATATTCGTCCCATGGACAGGCCGAATAACCCTACAAGCGCATCGCCCTTACAAGACATTGCCTACGATGGTCATCCCCACCAAATTCGGTTCTCGCATCCCAATCCAAGCTTGCGACAAACCGGATTACCTGGACAGCCATACTCCCCTTATACCAATGGAGCACAGAACCACATGCAAATACAAGCTCCTTTAGCAAGTAACCAGCAGTCTCCGCAACCAGTGCCCTATCGATCAGCAAGCGGCTACACGCCTGGTCCAGTTCCTGGGCGGCCGTATGGAGCGCCTGTGGCGTCTCCGCCGATGCAAATACAACCTCCAGTGGCAAGTGCGCACCCTCAAGTCGACTTGCTCTCCTCGCCACTTGACAGCGTCGATCCTTTGAATGTGTCATTGTCCCAGCACATTGCTGTTGAGGCGCCTCCAATCCCACCAAATCCCGAAAAGGAGCACCTTCAACACGCACTTCGTCAAACCCTAAACCAGCAAATCCAAGGCAAAGTGTCAAACAATCTCAACGCTATAGGCCCTCTCTCTGCACAAAATGTCGCTTTGCGGAACGCCGCTGCCAACCTGGCCGCAGAAATTCGTCAGCTTGAGCAATTCGCCGCGACCCTATCGACTAACGAAGACATTCTTCGTCGCAGCATGCAAGAGTGCGATTTAGTGATAGCAAAGATCCAAGGAAATGACCCAAAGAGAGCTTCCCACCATCAACAACAGCAACAAGGCGGCCTCGGCGGGAACTCTCACAGTCGTACGAATAGCCGCAGCGCCATAGCCAACGGCAATTCTTCAGGTGATTCTGTACCACCAGCGATCGATGATCTGCTCATCAACCCAACTCTTGTCGCTGGACAACTGTGGCGGCTCTGTGCCGAGGAAGCTGCAGCTCGCGAGGCCATGTACGTTCTACAGCGGGGACTTGGTAGAGGCAGGGTCAGCGGGCCGGAATTCATCAGGTTGATGCGTGGACTGGCACGCGAATGCTTTTTCAAGATGGCTCTCGCTCGGAAGTGTGCTCGTGGAATGGGCCTCGATGTGGCGGAAGGGAGAACTATGCACTGATGAGTGAAATTTGATTGATGCTCAGCGAAGGCGTACAACTATACTTCGTGCACACAATAATATGGGACTTCCGTGCTTCTTCTCACGGCAGTCTCTGGCTTTTGCATGTTCAACTACATATCCTAGTTTGTCGATCATATTTGGAAGGATCGATCGACCACCGACAAAGCATAACATGAGAGCAGAGCTGGAAAAAGTCTTCAATTCCGCGTTGATGTCTACTCATACATTACGTTCGTCGCTGACATAAGATTCAAATGCAAGCCGTCCCATGCGTTTCCCGCCGCTGTCCTGTGACAAGATAATCGCAAACCCAAATTCGCATCTAACACTGTGGGGAGTGAGCCAATCGCCACATCGTGGGTATCCCCTCGAGAACCAGATCTTCCAACTCATCCCTAGAGAATGAAAGCCAACAGACCCAAAACAGCATATCCGATCATGGGACCCGCACCCAACGCAACAGCCGCACCCGTCTCCGTCGGGGACGCAGCACCCTTACTCGAAGTCTTCGTGGGATCATGGACAGTCGGCGACGTACCATTCGTGGAGTTGAAGTTGTGTCCATTGGCCGTCCCGTTCAGACTCGGCGCACTCGAATCACAAATCGTCCCCGTCTTGTTCGAATTCGGCAACATGCCCTCACGGCACGTCGTCGCGACTGCTCCGTTCGTGACATCCACTTGATTCAACGCCGTCGCATTGCAGCTGTTACCCGGGACCGGGAACGGAAACCCGGAGTCGGGATAGACGGTGCAGGATTTCGCACAGGCGGCGTCGCCGGCGGTCGGGCTGGACTCGTAGCATTGGCTGTAGTGCACATCCGCGGGCGGTCGGCTCCAGTTGTGTGGAATGCAGTTCCCAGGGGTGCCGGTGCCGTTGGTGCACAGGATCACGACGGGCGTGGTCAGGGAGTCGCCAGCGCAGTAGGCACCGTCGGAGATGGGACATTTCCATGTGTCGGTGGCATTGTCACTGCGGAGTGTCACTGATGGTCCGTTGGATGTTTCGTGTCTTGGGGACTTACTATGAGACTTGTGCTGAGATGGTTGCGATCAGCGTGCTCGCTGCGAAGAGGACCTTGGTGGTGAACTTCATGATGGCAGACTTGTGCTTGGAGGCTTCGGTGATGGAGTTGGAACTAGGATGTCTAGTATCAAGGTGTTCTGAAGGAAGTCAGAATAACGACGGGAGTGAAACGCGGTGTATTTCAACGCGACCACGGCTTGACCAAGAAGTGGCGTGTTCGACGAAGGAGAAAACCGTTACGGTGGCGAAGGAGAAAGCAGTGACGTGTTGCCAAAAAAAAAACGACCGACAGTCAAATAACTTGTATTGTGGCTACGAAGATGGCACGTAGATGCTTGATGGAAACCCACGTGTTGCAGCTGTTCGTGGTCAGGAGGACTGTTGGCGAGAGTTGGTCCGGCGTACGTTTCGTCGTAAAAGAATGTGTGAGGCTCGGTGACGTTCGAGCAGTCATTTACTGAAGGTCACAAGGCATGGGAAAACGTGCAGGAACAACAACAGATGTGAATTAAAGATGGCAGGTGATCGTGAGAAAGCAAAGAGTGGGAAGTTGAAATAACGGGCTAATATGATCGGCATTGTGCATTGCTTTGGGACTCGATTTCGGTCTCCACTTTCGTACGAGATGATGGGTCTTCTATACAGTACCAGCACAAAATCCATGAACCTGGTTCGTAATGATCGGTTCGCGTCGTTCACGGTTGCACAGCAGGCGTGCGAGAAGGAGGAGGCTCAAATCCCGGCTTCCGGCTCCGCAACTCCGATATTGTCCTGTACCAACAACGATCGATCCATTGCTCTCTGGTTTTATTCAATCACGGTCACAAAGACTCGTAGCCTTCTAAATGATTCAGACAAGCAAACACACTTGTGATGCAAGGGCCTGGTCAATCAAGTGATTTCCGCAAATTCAACATGTGGACAACAAGCTGAATCTACCAGCGCTGGGGCACGCCGTTTGGGAGCAGTCTCCGCGTGTCGTTCGTTTAAGAGCAAATGCAGGCACACGAACGGCAGACGGGTACCGGCGTCGCTTTTGGGCAGGAGCCATTGGTGTCGTACCTGCCACGAGGATGGGAAGCAAATGTCCGGCCCCTTCATAGATCTCTTGCGACTGCTCTCCCCCGAGTTGCTCAGCCAGCCCCGGAGACTTCTATAGAAAAATATGGCGCTGACGTGGAGGCCTTTGAAGATTGGCTCAAGGGCAGCGTAACTTTGTTCGTGTTGATGCGAGCTATGTTCCTCGGTCTTGATGGTGAAGTTGTGATTCACCGAGAATTTGCAGATGTCAAGGCACCCCGAGACGCCGCATGAGTGCCTGCTCGAGGGTCTGAAACCTGCCACGAGTGGTGTTGAGACATCGAATTCGACAAGGCTGTGTCTCGGACATCCAAATGCGGCTTTTCAGGTGAAACTCGAATGAACTGTACCCCTGACCTCGTCGTTATCTTCAACAACGACTGTGACTGCTCGATGACGTTCTTTTTTCTGGTCTAGGCACCTCCGTAAATACGTATTCCATGTTGTCACCTAACGACCCGCTTTGCTCGTGTCGTTAAGGACGTAGTATATGTCACGATTATAAGCTGCCGTTAATGCAAGACGCTAAGAAGGAATTGGGAGCCTTCAATTTTGATCTCTTATCCTGGCCCGTCGCATCCACCAGATTATCGAAAGAGATGTAAGTATGAGATATCGAGTTGGGAGCGTGGCAATGACTCTATTCGATATGGTCGCAATGCCATTCCTCTTCTTGGCCTCCGAATAAAAGCAACGATCCGGCTCGGCAGTCAAAAAAGATCGGCATCGGCTACGCCTGGTCAAGACATCGGCCAAGGTCCCACCCAAGGAAGTGAATTTCAGCTTTGTAGTCGTCGATACGATTCACTTCCATTTTTGGATGACTGAACGATTTCCTCGGTCACGAATCACAAGCCTACGTGGGTTTTCTTAGAGTATTCGGAATTGTGGTCTACGACTCAGCCTAGATTCGTCCTGTATCGCCCAGACTATCAAGTATCGGAATTAGTGATATTGGGCGTCAAGGCAGCATATGAGGTTGGCAACGGATCTGAGGTTGGCAACGGATCATACATTGCATTGACAATACACGATTTTCGTCCTCATTTATGTAAGTGTCTAAATTTTAAGCGTCAGGCTTGCGGAGAGTCTCACGATTGACAACGCCGTGTCGAGCAGGCCCGGTCTTGACACTGTTGAGCAAGGCCCCATGAGATCTAAGAAGGAATCGAGACTAATGACTCAAGTCTGCCCGCAGATCATGCTTTAAATTGCTGTTATGGAATTTGTGAAATTTCTTGAACATTTTCACCCTGTAACGTCACGGATATCTCCATACTCGTTCCAGAATAGATGGGATAGGCTGTTCGGTTTGATCTGAGATTACCAAAGTCGCTCGCGCTATCTGTATGATGAGCGACCTGGTGCGTTAGACGGAAAGTAGAAAATGATGACCTCTGAGCACTCCATGCTGTGGCAATACACGAGAAAATTAATGAATGTTTCGAGTAACGTAGATTACGCCCGGCGCAGTTCGTGTCTAGGCCGAGCCTGATTCTGGAGAGATTGCCTTTTCATATTGGCGAACATGATGTATTGCTGCAGATTGCGGGCCACGTCTTTCATACTGACGAGATATTGAGCTAATGATCTCGCGTTGAAGTGCCAGCGGTTCAAGGCTTCGCGGGAGAGCAACAACGCGAGGCGCCGTTTGGGAGTAAACCTATTGAAGATGCTGTATTTTGTCAATAAAGTCTGAGCATTATGGACTTCTCTCGCGATCGTCCGAGCAGGCCGTAATGGCTTCGACAAGACTGTGGACAAATTGGCCTTTGGTTGGAAGGAGAAGGAAGCAGAAGCGGTTCACCATAGGAATCATGCTTCGATCGCTCCAACGCGAGATTTCTTTTCGCGCTCTCGCCTTCTCCTCTTCATTTGCTCTTCTTTGCTCTCGGTTGGTAGAGTCTGAGGTGCATCGGGCATTTCTTCGTTCGTGATAGTCGGTGCATCGGGCATTTTGGGCAATATCCCTGCTTCTCTTTCCAAAGCTTCCAATTCGTCCTCGACTGCATCTTCGTCCTCGTTTGACATTTGCCCGGCAAGCATCTCGCTTATCTCCTGCGAGAACAGGTTCGTCAGTACCAAATACTCAATCCAAGTATGACATCGAATCCGAGTGCGAGTTACCCTTTGATAAGCCTGCGCCTCGGCACTCTCTTCCAAGATCATCTCAACCTTCTCCAGACCACCGATCTCCTTATGAATAGCTTTGAGAACCGCTGTTCCTTGCTGCAATCCGAAGATTACGTCCTTCTGCACCAATGCGAATTCCACATCACTCGTCAGAGCCTGTAGTTGTGCCAATTGCTGATCCGTCTTCTCCAGCAGCGACTCCTGATATTTCTTCCTGCGCAACGCAAGAAGCGCGCGTTGCTTGTCACCTTTTCGCAAACATTCTTTGGCGATTTCTGTCTCGCGTGTCGTGACTACAGTGATGCGCTTCTGGTATTGGTGTAGCTTATCGCGCTGTATCTTAAGATCGAGTATTGCCCTTCACTGCCGATCAGCACCGTCGTTCTCCATTGTCGATCGTCTGTGTACCGACCTATCCTGTTGTGAGATTTTGTTGCTGCTGCCCGTGTTGCCCATTGCGCTCGAGTGTTGTTGCACGTCGGCCGCACCTGTGGCCCTTGCTTGCCCAGAGACACGGTTCACGCTTCCCACATGCAAGGAAGCGTCATGCGACTTCTTATCGATAAGCTTCGGTATCGGCCGGCCACGTGGGAATCGGACTTCAGTCCTCTCCACGGGCAAAATTTTTGACACGAAGCGCATCGGGTATGGAGGCCATCTCGGTCGTTTGTGAAGTGACATTCGGACCGTATTGCTTACGCGACAGGTGCTAAAGATCGCGGTATCGAGATCTGGCAAATCGATCGCTGGCTTGCATGATCGCGGCCGACAGTTCGCATTTTTGAAGTTTCTGTTCACGAGCATATAATACAGCAGCCTTGATTTGAATTCACTATTTTGTGAAGTGAAGTTACTTGCCGCGAAAGTACAATTCTAGAGAATACCTTGCATCTAGACCAACATGCCTTTACATGGCGCTCTCGACAACGAAGTCTATGTAATTGTGCAGAGATTTATCGACCAAGGGGTCCCTTCCGATCCATCAAGTCTATACAACGCATTACAAAGATCAAACTCATCGTTGAAAAGGCGGCCCAAGAAGACATTACTGGCCATTCTGGAAAAGGTTGTCGATTTCATCAAGTCTCAGAATCCCAACGACGAAGATTCCGAGGCCGAAGTCGAGGCGAAAATTCCAACAGTTGACCCAATCGCCGATCTCATGAACCGAAGTCTCCGATCAAATCTAGCTGGACCACCTCTAGCCTCATCAATGTCTTCTCCAATGAAACCAACGACAGTGACGGACGATCAGCGAAGATCGGCAAATGGCGAGTCAATGCCCAAACGCCTCAAACGGACGGCCAACGAGAAGATCTCTGTGGCTGCGCCGGAAGGTATCTCTCTCGGCGACATTGGTGGGATGGGTGATGTACTAGAGCAACTCGAAGAACTTATCGTCGCGCCAATGCAGACACCAGAGATCTATTCGGAGATGAGTTTGCCTCTACCTAAGGGGGTTTTGCTCTATGGACCTCCTGGATGCGGTAAGACGATGATCTCACGCGCGATAGCAGCGGAATTGGGCAAGCCATTCATCGAGATTATGGGCCCCACAGTCGTTTCAAGCATGAGTGGCGATTCCGAGAAAGCCATTCGGGAGATTTTTGATGAGGCAAAGAAGCAAGCACCATGTCTGATCTTTATTGATGAAATCGACGCCATTGCGCCAGCACGGGACTCCAGCCAGAGTCAAATGGAAAAGCGCATGGTCGCACAACTACTAGTCTGTATGGATCAGGTCACAAAGGACCCATTGAAGCCTGTCATTGTCATGGCAGCTACAAATCGACCAGAAAGTCTCGATCCGGCATTACGGCGCGGAGGACGATTCGGTAGTGAGATTAACATCGGTGTGCCGAACGAGCGAGTGCGAATGAAAATCCTTGAGCGACAAACCCAGAAGCTACCTCTTTCTGGCGACATTGACTTTCTACAACTTGCCAAACTAACCGCGGGTTTCGTCGGAGCCGATCTCCACGACCTCGTCGGTAAAGCAGGCACGCACTGCCTACGCCGGCATCGCAATGCTCTCCGACAACAAGCCGTAGACCTCAACATCGACATTGGAGACGTCACAGGAATGGACCCCGCCGTGATCTCCATCAAACGCTACATCGCCCGGACCAACATCCACCAGCTTCCCAACACCCCCGGCCTCGATAACCTCGGGGTAAGCATGAACGATTTCCTCTCCGTCCTACCCAAAATCACGCCTTCCTCCAAACGCGAAGGGTTCGCCACCACGCCCAGCGTCTCCTGGCAAGACGTGGGCGCGCTCTCCAACGTCCGCAAAGTCCTCCGGGACTCCATCGTGCTCCCGATCCAAGAACCCGAGACCTTCCTCGCCCTGGGGGTCGACACCTCCAGCGGCGTGCTCCTCTGGGGCCCGCCGGGCTGCGGCAAGACGCTGATCGCGCAGGCCGCGGCCGCGGAGAGCAAGGCGAATTTCATCTCGATCAAGGGCCCCGAGCTGCTCAACAAATTCGTCGGCGAAAGCGAAGCCGCGGTCCGCAAGGTCTTCCAGCGCGCCCGGAGTAGTCTGCCCTGTGTGATTTTCATCGACGAGCTCGACGCGCTGGTGCCGAAACGCGACGGGTCGAACTCCGAGGCGAGTGCGCGGATCGTGAATACGTTTTTGACTGAGCTCGACGGGATCGGGTCGCGGGAGGGGATTTACGTGGTCGGCGCGACGAATCGTCTCGATGCCGTGGACGACGCGATGTTGAGGCCGGGGAGGCTCGGGCAGCATCTCTTCGTGGGCTTGCCTGGGCCAGAGGAGCGGGTGGATATCTTCCGGGCGATTGCGAGGAATAAACCGGTTGAGATCTCGGTGGCGGTGGAGGCGCTTGTCAAGGGCAAGGGCTGTGAGGGGTATAGCGGAGCGGATTTGAGGGGTTTGTTGCAGGAGGGTGGAAGGCATGCGAGGGAGGCCGGGAAGAAGGTTATTGGGTTGGAGGATTTGGAATTCGCGAGCACGGTGGTGAAGTGTTCGGTGAGGGATCCGGGCGCGTATAGAGGGATGAAGGAGCGTTCGAGGTGAGAGAGAGATGATAAGTCATTGCTCTGGACTGAGAGGGACTCACCGAATGGAGATCTAATTTTGAAATCTGGATGCCAGCATGTTGTCCGGGCATGGAATAGAATTACTTGCATAACAGAAAACCTTCCGAACAATTCGAAATCTTTGCGGACAATATTGTTTTGAAGGTCATATCTCATTGAAATCGTTCATAGTACAGAAAAAGTTAAAAGTGGTTTCGCAGCCAGCCCGTCGGGCCGGTGCCCCGATATTGCCATTCGGAGAGAAAAAAGAAGGGACTCCACGTTCGATCTGATCCTTGTCCCGTTTTCCGTAACACCCGAGCAAGAAAAGAAATCGAGATAACCCTGAACGCCGCCCTCCGACCCCCCAGACACCACCCCAAGCAGGTTTTTCGGAATAACGAATAGTGAGAAAAAAGCAAGATGCACGCGTCGAGGCCGTTAGAGCTGTATTCGATGAGTGAAGGAAAATTTCGCTGGGGATCAAGCGCCGACATGCGCCGACTTTGAAGTTCGAATCTGCCGGGTGGTTGATAGGCTCGTTTTGTAGCGTCGACGGAGACTAGAGAGGTGTAGTTCCGAGTCCGTTCTGGCCAGAGCCTAGTCGTGTGTTCGGATGCCAGACAGACGCTGGCGTTTCGCCTCTGGGTTTGTAAACCTATGATCCATGAGGGTCGTCGTCAACGTGTCGGAGACGCAATCGGCGAGTGGCGCGCGCTGGGCTGTCGCCGCTTTTTTACGTTGCGACTTTCTCCGCCCCCATCAATAGGATTTTGGTCCAATTTGGGGACCAATTGCAGGCATGGAAACCAGTGGGAGATCTCTGTCGCCGGCGTGTATATGAGCGAACATTGAAAATCGAGTAGTTATTAAAAGTACAGGGGTGCCGATCTCGTGTGGGAAAGCGTGACGGCAGCGAAAATGAATATTGGTGATGGTAGGAATGATCTTCCGCTTTCCATCGCAAGACAGTCCGTTTCTTGCTCGGATCGAGTTGCGGCGGTGACCTGTGAAGAACCCGCCGGAATCTGCGCTGGTCCTGCGTTGTGGCCAAGTTTGTTTTGACTGGTAGGTCGCGGTGTTGACACCCCGCTGTTGCATCGTGGTGGGAGACCAGCGGTTCTTCAGGCTAATATCAGGTCTCCGATTGGCAAGTTTTCATGCTTCACTGGAGATGATTTTTCATGCCTCGGGTAAAGTCCAAGGCGACGAGGTGGAAGCAGGAAAAGTAGCAACAGCTGATGAAACTCCCGGGCCGCAGATTCACCTCGTCAACCTCAGCCAAGATGGCGCCATGTATGAAGAGCCATCATCAATCGCTCGGTAAGCATATAAACATCATGAATGATGTGAATAATATCGCAATGATGAGTGAGAAAATCGTCGGTGGTTCCCAGCGGGATTAAGATGTCGACAGCTTGGCATGAGCACGCGATTGATCCAGAAAAGAGTTTTACATCGGTGGGTCGACGTTTCATCAAGTTCGCCAACCGACGGTCCAGATAACCTGTACAAAGAGAATTCATGTTAGACTATCACAGAGTCGTGATAAAATGATAAGGAAAATAACTTACGTGAGCGATGTCGCGAGCGGTGTTGATAGTTTCGCTCACTCGTCCGAAGATACCGGTAGCTACAGGTTCTTCACCCTCCTCGTAGGGCATGAACATGCCACTTCCAGTGCGTCGCATGCCTTCAACACTGAAAGTGTCGTCGTACTCGTCATCTTCGACGTTGTAGTGGCCGCGACCAGCCGGGGTGTGTGAGCGGCTGGTGGAGGGACGTCCATTGTTGCGACCTCGTGAGCTCGAAGCGCCGAGGGAGGAACGCGGGTTGCTGGGTCCAAACGACCAAGCATAGTCGTCATCGGAAGCGCCATCGTCATTATCATCGGCGTAGTTTCCCTTCTTATCCATCGATGAAACGAGGTTGCTTCTGCTGGAGCGAGGAGGGCGAAGGGTTTCTTGAGAAGCGCTGGGGCTGAGTCCCTTGTTGTTTGGCAGCGATGAATTATCGGATCCAAAGGTGTGATGTTGAGATTGCTCGCCAAAATTGGGGAGATCGTCGACACGGTCCTTCAAGGTAGTGGCTGGAAGGGTCTCGATAATGCGACGACCACTGTTAGAGTTGCTCCGACTGGCAGATGGTCGCAATGCCATCGAATGTGAGTTTCGTTTCATTGTCAGTGCATCTTCATCATCACTGGAGGTTTCACTGTCCGCATAGAGATAAGGCTCCTCCTCGCCATCAAAGACCAAGTCCTTGTGATCGACCGCAATGCATTGTTCCACGACATTGTCAAATCGAATATGTCTCTTTTCGCCATTGCATGGGGTGTCGCAAAAGCTCGAACTCCGGCTTGTGAAGTAGTCTGCCTGGTCTCGGCTAGGCACCTCAGAAGGAAGTTTCGATTCGGAAAATTCGGAGCTGGCGTCTGATCGGCGAGGATGGCGTCGAGGCGAGAAAAGGGCTGTGGTGGCAGCTTCGCGTAGGAGTGAGGAGCTGGATATCGACTGTTGGAGCATGATCTCGGATTGAGTGCGCTTTTTTAGGATGGGCTTCTTCTTAGTGATGAAGGAGTTGTTCTTGGACATGCGAGAGGATGGATCGGAGACGTCCTGGGATACCGGATATGACGCTGCGAGTTTCAAAGGACCATAGAGCCATGTGATGTCCGAGTCTTTGAACCTGCAGAGCGAGATCGGTCAGTACGAGATCCTCTAGTTCACAACAATGTCAACGAAACGACGAGTGTTTACACATACCAGTTCAGATTTTCCGGGTTAATGGTCCTCAAGTTGTGCTTTGTCTTGCCCCATGAGCGCCATGACGCATTCTCCAACCGTGAGCATTCTCCATATTCCTTCCTATTGCAAACAATGTGTCTCCAAGACGACCAAATATCCTCTTCCCGCCATTCGTGCGCTAAAAAGTCCACTGCCCGTGACGGTGCATCTTTCACAGCCAGGTCGTCGCAGGTGACCGGCGTAGCGAGTGGTGACTCGGACTCGGAGGATCCTGTAGAAGAAACGTCGGCAGTGTCATCGTGCGAGGCAGGTGACGGCAACGGCGTCTGATGTTGTGCCGATGTTGTCGTCCTTGGGTCGGAGGATCCCAGAGGAGCTGCGATGGTCGTGTCGATAATCAGGCTCGACTGCGATGAGGGTTGTTGGCTTTTCTGCCTGGAGATGTTCGTTGACGATGCACGTAAATCCTCGACGTAATTACATGAAGGTGACAATTCCGCCTCGAGGGGGCTAGAGTTATGTGACGTTGAAGTGGCTCGCGGCGTGGCCGATTGTGCCGATGTTCCCCGGTAGAGCATGGTCGAGGAAGACGACGACCGTCTTAAGCCGGACGCCTGATAATGTGAGTGGCTGTCGGGTTGCCTGGGGGCATAGAGGACTTCCGCCATATTGTCTGTGATTGTTGAAGAAAGGAAAACTCCGCTCGCGCAGAGGCAGTTCGTTCGGACAGTCAAATCATACAATCAGTGTGAGTTGTGTTGGCGAGTCGATAATCCGGGCGAAGGACCGCTTGCGGCACAAAGTTGGTAACGGCAGATTCTGAAACCAAGTTCCACCATAGACCAACTTGGCTGACCGACGATCGAGAATAGTGAAGTAGGACGTCGAGCCAGGGAAATCAAGATAAGAAAGCGATTCGGATTTCGGAGGATGTGTCGCGAATTCAACAGGGAACAGAAAGCGAGGGTTGTATGGGTTGGCAAGAGATGTCGTAGGTTGGAAGACGCAGATACGGGTTGGCAGGAGGGAGGCGAACGCGTGGAGAGAAAAGATTGGGATGATGTGAAGAGAATGAGAGGGAGAATAGAGAAAGTACAGTGGATTGGCAGAGAGGTACAGCAGTCTAGAAGTCCCCGGCGGAAAGCTAGAGAGATGGTTGTGGTACTGTACTGTGCTCTATCCTGGAGCTGGTTTGTCTGTCTGTCGTGCAAATGGTGGGTGGTGGTGACGGCGGTGGTGTCGGGTGGTGGTGGTGGTGGTGGAGGTATGGTACTTAGCGATGGTAGTGGTGGTACTGTAGGATGAACGGTTCTGCCGGATGGAGGAACCGGAAATGGAAGGGCGATTAAATTATGTGAGACGACTGTGAATTGATGGGCAGATGGGGGTGGAACAGGGCAGACTGCCAGACAAACGGGCGGCGGGCGGCGTTCAGGGTTCGCCTGTGCTCGAAAAGCAGGTCGGAACGGGCAGGATAAGTACTACAGTACGCACAGGACAGACATCATCCTCATTGCACCGTCTCTTCTTTTCACGGATAGTATTGTGCGCTCGATTTGTGTGCGCGTGTGTTCAGTGGTTATGCGGGTCAATGGGTACAGTGCAATCAAGTACCGCAACACTCATCAAATGCTCTATACACGACGGTGCTTTTTATTCGTTGCAGTGGTGTTTGATACTCAATGCTTGGTACGAGCGAGTAGGTCAAAATCGGGAGAGGAATTCCGAAACCTTCCCAAAACCCGCTTGCACACCCAAATTCTGCTGCACGTTGTCGGCACCCATGGGAGAAGCAAAGGCGCCGGGCGGAGAGAGAAACCAGGTGTGTGCCATACCGACTGAAAACAGCAATACATGACACACAGAGCCAAGTACGAGGATTCGAAAAATGTAGCACTATTACTGTAGCCAAGTCGACGTCGTCGTCGTCGTTTGTGTGACGATGTGTGGGTGGTGGTGCTGGTGGTGGTGGATTAAGTGGGTGCAGGTGGGTGTGTGCAAGATGGAAGGAAAAAGGTGTGGCGTGTGTGTGTGTGACTCTAACAGTGCACGATGTGTGGAGGGAACGGACGAATGGGCGGATGCGTGGACAAATGGATGGTTCGACTTTGCGATAGAACTTGGTGGGAGTAAAAACGTCAAGTTGCAGTTTCCGCAGTACTGACCTGTTGTAGCGGTGATATCGAATGCTGGTGAAGACGATGATTCGAGATAGGACAATTGCGCTGATTCTCTCGCCTGTTCATGTACATAGAGTAGTATATGTGTGTGCAAATGTGTGTGTGAGCGTGTGTCACCAAATCCGGTTTGTGTCCATATTCAACAGCATATACCTCTAAAATGTAGGTTGTGTGGTGGAGAGAGTGCTGCCACCATGCGCAACGGCCCATGAATTATGCATCGATGTCTCCCAATGCCTGAGCATTCATTTTGCTCATCAGGAATCCGGGGAGACATGGGAGAGGGCATCGAGACCTTGCAGGATACACACCCGAACGCGGATCGACGGATCGATGAGAGTCGACAGATCATAGCAATTCGTCCTGTCCGTATCATCGTACATTCAACCGGGCACGGCGCGACTCTCGGGGGGAATGAAGAGATCGCCCGAGCATCTATCCGCACGCGCACCGCTCAATTCCAGATCGAATGACTTTCCATTCCGTCTTCTCTGGAACCCCTTGAGAGTCCCAGCTCATCGAGCGGCATCTAACATAACGCGGACGACGGCGCCCAGGTACAGACGAAGAGGTATCGAAGCCAGCCAGAGATTCAGATTTTCTCTCGTGAATTGGTGGATCCAGGGCTTGTCATGAGATGCCCTTGCGCCCCATGTACCGAATGTATGAGTACGTACCGGATATACGTGCATCGAAGTAACTTTTACAGGGACACACGCACCTAGAATCGAAAATACCTAGGTACGGAGGTACATGCAGATAGCAGTAGCAGCAGCGGGCTGCCTGCGCACAGGTTTCACTACGGCACATCCACACACATTCACACGCGCGTCCCAATTGGTATCGAGCGAGAGAGACAGATATTCCATTAGGCTGTAGGCGACGTTCTGCTGAGCCAACTTTTCTTGCGAAATCGATCAGAGATTGGACTTCGAGCTCCCATCATCATCATCGTAATGCTTTGCGAACTCGTTAGCACCTGCTCGCAAAGGGGCCATAATACTGTCGCAGCCGATTTCTCGTAAGCGAAGGAAGAGGGTAACGGCGAAGATGATTTGCCGTCGGTCTTAGCCGGCGCGAGAACAACGGGCAACTCGTACCAGTAAAATTTACGTAGAGTCGAACAGGACGGATTGTGAGCAAAAGCGGCCGGTTGGGTCTGGTATGTTTTGTCCGTATGTCCCCGGACTGATATGGTGACCCAACACACTGGCTACGAACCCTCATGTCTGTCGCAGGAAGAGAGCATGCACGTCCACATTGACTGATCTGGAGTCATCCATTGCGATGAACGAGGTGATAATAGGATCGCATCGGGGAGGACGTGGTGCGGATCCGATCCGGCGAGACGGGAAAACCAGCTGGAGCAGGCTTTGATGGCAGGCGGCGTTGCGACCGGCGGCAGCCCGGTGGCGGCGGCACTCGCTTGTCGTGCGGTGAATTCGGACGCTTGGGGGGAGAGACGCTTGCCCTCAATACTGCCCAGGTACTGGAGTAATAATGCGCGTCGCAGTCGCTTGGCCCAGCAGAGCGATGGACAATTTAGGGCTGTGTGGGCTGCCGCGATGGATTTCGCCGTGCACACCGACTCGAAACACGCATTGGAAAGGAAAATGGCCATGGCATTTAGCTGGGAAGGGGGACAGGCACGGTTCACGATGACAAGACCGACGCGCGTGTAGTGCTAGCGGAAAACTTGTTCGATGCCGGAACGTGAAGTGGCCGTCTCTTTTTTGTTTTGTCTTGTCCTGTGCCGTTCCGATTCCTGCTCGCGATGGCTTCCAAACGAGGTTCGGCCGTCTGTGTGAAAATAGTGTCGAGATTGATCGGCAATCAGAACTCTGAGCATGCATGTCAGCTTTTGGCGGCAGACAGTAGACGGAATGACGATAAATGAATTTATGAGCTGTGGTATCTACCACCAGACAGTCAAATCTGCTGTGCAGGTCCTATGGTATTTCTCGTGGCATACAAACAAATACAAACGTTGTGCCTCTGTTCCTTCGATGAGCCCTGGCCTGTTGGCATCGGCGTCAGAATCACAAGATGAGAAAGCATGCGTGGCATGCAAACTATTAGTCCAGGGCACAATCGTAGTGTACTGCGCCTTCGAAGCAAGCACTATACCTGTACAAGCGTGATAAATTGAGCGATACTGTCACTCATGCCTTGAGTGTGTTGTGAAATCGTCCACTTTCCAATCATACAGGCCTAAATGAGTCCTGTCGATACGCGCCTCTGCCCGTGATTACTGTACGATTGATAACTTCCACGATGGGCAGGAAAGATGCGCAGTGAGTACGGCTGGACGTAGGCCCGGACCCCGCGCAAATTCGCTGCCCGTTTGCTCCAAATCGAGATGTTGATTTTTTGCCAAAGGCGATCGATCCCGCGCTCTGCCATCCCTCGGCAGCATTGCTTTTACACAACCGAGCACGCAAGTGGTGAAACAAAAGGGACCAGTTTTCGTTTTGTCCCATGGGAGTCGAGCTTGCTTGCCTTCTGTCCGACCCATCCAGCCCGCATTCATTCTTTGACGCAACGGAAACGACAGCTGCTGCACTCATCGTGCGTGCAATCATCTCACATGGGAGAAGGAGCGCGATGGGGTCACGGCAAAGCGCAACGAGAGCAACACATACGGGCTGGAGGGATACGATACACAGTACATATGATGACATTGGCAACAAGACAAGCCATGATCGACATAAATCTAGCCCGCGAAGTAGTCTCCACCAAATCGATCGCATGATGAGCAAAATCGGGTGTGCTTGTCTCCGCGCCTCTGCCACGTATATGATCTCTACTCGTCATTAGCAAATGGATATAACAAACATCTCCGACCGCGCATTGCCGTCGCTCTCAACATCCCGGGATTCACCTCGTGGCAGGCCGGCGGAGAAAGAGGAGTAAAAGTCAAGAATTCGTACGCTCCTCGGTGCGAAGAAGCGGCGCGTAACGGCGTCATCGCAGGCTTACTTGTCGATCACCACACACTTCGAAAAGAGCCCTCGAGAGCTACGAGGCCATGCTCGTCACGTTACCTCCCGACATGCATTAAAACATGGCGCCCGCCTCCACCTCCACGTGCGACGACGCGGATTATCTCACTCTGCATGTGCCCCAATTTCCCATCAATCGGAAAGCGTAATCGTCCAGGCTGCTGTGCTGTACGATTTGGTGGCCGTCCCCACACACTGTCTCCAGTCCGGCCAACCGTGCTCAAGAAATTCCAAACTCACTGACTACCTAGTCCTGTAGTCTCGCTTTCCGCTGCACGGCGTAGGAGCTATGGCTCGCACCAAAGCGTCGCCTTTCAGAGGCCGCAGAAATGCCCGCGCATTATTTCAGTTTCCTACCGAAGATCCGTCATTGGATCGCTAGTTTATTAAACCGCTCACACGCCCCTCAGCCACCCTGCACAAATGGTACTTGGCGGAGAAGCTACGAACAGCACATAGGCAGGCACAGGCACATAGACTACACAGACGCCTTTGCTGGGCATGGCGGCCTTGGAAATGCCCGGGCCAGCAGTTAACTATACCGTCCCTAGTAACCTAAGTGAAGTGCGCACTGGGCGCATAAGCAGCGACGCGCTGGCCCTACCCCACGCTCGCACGTGGTCTTGGTCAGGAGACAGACGTGGGGCGGGGAGAGAGACCGTTTCGATCATGGAAGTCACGTGACCGTTTATTTTATTGTCCTCTGGCCATCATCAATCAGCCAAACCTACACCATGGCTTTGCGAAACGGCTGCTTGGAGATGATGATGTCGTTTCAGTCCTCTTTCGCTCAAGAACCGTCTATTTACATTACTCCATATCGTCGAACGGTTCGACGGGAGATTTCTTTCCAAGATTGCCTGTAGTTGTGCAATGTGTGATCACGCGAGCGGCCTCATCAGGGTCTGAGCCTTATGTTGATGATGCGCGAAGTCGTCGCGAAGCGGTAGCGACCCGCCTGACCGAGAGACAGAGCAGTTGCAGCAAGACGGAACATAACCGTGACTAGACCAGGCAGTAACAATTGATTGCTCGACCATGCAACAAGGGTCCAGGCCGCTTCATCTGCTGATCCCGCCTAGACCTTTTCATTGATGCTGGCAGGCAGGCGGTCACAACCGCTGCAATCTAATGTTGTTGCCGTCTTCCCCGCGCCGCGCCGTGACCTGGAGATGTACTTGGACACTGGAATCGAAGTACTGTACAAAGGAAAAGGAGCTCCTCCATCATTAAGAGAATTCTGATATTTACCAGCGATATCTCAAGATGTTCTTCAGCGGATTGGTTTCAAGAGAGCTATATTTGATTTACAGCGTATGCATCCCGCTGACTCTATAGACATTGTGGATGTGATGGCGCTCAGTAGACGGGTCTAGACATGCTCACAGCGAAAGCTTCGAGATAACACAGCTTCTTTCAGAAACCCTGTGTATCCCTGTATGCCTGTCCAGTGACATATATCTTATCTCACTCCGAATGGTGAACAGAGCACAAACGTCGTCAAAGTGGATCCCCTGTTTTCTCGAAACGGTCCGAAATCAATCAATATTTAGAGCCTGAGACGATTTGAATCATCCCTCCACAAAGCTATCCGTTCAGCGGTTGGCTGGCGGGATCTTATTATGGTATGGGGCGGACCCCGGTCGTTTTTCCCCACAAAAACCTACACAAGCGGTGGAGCCGCCCGAGTCGTATGTTTCGCATCATGATAAACAGCTGGAGTGCAGCAGTACATCCGGAAGGTTACTTTCGATAATGCGCAAGGGAAGGTGGATTGGTCTCTACTTGTGAATTTCATATTTTCCAAGGCTTGCAATATGGCGCGCAGTCTGGGTGATGCTTCTGCTTTCTCGATACTGACCTGCGGCCTTTCCTGCCTCGACAGCATTTCATGATGCATCGCTTCGGTACGAGGGAGCAAGCATGTAATATTGCTCAAGGTACCGCAACCCTTAGATAAATCTTGTAGCAATGTATCACACTTCGCTTCGTGGTGCATTGCATATGCGCGCGCCCTCGAGCATTATCAAAGGTATTGGAGTGTGTACCGTGACTGCATATTTGAGATGAGAGGAATCTCTGGCAACGAGTGAAACCGCCCTTGGGGTCAGGGCGACTTCCCGATGAAGATTGTTGATGACCTGTTGTTAACATATCACCACATCCTCAAATGCAACGTCAGCACAGCAGCGCTCCGGCGCTTCCACGTGTGGAGCCCTCGCCATGTCGAAGTTCCCAACAAAGGGCAGCGGACTCCCTTGACGATGTTGGCAAACAATTGCATAGTTCAAGCTGCATCTACAACATCCCTCACACGCCCACGGGTGGTGGCAAGGCATTCATCAAAGGAAATCACTTCATCAATTGCGCAGATTGTGGAGTGCATGATGAAGTCCAGGGAAGCGGATGCTCAACAACGCACCCCGGCATTTTGATTGCAACCCAGTGAGTGTGTGCCCAGCCCTGGAGGTGTTTCAATCATCAGCGATGTTCACAAATCTGGAGATCGCGTCTCAACGGAATTTGGGGGATTGCGCAATGGCCAGACCCTATTTTTGTACATGGAAACAGCCACCGACGAACGCCCGAGGTTGGAAGTGATAGGCTGTGATGACTTCGACCTCGCGCCTTGAATCAATGGCTGATGCCAGCAATTAAGTATTCCAAACACCTTTCGAGATATCTGACCGGCACTTCGCGTGCCTTTCACGACGGAGCACAATCTCCTGGCCAATAAGGTTCACCGTGTGTCGTAAATGATTCGCAAGGATTGCCTGGGATAGCATGTCTGGACTCGCAGCCACGAAGGCAAGATAAGAACAACAAATCATGTACTGTACATATAAATTTCCGTCAAGGTAATATCCACAAAAACACCGATCGGGCCTATCGCAAAGGGCTGACATTCCACGCCAGAGCAGGCCAGGCAACAAGCAACAAGCAACCCAGAACATGGTTTTCTTGCTCGGCGGCAAGCCGACCGGGACGCCGTACATATCTCTCATCTCATGGTCGCCACCAGATTCTCGTTTGCTTACCCTCATACATACATAGATACGGCGCTGACCGGGGCAGAGAGAGTATGCACTATGCATGTCTTTGTGATATGCAGACAGACGATGAGATAATGAAGGGTGTGTGTGGGTGGGGGATGATGCATGAAACGTTCAGATTGGTGCGCGTTGAGCTGCAATGCGGGCGGATGCTGCCCATGCGTCTGCGGGCACGCAATGGCCGGAATATTTTTTTGGTGGGCTGACTGGGCGGCCAGCTGCAAGCAAGCATGGATCATTTTGACATGTGAAAGCGAGAACCGTCCTGCCATCTCCGCATCCCTGCTCGCATTATCATTATCGACGAAGATGCCAGGGTTGCTGTGTGTCGCACTGGCGTGCGTCTCATCCTTATCTCCTCTCCAGTATGTGTGAATCTCGGCACGTTCGCAGACGCCTCTCCTTCAGGCAGGTCGCTGCTGCTGTGGAGAATGAACCAACCCTTGCCCCATCGCTCGATGTTGTGGAGAGACACGGAAGACATGTTTGACTACTCGTGCACGATACTGGTACCGAAGAGCTTGACATTCTGCGTCCAAGAGCCCGCCTTTATGGGGACCAGCCATCTTCCTCCGGATGGATTTCGCATATCTCTCAATTTGCAGTGAATCGGGATACGCACCGCGTGTTGAGGCATTTATCGAAATTCCAGAGCAAGCAGGAGCACTAGGAATCTCGCTTGTGTCTACTTCAGCTTACTTGAAATAAGATGAAATATCTCTCGGCTGCAGGCCGAACCTGCAGGAAAGTCCATCCTGGTGCGCGGATTGATGCTTTTCTAGCTGCATGGCGGCACAGCATTGTTTCGTGCACAAGGTGAAGATCGCACGCGCCATTGGTCCAACAGCACCCACGAATTTTGATATATAGATCGACGAACTATGTTGGTACCAGGGATCTCACGTCTAGATTTGCCTTGTTCCTAGTAAACTATCAATTCATTCCATGGGTACAAACGGGCTCAGCTATGCAGATAATTATTTGGCATAGACGATCTCGCGACAGAATGCATTTCTTCAGTCGTATCCAAGGCTGCTCTGGTCATTCCGAGCGCTGGCATGTAGAACCCGGGATGAAGCGGGTTGAAATTCGGAAAAGCTTTGGTGATATGCACCACGGCAGATCTTTTTCCAGCCCTACTTGACGATCTTGAGGTGAGATTTCGAAGCAAAGAAAAGAAAAAGACAGGGCATGTTAGGCTTTTCCCGGCAAGCTTTGCAACATATACACTAGGCACACCCATTTGATCACTCGCCCTTCCGACTCCCACCGAGGGAGAGCGCGCCAATGGGGCAGCAACTTCTACATTCAGAATCTCACTCCGACCGACGTTCGCGCCAATAGACGAATTTTTCTTTTCCCCTTCTATTTCTGCTTGGATGGTGGGGATCTGCAAACTCAGATTTTCTTCATTAGCACGCAATCCTGATCTCATCTATCTGCCATGTTGCCGTGGTGGAAGTTCACGCCGGACTTGGCGCCGCTTAAACGCTTGGAGAAGAGGCCCACCGTCGCGAGGATTTCCCGCCTGAAGACAAGCCACCGAAACACACTTCCGCGCTTCATCTGCATTGGGTGCTTGCTTCATGACGATGCGAGCACTGACGCCGCTCTATGTTCACACTTGCATGCATGCAATTCTGCGTGAAACGCTCGCACGTTCGTTGCTCGCGTCGAAGAGGTCACAGCAGCGATGCCACCCTACCTCTCTGCTGTACCGGTGTCGGCCAATACGCACTGTCATGGCGTGATTATGGTAGGTCCTTCCAGGGCACAACACAGCCGCCGCCGAGCGAGCAGTGCATCATGGAGTGTCTCGAGGCCGTGTGTGAAGAACCATTGATGTCCCGCCGCTGGACACGGCGAAACTCCGTGCATGCCCGATGAGGTCGGATCTCGCTCCGCATCCGATTGACTTCCGCCCGTTAATGAACCAGACGTTTCCATACACACTCCCAGATCTTGGAAGTGGACCTTTTCTCCAAGACAGACCTCACTCCTTCGTCGGCCATTGGCCACACCAATAGAGCGACCCGCGGGTTACAAATGTGCATGCTCTTGAGATGTAGCTGTTGGTGTGCGAAGCTGTCCCGCTCGGGCAAGTCGATGCTTACGTCGCACAGGGCGGCAACAAAAGCCGAATGTGGATAATTTCCCTGTTTCACGACATCTCGTCCTGATCCTTCGTTGGCGAACAGATTAGCTCTTCGCTCGACACAGACCTCCAACAAGGTTCACCGAGAAAACTACCATGCCCATTTCGACAATGTTGGCGCGTGTCTGTTCCTGTTCATGGGCAATACCAGGAATTCAAACACGTCATCTTGTCTCTCAATGAGATCCACAACTCTCACCATGATGCATCTCGGCGGTAACGGGGATGATTCGGCGCTGTGGATCCTCCTGCGAAACATCAATTTCATGCAATACTACGCTTGAACGACGTCCAACAAAGGCGTGTTGACATGGTACAAGAGACACAAGGTAGGTGGAGCCGGTCTGTCAACTATGTCAGCAGTTTCACGCTGGTGGGTTTTTGGACCGCCCAGGAATTCGCTCATTCGACCTCACATCGGAACTCGTCTGAAAGCAACGGGATAAATTATCATCCGCATGAAGCCGCAGAGGGACCGCATCAGTGATGACCCGGTACTTTTCAACACCATGATGAAGGTCTACTGTCCGCGTTGAATGCCATTCCATGCCATGCCATGCCATGTCACGGAGACAGCTCATTGGACCATCCTCTCAAGCAAACATAGCGTATCTATCTACGATTGTGGCGAGTGCACTAGTTACTCGCAGGTTTCAGACCTTATCGCACCCCAAAATTTCGAAACTTATTAGTTGGCAGCGCAAGGCCAACTTTTCCGTGTGAATATGTCCAGCTTGCCAAGTTTTTGTTTTACTTTGTCCCTGTCGCAAGCGTATGTGGCTTGCCTTCGTTCACATCGTGTTCATTGTTATACAAGGATTTGGTATTGTAGTTACATATCTTATATGTGCCACGCATGCGAACATGTGGCACGGCCTGATAAGCTTGAACTTCTGCTACGTGTGCGGACGTGAGACAACGAAATGGTCTTCGATTAACTGCACGTCATGCATGTATTGCTTTCAATGAATGGTGCTTATCAACATAATTGCCTTGTTTTTCGTGCTCTTTGTTAAGAATCCCAACGATTGCGTAATGAACTGGAGATGAAACTTGCCCGATCAATTGGTGCTTTCCAGGTCTCTGTTCTTTGAGATAGGTTCTTTCGGATGTAGTCCTTGGAATTGTTGGTTCTTTCTGGGGGACTTGTCGCGTAGTCTTGCCTTGAATATTATCTGTGTATCGACACTTTGGTATTAGGCTACTTTCAGTTGATGCTCATGCCCTCACTTATTATTGTGCAAGTCAGTGACTATAGAGAAACCCGTCTTGTCTTAGAACATTCGGTATCTGATATGGCTGAGTCTCCGAACGCGTCTTGGGTATTCAATAATAATTTGGCCAATACAGTATAGGGTTATGGTAGAGCATATTAGGGTTTGAAAATGCGACGTCACCCTGAGATATGTCGATGTGACTTCACGCAAGTGATCTGAGCAAGAGTCAGGACTGGTAATGCGACGACTTCACTGCGTCCAGTGCAGGATCAATCTACCAGGACTGCATCTGAGTGGAAGCAGTTTGTGCTACTTCCACAAACCGGAAGTGTTGTCGAATGTGAGTAGGCATCCTTCGAAATTCTAGTTCGGCCTTTCAGGTGATCAAAGTGACCATCGCACAATACGATCTGGGCCCATTCACTTCTATTTGCACGAGCCCATGGACCGAACGACCCTGGATGGCATACCCAATGAGCTGTTTGATTGCGTTTTGCAATATCTCAAGTTTGACAGCATTGGTAACCTCCGACTGGCGAATCGCGCTTTCAATGCGAGAGCCACGCAAAAGAAATTTCGATCCTGTTTCCAAAATGTGCACCTGTATATAGAACAATCCAAATTAGAATCATTCGCTGCAGTAGCAAAGGGGCCTATGGGCCGTTTGGTCGAGAATCTAGTCATCGTTGGGCTTGCTCATGACCTCGAGCACTTGTCAAGGATCATTCAACGGGGAGAAGAGTATGTGCCCCATGCAAAACATTACCGTCTACCTGGGGAGATGCGAAAGTGTACCCCAAAGGAGTTGGACGTGTATGAGTATGCTCTCAGGGCATTACAAAGGCAGAAAGTTGAGCAGGAGATGTTCTTTGACGACCCCGAAGCTGTCGAAGTTTTGCGTCAGGTGTTCATGACTCTGGCCGCACATGACCAATACAAATTGCACAGTCTCTCTATGGAATTCGGTGTTTTTCAGAAGCCTGCAGCCATGAAGATTCCGTGGCATGATCTTCGAGAAATCGACGAGCGTTTGATGCTGGCTACTGCCTCGAAGACCTGCTCTGTCATCTGTGCTGCGATTTCTTCCACCAGCATGTCGTTCGACTCACTCACCGTTTTCCATATGACACCAAGATACTATGAACTGCCGTGTAACGAGCTCAGTCGTTTCGAATGGGAGATATCTGGCTACGCACCGATGATTTCAACATTAAAATCACTCTCCCTGTTCATATCAGACCCTATCAGTGCCGAGCAAACGGACACAAATGATATCTTATGGGCCAAGCTATCAAAAGAGACAAACTTCTCGAGTATTCCGAAATTGCTTAAAGCATGCTAAAATTTGGAAGAGCTGAGTCTAGGTCGCTACCACAATCACATTATAAGGACAGATCAAGAGGTCACAGCCGAGGGTTGGGTTCCGCATGATGTATCGATTTTCTCGCGGCAGCAACAAATAGAACGAGCGATGCGAGCAAGATTTCCGCGTCTCCGAGCCTTCAAGCTAGTATTATTTCACATTCGAGTCGATGACCTTGAATATTTCCTCTCGGCTCACTGTAAGTCGCTACGAGAGCTCCATCTGCAATATGTCAGTGTGACAGATAATTCCATCTCGCTGATACTAGCACTTATCAGCACCGATGCATTTGACCTTGTCAATGCTACGCTGGAGACGCTTTGTGATATCAACGGTCAAGTGAGGTTTGTCGAGAATCCGGAACGAAAGTACACACGCGTTAGTTGCAACCGGCTGGGGAGGGGTACTCCTTTGGATGATCGAAAAATCGTCCACTGCTGGAATGATGACACCATGAAAAAGATTCAGCATGATTACTATATTTACCCAGAGGCAGATTGGGATGACGGGAGTGACACGAGCGACCAAAATTGAGATGAATGGTCTCCAGCACCCGTGAGATTAGGAGCCTGGAGTACGGACAACAGAAAGTGCGATATGGACTCGTGAAAGCATGCCCGTATGTACTACATAAATGAACACCTTCTCTCATCTCAGCTCAGTTCTTCTCACCAAGGATAGCATCGAAAGGTATCGACAGATCGCGCACCTCTCAAACATGCAGGAGGCTCGTGCAGTCACAGTCATTGCTTGTGTATAGGCTGCTGAATAATCAATGCCTCGGACATGGACCTCGTCCTGTCCATGAAAACACACTCTCCTTCCTATTCGCTCCCGTCGAAGTACTCAGAGATCACTGAAACCCGGAATCTGCTTCGTAATTTCGTTCTCATTGTATCTCTTGTAGAGACTGAGCGGGCTAAGCTTAGTCCATACGGGTGAGCCAGATGTGCTTTTAGTAAGGGAAAGATTTATTCCGGCACGAGTGTGTGTAGATGGTGATTCAGAGCGTTTTTGATGCCTGATTCCATCCGTTCTGTGCGGACAGAGGCCCGACCCAAGAACTAGAGCAGAAAAGCAGCGGCGATGTTTGTCGTCATACTGTAAACAAAGCATTACGAGCTATAATGTGAGGATGGGTCATGGAGTTTATTAAGTAGATCATATCATATCCAAATCGACAGTAACACGCGTGTAAAGACAACAATGGAACTCTCGTGTATATGGTCTACTCATCTATATCCTCGAACCGAGCACCAAACTGTAGTCTGTCCCACTTATTGCATTCCCCATCCCGGAACTTGGGATCGCGATCGCGACCGAATTGGCGATTGTTGCGACGCATGCCGGATTCATGATTGTATTTGATCTCCTTCTTCACGTCAGATCCCCAGCACCGAATGATGTTCCGATTGTTGTGGACTCCGCTGAGTTCTGTATAATGTAGAACTTCGTCTCCCACCCGGAATAATGCCAGCCCATGCCTCCAGCACCCGTCTTCACCCTCCGAGTATCCGTCTTCGTCCTCTGGCGGACTGAAGTATCGTTCTGTGATGTCTTGCAGTCTGATCTCGAGCAGAGCTGACATCTCACCCGCGATGACTCTTGTGATCATCGACAGTGGGTCCCCCTTGAGTCTAATATGATGTAGTACAAGTGACTGAATCGTAGTTTTATGGTTTCTCAGGAACAGAGCAAAGTCTGCTGTTGTGACAGTGAATCCTCCAAAACGTACTATTCTGAGGCAATGAAGTTTGAAGTGCATGAGTTGAAAAGTCTGCCGCTGCCACATGGCCTGCTGAGCACCATTATATGCGCGCTTGTCTCGTGCAGCCTTTGCCTCCTTAGCACGTCTTTCCTTCTTCGAGTCGTATACATCGAACGACTCTTTTCCAATCGTGATTGCCGGGATGCGGTATATCGATACGTAGAGATCCTCAATTTCTGGACATGCTAGAAGCAATCTAGGGAGACCACTATAATTTGCTGGACTCAGGAGCTCGGCAATCTTGGAGTCATCAACTTCCTCAGTCGACCGCGGGATTTGATCAGAGATACTGAGAGACAGTTTCTTCAAGCCTCTCAGTGTCTGAGACTGAACCAGTGCATTCCAATCGAGTTTACCAAGTTCTATACAGGGTAAGCTGTACGCTAGAGTAGATGGGATATTGTTGAAAATGGTGAGGGACTTGACTTTGAGCGATGAACCTTTTAAAGCTGCCATGGCGAGTCTGAAGGTACGACAAGCTGCTCCAAAGAACAGCTCCCATGGCGTCTTAAATCTTTCGAATGCTCGCGCAGTGTTTCCCGCGTTATCGTGATATACTGCCACTTCAAGTGACAAGCTTTGCAGTCCCGAGGGACTAACAGCGGCGATGTTCGAGAATGCCGCTCGCATGAGCTCGACGTCACGGCCTTTCCGGTGCAAATTCTCCAGATTACAGTTTGCCCACCGCAGGGTAGTGATGTCACTCTGGGCTTGTTCTGGCCCGATCATTCCGCATTCCAATTGGTCGATTTGATGCATTATGGTCCCTACGCCGAGGGCAAGCTTTGGAATTGTTCGAGGGCGCGACGACCTGCGGTAGAGGTCTGCCCAATCGTAGACGAGGCCGACGACGGTAACATCCTTGACGTAGGAACTTAATGAAGGATTCTTGGTAATCTCAACGAAGGACTGCAGTGACCATTTGGAGACCTCGACTGTCAAGCTCCGGACTAGACGCTTGAATTTCGTCTCGGTGGCCTTATGACATATCAGGGTACTGACCAGACGCAAGTTGAGAACGTCGTCGGGTCTCACATCTTGTAAGATCCAGCTGAAGAGCTCGATAGGTAGACTTTCTAGAGATGCGTTAGTCATTTGATCGGTTGATTCGTCGAGCCAGTAACACCTTTGCTGACACTGCCAAATCGGACTTGGTAGCTTAAATTTGACAGGAAGATGGATGATATCGCGGTAGTAATTTCTTCGAGAATACAGGCATAAAGATTCCGATCTTGAATGATCGGCCGGCTCGCCGCGTGTGTGACTCATATGGGGCCGTACCCTGCGCTGTGCGGACCGCAAATGCGGCGTCCAAGCCCGTGCATGTACCTAACGATCAATAGCAATCGGGCAAAGGGCATGGGGGACTCCGCCACAAACGACAGTGTCAGCAGACATCTATCGAGTCAGATACCATCAATTCTGCTTGTCCGCTCCACATCCTGTCAGTAAAATCATCGTGCCTGTGTTTGATGCTAACAGGACATACCTCATATCATTCAGCCGCATACTGCCATGGACAACGCGCCAAGCAAGATGGGACGCGGACCCCTGCTCGATCTTCCGATCGAACTGTATGAGTGTATCATTCAAGACTTGAATCTACGAAATCTTTGCATGCTGCGCCTGGTCAATCGTGAGGTGGCGCAAAAGACAACGCTGCGCATATTCCGTTCGTTAATTAAACATGCTCGCGTCAACCTCACGAAAGATTCTCTCGAATCGACCGCACGCGCTCCCTTAGACTCCCTTGGCACTTACATCGACGATCTTACCATTGTAGGCGTCGTCTGTTCTCTGCACCGCCTTGAGTATATGCAGATAGACCGCCACAAAATCACCATCGATGGATTTCAGCGCACGAGCCTGGACTAAGGAGACGAGTGCCCTCTACCCCCTCGGAGCTTGAACAAGCAGAACGAGATCTCGAAATTCTGCGCCAGCGCCAAGCGGATGACATGATACTTCGTCGGGATGGTAACGACGTCTCCTTGCTTCGCCGAGTGCTTACCAATTTGGCTAGTCCATGTGGGGGAGTGCTACAGAGTCTTTCCTTCGAAGTTGTCATAATCGACGCAGCCTCCGGGAAGGAGATACGGCCACGTGACGCCTGGAAGGATAACACCTCAGAATGGAAGATTTCAGTCCAAGAGAAAGTTTATGCAACCGCCGCAGACACCTTCCGGACAATTGTCGCTGCGCTGAGCTCGAGTGGACTCTTGGTTCGAAAGGTTAACGTGTTTCACACTCGACCAGGATCATTACGATGTAGCTTGTCGTGCAACGCCTTATCGATATCCCAATCGTATCCCGGAAGTCTAGTTCCCTTCTCCTTGGTGGAGAGTCTGGCCACCAGTATCTTGGATCGGCCCGAAGGAGAGATTGGCTACCTGGAACGCGATGAGAGGGATGTAGAGTCCGACGCTCGTATAAAAGCCGAAATTTTGGACGAGAGCAACAGCATTGGACTGTCAACGTTACTTGAGGCTTGTTCTCGATTGGAACATCTGTGTGTCTCGTTCTGTTGTCGCTCGTCCGGTTGGTTCGAGGAAGCACATGATGCTACACGCCAGAAACAAGTGCACAATCTCTTACAGAAGGATTTTCCTTCGCTCCAGTCGATTTGTCTTGGAGGTATGAACATTCAGCTTACTGATCTGACGAAGTTCCTCACCAAGCACCAAGTAACTTTGCGATCGATCAAGCTCAATGTAGTCATGATCAGCAACGGCTTACTGTCCAACATGCTGTCCTTGATAGCAAGTGATCAATTCAATCTGGACGCCATATACTTCGTCGACATCTATGGTGACGACATCAAAGACCGCGCGTACCTCCACCGAGAGCCGTATGATCGATCCACGTACACCAGTGGACCGTTTCATTGTTGCAATATCATTCACAGATGGTGGCCTGACACCAGAAAGGTGATTACCTACTCTAATGCTACATTCGGACGCCGGGAAACGGGCGAGCTTATCAACTGGCGTCGATATTGTGACGAACAATTCGGTCTCATTTCTCTTCATCACTGGCTTTCGTGATTTGCCTGTGCACAACATCCCATGGTCCATCAACAACCGCGCTCAGCATCTGAGTGGTGGCCCACAGCATTTATGAAGGCTGTCCTTTCCTAGTGGTCACGGGGATGTTCCTTGCACACATTTGGGAATCTCCAAGGACGCCTTTCTCATTCATTGCTTGTTGGCGTTGACTTCAAAGGAACAAGGAGCAGCAGGTATGTTGTATATCATGCTCATAGGCCCACAAGCTTAAGTACTGAGAAGGCAATAACAAGCCATGAGATTGACTATCATGGCATAGACTCATAGCTGCGCCACCCTATGTACATGTTCAGCAATAACAAGTCACGAGCATGATCGTTATATCCTTGGCTCATGGATACGCCGTTTCAAATGCAGTTCGGGCAAGTTAAACATGCAAGAGGAACCCTGTGAGCGATAACTAAAATAACTCAGCAATGTCTCAACCCCTCGTCAAAGTCGTCGTCATCGTGGTACTCCCCTCCATAGTGATAAGATCATCAAGCAACTTCCGTGGATGCTCAAAACCATCAAGACTCAGAAAATCCCTCGCCATTTGTTCCTGAAAAAGAGAACGAAACCACCATCAGCTCATTTCATTCATTCGATTCCACCTTGATAATCGGGCAAGAATGACCCACAGCATCATGCAACTCCGCCAATTCCGCCTCGGGCATCTCCGCGCAAGCTTCAACAAGGTCATCTCCTCTTGCAGATAACTTGATGAGATGTTCGGCCTTGACGACGATTTCGTTGGGAACGCCGTTCATTCGCGCGCAGGCGGTTCCGAAACTCTCTGTGCTTCTTCCGTTTCTCAAGGTGTAAAGGTAAGTAATTTGAGGCCCCTCTGTTCCGCCGGTCGTTGTAGAAGCGGTTGTAGAGGAGCGCATTTCGGATTGGGCATCGACTACTACGTCCATGTGCGCGAAGGCTAGGCTTGCGCGTGGTTCCAGGAAGCCATTTTCGAAGATCTCGTGGAAATGCGTTGCGCCGAGGACTTTGGGACAATCTAGACCTCGAGCGAGAAGGTGTTCGAAGACACCAGCTACTAATCCAGCTCCGTCGGTGGACTCGGTTCCTTTGCCAAACTCATCGATGACGAGTAAGCTTCTCCTTGTAGCCAAGTATAGAGCAAGGGATGTCTGCTGGAGATCAGTCATAAAAGCACTCTGCTCTCGAGAAACCGTTTCACGAGTGGCGATGCGCGTAAGTATCTTGTCGGTGATACCGATAGTGGCGGCTTCTGCGGGGACAAAGGAGCCGACGTGTGCCATGTATACGATGAGTGCGATTTGCTTCAGGTAGATGCTCTTGCCGGAGTAATTCGGCCCTGTCAGAATTACCATGCTAGGACCTTCTGCTTCATGGATTTCACGAGGCTGATGTGATGGGGGACAGGGTGATTGCGAGGGCCGCCGAGGGGAAGTATGCGGGTTCTCTGCACCTTTGCCACCGACAAGATATCCATCATTGGGGATGAAGGATGGGACGGTAAGCTCCTGCAAGATATGTCGTCCGGCTGTGATCTTGACGATATTGTCTTCGACCACGTTGGGACGAACGAGGTTCAATTGATTTGCGCCCTGCGCCATCGCAACGAGACAATCCAGCTCACCGCATATCTCCGAACATGTGATGAGCAGATCTTCGTATTCTAGGACATTCTGGGCAAGGTCCTGTAAGACCTCGATCTCTTTGTCACGTATATTGCCGTAGATATCTCCGAAGCGAGCATCAAGTTCGGTCATGTTGGAGTTCTTGTAGTAGACGTGAGTCTCTGTGGCAAACATTTTCTCCCAATGGTCGTCTGATATTGGTCCATTGAAGTGTTCCTGCGGCTCCGACGGCGAAGTATCCTCATCCATTTGTGTGGAGATGAGGAAGCCGATCTGCGGAAAGAAGATGACGTTGATCTTCCAGCCGAGTTCAGCTGGAATCTTCGCTGCAACGTGATTGACGACGTGACTGAGCATGTCCTCGATGCCGTCATATGTGCGCTGAGCATCGTCTAGCTCATCATTGACCCCAGGACGGATAATGCATCGCCGAGCATCTTGGACGCTATCAAAATCAATGGTCTGACTGATGATTTGGCCTGCTTGTGCAAGCCGATGTTTGTCAAAGCTTTCCGCGAGCTTGTGGGTGATTGAGAGATGTCTGGCACCCTCGACTTCATTGAGAAGGTCGATTAACGACAAGGCAGAGAAAATGAAGTGTCGCAAATTTTGCCAAATGGCGATGGAAGCTCCACGACCCTTGTCCAGGCCGCTCGTGTTGCCTTTACGTAGATTGTTCGTGATGGTCCGCATGTTTTTGACCTTGGCCAAGGTTTCGATGATACGATCGAGTACGTTGGCATTCTCAAGCTTGAGCAGAACTTCAATTGTGTCCAGCCGATTGTCAATCACGCGTCGATTCATGCTTGGACGTAGAAAGTACTGACGCAAAAGCAGTCTGCCCTGTTGTGTTTTAGCCATGCCAGCAAATAGTCCATACACGGAGAGACCTTCTTTATGACCTCCAGACCAACTTCTCGCAGCGGGTCCTTGCTGTTGGACATTCGGGTGTGATTCAAGTGAAGTAATCTGGAGAGCATGAATGGTGTCGGAATTGACGAGCATGTTGTCCTTCAAGCTGAACATTTCCAAGCCACCGATCCGGAACATCCCATCGGCACCACGATCGCTCGGGAGGTATGCCGTCGCTCTTCTACGCTGCAGGTAAGAAATTACCGCACCTGCACAACCCACAGTGAGTCGGCTCTCCATGTTGATCCATCCAGCGAGACGAAGAAGCAATCCTTGTTTGCCAACGAAACATGCCTCATCACCTTCAAGCCCGCGGTTGTCATAGACGATATCACCTGGAATGATGTAGGTCACAGTCGGACCCCCCTGCTGGCCAAGCCCAAGATTCACGAGCTTGTTTCGAGCAGAATCATATCCAAACTCAGCATTCGGCCGACACTCCATCAGATATGGGAGACGAGTCGCGTCACGTTGACGACCATTGGCAGAGCTTCCATATGCACAGAGCTCTGGGTCGAGTCGATTGATGGTCTCGCCCTGGCATCTGGAAGGCACGAGTACCACCGTTGGATTGATAAATAGTTTCAGCGAGTCAACAATATCTGGACCGCCGAGCTGGACATCTTCCATGAAGTATAGTTTTTCGTCGCGTGCCATGTAGTATGCACAGCCCATCGCGCCACGGTCGGTCACGTTGACAGCCATGATGATCTCTTCAAGAAGGTCGAAATCATCATCGATGTGGGTGTTATTCACCGCGGCTTCGAGGCTGAGCACGCTCCTGTCATCATCATCATCAATGACACTGAATGATTGACGTGCATCGGCGGAGACCGAATTCTGTCGAGACGCTGATGTGCGTGGTAAGTGACGAGCAGGTGTTGCTGCATGGGTTTTTGATCGCTTGCCAATCGATGGAGTCTGATAGCTGATGCTGATGGATGCCGAAGATGTTCGCTGCGCCTTGCGACCGATCATCGTACCTCGGATATCATCGTCACATAGCCGTTTCTTAGTAGGCAATGCTGGCGCCATCTGGGTATCAATTTTTGTGTGTTGGTTCAGGGTGTGTTGCGACTGAGAGAAGTAAGTGCAATTTTCTGCACCGAGCCCGCTCGTTCACACGTCCAATGAGTTCAAGTGAATCCTGTACTTCACATCAGTAAGAAAGCGCGACCTCACGTCACACCAGAGACGGACAGGCTGTATTGTCGAGGTGTGCGTTACTTGTTCCCATGGGTTGTCAATCTCATGGTCATAACTCATATTCTCACAGCCCAATGCCAATGGCATCAGATGACTCCCACTTTGAATTACCACAGGTAACACCGACAGTGAAGCGTCTGAGATGAACGATTTCGCCTGCGGGTCTCCGTCACAGTTGCGGCATATCAGCCTACAATGAAAGATCAATCTCGTTTCAAAGCATATAGTATTCGCCTCTTTTCCCAAGAAATTCATGCTACAAACCATCGATCACGCATCACTTGACATCCTTCGCCGCCTTCCCTCTTCCCTTCAACCACTCCTCAAATTCCGACCTCGCCCTCCTGATATCCAAAAACCCACCCCTCTCTTCAATAGCCTTATACGGCGTGTCTCCACCACCCACACCGACCTCCTTGATCCTTCTCGCCTCCGAGCTACGCTCGAGCTGACCAGCCCACACGTTCCATTGGATGGGCTTGAGATCCGGACTGCTGAGGACGACTCCGACGCAGAGGAGTAGGATGGAGAAGATGAGTTCGAGCGTGATGTCGAGTGGGATTGTGATTTTGGGGTTAAGGGCGTCGATCACGAGGCTTGGAATCGAGAGATCTGCGGCGGTCGGAGTTGCGAGTGGTGTGCTGGGGAGTAGAGAGAATTCGTATGCGCTGTAGACACTGTCTCGGTCATCAGGGATCAGCATTGGCAATGGAAGCTATTCGGGAGCGATATCCATACGCATGTGAGAGGAGGACGAGGCCGACGGCATTCAGCGCATTGGCAGCGACAGTCATCTTGAAGTATGCTTTTGTTGCTGATTTCTTCAAACCCAGTTTCGATGAATACAAGATTTGTACGCGGAATGGTCACAACACGCGATAGTTCACGAAGTTCATGCGACTGTCGCATGTAGAGCTCCAAAGCCGCATCCTTGGCGTTTCTCATAAGCCGCCCTGGATATTCTCGATGACAATACCCAGCAATACAGTACATTATTGTATGAAATTCATGCTACCAAAGACTGTTTGCGTGTGCACTCGCATTATCGTGAATGACAAGGAGAAAGACAATTGGTGGTGATGTCAGCCGCAGTGGCATTTTGAAATTTTTACCTCTTGGTATCACTATCTATGTTTCTCATTGCACATCACGCCGTTTCGAACGCATGCATCACTTCGTAAATCGAGTTCAGGGCAACATCCATCCAGGACAATGCTCCGAAAACCCGCGCAACAATTGCGGCCCAGACTTTTCCCACCTACAGCTTTTGCATGGCGACGACGTCAGTGGACTGGACGTAGTCCTCGAACTCCTGGATCTCCTCCTGGAGGTCATCGGTCGAGACCTTCTCGTCCTCGACGACCAAGTTGATCTGGAGCTTCTTGATACCGAAACCAACGGCAATAAGCTGGCTACCACCCCAGACGAGACCGTCCTTGACAATGCTTCGGACTGACTCCTCAAGAGCCTTCATGTCGGTCTCATCGTCTGAACATATTTCGTTAGTGTCATACTTTCTGCCATAATCATCTGCGAGCACGTACCCCAAGGTTTGACATCCAATGTGACGATAGATTTGGCAGCAGGCTTGACCTTGCCCTCCTTCTTCTTACGGTACTCCGCGAGGCGTTCCTCTCGGATTCGGACAGCTTCTGCATCCTCCTCCTCGTCGTCAGAGCCGAAAAGGTCGACATCATCGTCGTCCTCCTCGGTGGCCTTCTCGGCAGCCTTCTCAGGCGCAGCAGCAGGGTTGATGGTAAGCTCGGAGGTCTCGGGGCCGTATGAAGCAGCGTCCTTGGTTGGGTCGCCAGGAAGTGTGGTGAAGTCGCCCTCGAAGGAGGCAATGTGCTTGTACCAACGGTAGGCCGATGGGTGAGTCTCGACAGCGGGAGACTTGGTCAAGGTCTGGAAAACCTTGGCATCGGCTTGGGAAGGACCATATCTGGGGCACCTGTCAGTACCATTTTGATTTCGAGGATGAAACGAGCAATTTCGAATGTGAAAAGAGCAAAATAATCAGAGTTGCGCAGAGCGCGTTGGAAGTAGTCACACGACAGGGTCTTAAGCTGTCTCATCAACACGGACCAAATAATTAACATCATAATGCAGGTGAAGGGGGTGCGGGTCAGCAATGGGTGAAGACGGTGTATCCTTACCCAACGATGTAGCTGCGGGTGCTGACCCAGCTATCGAGAACTGCCAGTACATTGTCAGTCGATTTTTGACTGGGCGGACTGCATCAACATTGGTGTTGGCGTACGAGCGAGGCCAGACTCCGAGAGCAAATCGCCGAAACCCATTGTGATGATGAATTGAAAGGAAGGGAAATATGTGGTGAATGTAGAAAGAGAAGAGAAGAAAATCGGGTTGTCAATGAGAAATGTGTAATGACTGGAAGAAGAGAGGGGAAAAAGTCTGCGGAAGGTGTTTATGGAACAGTTTGCTTTGCTTGGTCGACAGCTTTGCTGGAGATTTTTAGGAGAGCGGGGCCGTGCTTGAAAGCAGTGACCCTGCAATTTGTCGATTACTGCCTGAGGCTACCTCTCCCGCCCGTTGGTCCAAAGTGGCGGGCGGGCGGGAATCTCTCCAGCTCGAGTACATACCTAGTAGGTTCCATTCACTCCACAGCTTTGTCGTCATTGCATCGCAGGCACGACCCTCCAACGACGCCAATACACTTCACAACACAACCTTGGAATCATCCATTTCGCGCCGCCATCCCTCCTTCACACTGCTGCCATATTGAGAGTCACTTGCCATCACCAACAAAATGGCTACCGCCCCGATCATCACATTCAAGGCAGGTCGCTGCACATTCAACCAGCGCAAAGTCTCAGCTGTGCCCACTCCTGGCTACATCTACATGTACTCGGAAGATGACCTATTGCATTTTTGCTGGCGACCACGGTCAGCACCCAGTACTGAGCCTGAACTTGACCTCATCATGTTCCCTCAGGACGGAACATTCCGTCCTGTCGTCCGCGAAGAGCGTGACGAAGAGATGTGGTCGCCGACCAATGGCCGCATATTCGAGCTCAGCTTTGTCTCGAGCAGTCAACGACACTTCTTCTGGATGCAGGCAAAGACTCAGGCGGAAGATGGCGATCCGAGCTGGTTTAGCCTTCGCGATCAGAGACTAGGGCAGATTGTTGATTCGTTATTACAAGGTGAAGAGGTTGATGTGCAGGAAGAGATTGAGGCTCTCCGGCGGCATGACTCTTCGCCAGAAGATGATGGTGAGGGCGATGATGATGGGATGGATGTCGATCAAGAGCCGGAACCTGCCAAGAGGGGATCTGGCGGCGCGGGTTCAGGTGCTGCAGGCAATGTAAGGCAGGGCGGAGCCAGTGGTGGCAGAGCGTGAGTCTCCCACAAATTAGCCATCACAGATCTCTGGCTGACATTCTGTGACTAGATAGTCCTCAGCAGCAGCAAGATGCGAACGATCTCGTGCGAAACTTGCTCAGTTCGTTGCAAGGAGGAGCTGGCAAGGGTGGTCAGCCGCAGCAACAACAACGCCAAACCGACAAGCCCTTCACGACCCTCTCAGACTTACTCACGCCTGCAACAACTACAGAATACATTTCCAAAGCCTCTCCCGCCGAGATTGACAATCTCTGCGCCTTTCTCCCAGCAGAGATCTTCGTCCTCGCGCAAGAGTCCTCAGACAAGACCGCTGCAGAAACCTCGGAGTTTGCAACCCGTGCTGCCATCGAAGCTTTATCACAGGAGCAGAAAAAGAGCGTCATTATCCGAGTACTCCGATCACCGCAACTTCAGCAGAGCTTGGCATCATTGACTGTAGCATTACGGGATGGTGGTCTGCCGATGATTGGTGAGGCGCTTCAATTGAAAGTTGAGAACGGCGGACTCATCAAAGGCGGTGCCATGCCTTTGGGCGGCGGCTCAGCGGTGGAGGCATTTGTGGACGGTGTGAAACGGACGGTGCAAGCAGAGAAACCAAAGAAGTAGACGATGGCGGAAACAAACTGCCCAATGTGTAAAGTATTCATGTGGCCCGTCTTAGCAGCACACAGTGCATATGCGATTGTGATATCATCCGAGTTTGTGATGTTGTGAAGTTCAATTTTGCGGACCTCGTCGGGTTCCAACTCGTAGTGAGTCGGAATAGTGCTACTATCATCATCACCGCAGCAATTATCTCTTACATCTCGAAAAGATAGTTGGAGTCTTGATGTCATTCAACACCGATCTTTCCAGGAATAAGTCATTTATCATATATCCAATCTATGCCGGACCTTAGTCCTACGCCAATGCACGCCAGATGGCACGATAGATCTGCGCTAGCAGCACATCGATCTGTACCCACGACATTTTGGCCGAGTGTCGCTCTTGGGCCTCCCCAAGGTCGTCAAGATGGTTGTATTTGGTGCTAAGCATCATCTGTAGAAGAAATGATCTTCACCTAGGCATGCATCAACGGCTTTCGCCGTGGCTTTGATCGGGTAATTGTCTCCCGCCGACCTCAACAGGTCAAGGACATGTTCAATCAAGCGACCACAGCGAGATGCACGATGCTACATTGCATGGTTGGCGATGATATGCTGTGCTTGGGAGGTATGCTAAGATGTCAATTTATGGCAATCGATCGATTGATCAATGCTGACTTGTTACCATATTGACAGCGTTTGCCTCGCTCTGTTCCTCGGCAACATAGATTATTCCGTAGTTGCAACCGCCTTGGTGGCTATCGGCGAACAATTGGATGACTTTCTCCAACTACAGTAGGTTGTTCTGGCATACCTATTGACGAACTTTGGTATGGCACTTGCTCCCCGAAAAGAGAGACCATGCTGACAAGACCAAAGGATTCGCGCTCATTGTAGCCCGACTGAGCGATGTCATCGGACGCAAATGGGCTTCCGTCCTGGTCTGTTGCATGCCGCGTTTCCCTTGCGACTCCTGACAAAGCTGACATGTCGAATAGGCCGTCCTCACTTTGACGGGATCTCTGGGCGCTGGACTTGCTACTACGTTTGAAATGTTAATTGCATTCTGAGCGATACAAGGTCTCGGTGGAGCGGGCGTGTACTCGCTTCCACTCACAGTCATCCCAGAGGTCACACCTGCCGACAACTTCGGCTTGCTGGGTGCCGTGAGCGGCTTGGTCTTCGTGTCTTCGTCGATAGTGTAAGTTCGCCTTCCGCTCGTCATGTGATACCATTTGATCGCAGTGGAAGCTGAATGGGTCTTTAGGGGAACGACACTCGGAGGTGTTATCACAACCCGCGCGAGCTGGTGATGGTGTTTTCTCTTCAACGTACCAATCAGTGTTTTTCTCATTGTCATCATGCCACTAACATGGCCTCGTCGAAAAAGCGGAATCGCTCTTTCGAGTCCATCTCAATCGGCTCAGCATTGGTCATACTCGGTTGCGGCCTCATAGCTTACATCGAAGAAGGCCCACAAGCTCTGAAATTACTCCATGGATACGAGGTCATTGTCAGCCTTGGTCTGGGCATCGTGTTGGTGTCAGGAACCATTGTCATCAAATTGGCAGCACAACCCCAAAACGCAGGTCTTCTATCGAGAAGTAGGACGGAGGCTAAGTATTTACTCCTTGCATCAGCGGCCGCACAAGGTCTTCAAGGTCAAATGCGTCTACTCGGCGGCAACATCAGCCTCTCCATCGCCACGATCATTCTCAATGCGCGTCTCAGCTCCGATCTCTAGTATTCTCGCGTCCAATACAATTAACGGTCTGAAGCGCAACCTCAACTCAATCGCGCTCCTGAATTCCGATAAGATAGCTGCAGTAAAACTGTCGTTCGCAGCTTCCTTCCGATACCAAATCCTCGTTTGTTTGGCCTTGGCGTGTCTTAGCTTACCTTGTTGCGCCCTGATGTGGCAGAGGCATCCAAGGACGTTTCAGGACTTGAATCAGACGGAGGATCGAACCGAGACGTGAGATGAACTCGTTTATCGCCATCCGCAGAGATAGCGTGATGATGGCGTTTGACTCAACCCTCCCTCGAATCTTTGCCTTTGTCCCATGTTGGGTCGCATGGCCACATTTTTCAGGTCTTACGACCAGTGACAATGATCCGCTGCAAAATATCGCTCCAGGGTTGGCTCGTGGTCTTGCGGGAGGTCATCTGCTCGTTATCCGAAGTGGCAGACAAGTTCCACCGGAAATCATTGGCTTTTGCGACGAGACTTGCCGGCGGTGTCGTCAGCGGAACTCTTAAGAGCTCTCATTCCTCACCGGAGGGGCATCATCACATGCGGAGGAGGCTCGACAAGAACGTCCAAAAGAATTGAGAAAAGATTAAATTCATTGAAGGTCATAAACATGTAATGCCGTCGACATGCCTGCTTTAAAACAAATTTACGCCGCCTATGCAATCGACGTTTTCAAGGCTCCGAAAGCCAACCCTCCATCATTTACCGAGGCAGAGCGCAAGTGCTATCTCCCAATGGCAAAGTATTGATGAACTCAACCTTGGAGTTACCCACCGCGAGGTCAAAGTGCGTGTTAAAGACTGTTGCGCCAGGCAAGGTCACATTTGTCGTGTAATAATCAAATTCGCCGCTCTGAGCCCGGATCCTCCGCATCGTGGCATTTTGCAGCGAGAGTTTCGGCAGAACGGAATCGGTCACCGTGTCGCGACGGGTGATGACCATCATGGGCTTAATGCTGGGTTTGACGAGCGATCGACGGACTGCGGCCACTACCTGGATGGTTCCCTTCTGGCTTGTTGAGTCGTAGGTCGCGCAGGTTGAGCTGGTTTGCCAGAGGATGTCTGGGTTGAGCGGATAGCCGCCAGTTCCGGCGTTGTCGTAGATGGTGGGAGAGCCGCTGTTTCTGGACTTGATTTCAATGGTGAAGGATTTGATTTCGGTAGATGGATTCGCGTTGAACTCGTACCAGGTGAATTGCTCGTTCTGGGGTCCATAGGACTGACCTCCGCCCATTCCGATTTGGGTGCCGATGCGCTGGAGAGTCTCGCCTTTGCGGCCCTTGGGGAGCAGTGTAACATTTAAGCTGGAGCCGTCGCGGCCAGTCGATGCGGTCGTGCGGACTCGGATGCGGCCGGTGAATTCTGTCTTGTTGCCGGCTCGTTGGTAGGTTTGAATGTATGGTTTGATGTCGGTGGGTGTGAGCGGGTCTGTGAGGACGACCTTTGCCGGCACGGTGTCGATCATGCGCTGTAGGATGGACTTGCAGCTGCTCAGGAAGTAAGACGGGTCCGAGAGCTTGTTCATAGTGACGTTGCCGTCAGAGCTGTAAATACGCTTGTCGGAATTGTATCGGTCATCGACAGCCTTGACCAGAGGATTCTTGGTGGTGTCATTGAGATACTGAAGGACAACAACATTGTCGTATTCACTGGGCGTTGTATCGAAGGTTACTCTATTGCTGTGATCGTCGGGGCCAGTGTTGATGTTGTGAGGACTCTCATCTCGGTGGACGCCTCCGATTGAATGTCCGCAAGCCACAATCTTGATCATGTCCTCTGCATATTGTTAGCACGTTGTGCCCGTCGGAGGAGGCGGCATTGGCTTACATGTAGCAGGTCCACGTTCGAGACTTACCTTGACTCATGTCTGCTTTGGTGAAGATCCTGGTCATTTCCTTCCGATCGGTATTCGCTTCTGGGACGCCTGAAGGGCCGGCGCTGGTAGCATCGATCCGCCCGAGTCGGAGGGGTATTTCCAAGCGGCTACATCTTTCCACAGCCATGACCATGGCCAGCGCGAGAAGATCACTTGCGCTTGTGCGCGTGTTGTATGAGCTCTGAATGTCTCCAAATGTTTGGTTGAGAGCAAGGCCGAAGTTTTCAAAACGACCAAGTTCAAACTGAAGGGAGGCATCTAGTCCACCCGTCTTGGTAGCAGCGTCGTAAGTGATCATGTCGTGGAACGGCGTCCTCAACCATTGTGCTGCCTTTTGGACACCTGGTTGGAAAGCGCTGAAGCCGCAGTTGAGAATCACTGTCATCAGTCAATACCACCAACGTTCAACATGAATGCAGAATTTGTCCAGATTACTCACCATCCGAAAGCGTGCCATCACGAATGTAACCATCGTTGAGGTAGTACATGTCCTCGATCTTGTCAAAATCTGAAGGCCACACATATTTGGCGCTGGCAAACGTCGCCGCACACAGGGTAGAAAGGAGAACGATCTTCATAACGGGCAATGATGCAGTGGTATTAGAAAACCTACCCGATGTGGGACGGAAGGTTCTGATATATAAACAGGTTGCCTGGGGAGGTGCTCCATTTTTGACATTACGCTGCTGTCACCTGATTGGTTACATCGTCCGTATTCGTATTTCAATCTGCAGCGATTGTCAGTAGCAGATCTCGACGACCGATAGTAGCTCTGTCTTTGTTAGAGGCGGGCTCGGGTGCCACACTCGATGAGGACCCCTACCTGGTAAGCAACCAGAAAGCCGGCACTGATGCAACCCAATCGCGGGCTCTTCTCATACTTCGCCCTCTATCGTCTTGGATTCTCTCAAATTCGCCCACACGCTTTGGTCCGCTACAATCAAATCGGGTATCTTGCGCAGATATCTATGAGCGTCTGCCAATGTTGCATGCTGGACACGATAATGAATTGCCGAGGTGCTCGGGTATGAAGCCGAGACCAGGACATGGACGCTGGTCTGAGACGCGTTTATCACCCTTTCCACAATGCTTAATACAACAGCAGGAGGGTTCCGCTGCCTCAATTTGACCACGAGAACAGTAGGCTGTCCGATGATATGGCAGTTCATCGCGAGTTTGCCACGATTGACAAGGTTTTCCAGGAAGTCCGGTCGGTTGTTGACGGCGTTCAAGTGCGAGGCTACATTGACACTATCTGTCCGTCACTGTGTGTGGGCAATGCGCCGAACCTAATTATGAAGTGTTGACAATAATTATAAGATGGCCGTCTGGGCAGGTTGTCGATGCCGCGCGTTCATTCCGTGCAAGTTTCCACCCACGGTGGACGTTGTCTTCGGCAAGTTCCGTGAGAATATAAACCCATAATTCTATATTTATCTATAATACGCGTGGATGTGTTACATCGTGGTACTCCACGTTGTTGCTAAGGAGTCTATTGCTCCTTCAAATTCATCATTGGTCTGGCACAATTTATATGTTACACTCAAAGTTCTTGAGACCAACGTGCTCGACATAAATACCTAGGTAATGATGCGCCTCGTTGCATCGCTTGTCTGCCACTGATCGCGTCGGACACAATCTACGATATACGCCGATGAGATTGATTACGTAGGCGTTAGGGTTTGGGTAAGACCAATCCATGGATTCCTCACTTTGGCGTCGCCAGCCATTGGATCACACATGAGAATGTCAAGACATGAGGCAGAAGCATAGCATAAGGAATTAAACGACATGTGACGAATCATAGTAGGATCAATCAAAGAGATCGATATTCAAGGATCGTGGCAGCGCCCGACCCTTGAGGCAAAGGTAGCCTTACGACGACAAAGTCGCCCACTATTACTCCTGTAATCTGCCAACCCGCAGGTACATGACGACGACTACGTGCAAACGAAAACCACATTTGTTATTAACAACCTGTGGGCTTAAACGGGGAAAACTCGTCCCGTAAACCTGCTCAGATAAGTGTGAGCAAGTACAGATATCAGTCTGGCCATCGATTGGTGCAGAATCACATGATCTGGCCTCTGCAGCCGGACCTGATACGCAACTATGTTTATGCCTGAACCTTACACGCACCATACTTATGTCTGAACATCGAATGAAAGCTACGCTGACCACAAGATGATCTCGTTTTATCGTGGGCTTCTCAGGTAATCTGTCATGAATTGATAATGGGGTCGATCTGGAGTTTGATAAATACCCTGGGGACGAAACCTGATGGCCTGACCTCCGAGGAGACTGCAGACACACTCTTTCGCTGGCAGATGACATGATACAACTCAGATACAAGTCTGGTTGCGTAAAAATGCCCATTTTGGGAGCTCGAATAGCTTTTAGACATGTCTTGACAACGAGAAATCATCGCTGCCCGATGTTGGAAGGAAGCTTCGTGAATGTGATTGCCTATGGCAACCAGAGGGGTTGTACTTGACTTGACTTGAAGTCAGAGCTTAAATCTGACTCCTTGAATTACTTCAATACTTCAATACCCGGCGCCTTCCCTAGGCCCACCTCAGAAAGAGTGGAGTGATGCAGATGAGACAATGCTCGTGATGGAAACATAAAATGCCCATCGTGAATTTTCCTTGGATACGTCGACCGAAGTCCTAGTACTGTACAGTGTAGGAGAAGAAATTGTCAAAGTTGTGCTTGAGATGTACTTGTCTAAAAACTAGCTACGTGTCAATCGTGCTACCAGCTGGGCGAAAAACATATGAAATGCTGGAGAAAATCGACTTGTCCTTCTGTGGCCCGAGGACGCGTGCCTATCACTTGTGCCATCAATGCAAGATGAACGACATGCGAACGCGATCACGACGGCTCGCGTGTTGACAGGGGAGCCTCGACATCATCGGAAAAGAGAGCTGATGCGATAAACGAAGTTCCCGTAAAGTATAGACGCATCCAGTAGCAATATAAAGATTCGGACACAACATGCTCAAACGGATGCCGGGGACGAGAAGGCCGGATTGGAGATACACATGGATCTTGTTCGCTGACTGATCCGGAGGTGTATTTGACCGGGCTTCCGTGCAGCCGCGGGCCGCGGGCAGACACCACCAGGAAGGACTTTTGAACATGCAGGTGGCGTGCATAGCGGAAAAGCTTGGCATATTTCAGCAGCGCGGCTTTTCCCGCTAGTACCTGCAGTGCTGCATCAAACTGCCGGCTTCACCACGCGCCAGACTCGATTTCCCGGTACGATGATTACCTAAGGTTTCTGTACTTGCTAAGTGCATCATGGGCTCTTCGATACATTCCAAGGTCATGTCCTAGTCAAACCTTGCTCTTCCATGGTGTAGACTAGCCGTCGTATACTCGCACACTACCCAGGTGCAATTCAGCCGAGTCTGAGCCGACTCAATTAGCGTGCCTTTCTCCATATCAGCTTTGACCTCATCATAGGTGAAGGAGAGCGACGGTGATGCTATGAGCATACGGCACATCTTTGTAGCAAGTAAGTCTCTTGATGATTTTGAGCCACAAGTCTTGATGAGCTCGTGAAAACAAGGGCTGACCATTTGTCGACATCGACGATGCACCTGTTCCACAAATCCCAGACCGGGGTTGCGAGTCTCATCTGTCCAGGAGACTTCAGTATATCGGGACTCTTGCCGGTGGTCTTCTCCGCACTTGAGCCCCCGAAATTTTGGGTGATCATCAGTTAGCTCTGACCTTAATTAATTCCCAACTCAGGCACGCAGAAGCTTATATATTGCACGTACCTGTCCGGAACGAGGCGAATGACTGGTCGTGAGCCGCACCGGCGCGCTAATTTACCTAATCGTTGAGCACGTCTAGTGGTCTTTTTTCACATCATGGAAGCTAAACCCTCGTTCAGCTTTGCATCGAGCATAGGCTTGGCCTCTTAGCGACCATTCCTGACCATCTCACGCTAGACGGAAATCTGCTCAAGGCAGCATATACAACATAGAAGCTTCAATCTGCTTGAGCAATGACGTGAGCACCCAGCGATTTGTCCGAATCTAGTCACTTCCATCTATACGATGCCGGCTTCACACTTATTCAAACATCAACGGCGGTCAGGTTCGATCACCACGGACGGAGCTCTTCCACGATCCGTCTCCAAGATGACACAATTTCTTTCGGCCGGGCTTTCAAAGCCTCGGTGATCGACCTCATGATGGTCTGCTCGATCGTCAATCATGTCATACTCTCTCGAGCGCTGTCAACGCGGAGGTGCTCAATGCTCAACATTGCACAAGTTCGTCGACGCCCTCGATAGCTCATCGACCTCAAGTATATAATGGCTCACGAGTCCACTCCTTGTCCGAAAGAATACTTCATCACCTTCAACATCAGCTTCTTGGCACACCACCGCATCACTCTCCTATAAGTCATCATCACCCAAACATACAAATCTTCAAGATGCGTGTTCAAAATGGTGTCTCTCTGCTCGCTGCAGCCAGCATTGCCTATGCTGCACCTCTGGTGAACCCGGTTGCTCCTGTGATCAAGCCGGTCGAGTCTGCCCTCGACCCTATCGAGAACCTAGCCGCTGGCAACCCACTCCTTTCCGCCCCCGCCGCCATCATCGCTCAAGCCGACAGCGCCCTTCTCCAGCCTCTTGCCCAGGACAACTTCAAGCGCACAGACAAGCCTGTCAAGGCAGCCGCTGGCATTCTGGCTGACGCTGGCGACGCTCTTCTGTTCCCCGCCGAGGTCCTCGACGACGCCCTTCACCGTGAGGCTGCCAAGGGCCGCAAGCACTACCCTCGCACCTTTGTCCCGGCCAAGGAGGCCGAGAAAGACGCCGCTGGCATCCTCGCTGATGCCGGTGACGTTCTTCTCTTCCCTGCCGAAGTCCTCGACGATGCACTCCACCGTGAGGCTGCCAAGGGTCGCAAGCACTACCCTCGCACCTTCGGCCCTGCTGCTAAGGGCGTCGAGAAGGACGCTGCTAGTATTCTTGCCGATGCTGGTGATGTAATCCTTTCTCCCTTCGAGTCTCTCGAGGAGTCCCTCCGAGCCGCCTCGAAGGGCCGTAAACACTACCCTCGCACCCTGGGCCCAGCCGTCAACAGCGCTGAGAAAGAAGCTGCCGGCATTCTTGCCGAGGGCGCTGACATTGCTCTCTCGCCATTCGAGTCGCTCGAGGAGGCCCTCCGCGCTGCTTCCAAGAGTCGCAAGCATTACCCACGCACCTTCGGCCCTACCGCAAAGGGCGTCGAGAAAGACGCTGCAGGCATTCTCGCCGATGCTGGCGATGTCGTGCTCTCTCCTTTCGAGTCACTCGAGGAGGCTCTTCGCGCCGCCTCCAACGGCCGCAAGCACTACCCTCGCACCATCAAGCCCGTGAAGGAGGCCGCTAGCGAGGCTGCTGACGTCGTCGCCGCTGGTGCTGACATTCTTTTATCGCCCGCCGAGGCCCTCGACAAGGCTCTGCACAAGGCTAGCGGGAAGCACCCTCGCGATCTCGAGGCGCGCACCTTCCCTCTCTTCTTCCCGCCGCCGCCTCTCGTCGCCGGCGCCATCATTGCTCACGAGGCCGCTGACGCTTTCGAAGATGCCCTCCGCGGCCCTTACTACGATGAGTACGATGGCCGTGACGATGACTACTACTACGACAACCACTTCTAGATGCGCCTGGTCAAATATGAATTCGGAGCACGAATCATGGATGGTGTTCTGTTCATGGATTATTCCAGCTACTGACAGCTGGAATGGACTGGTTTGGATGTCAACGACGGGACACGATGGGTTGAACTGAGAATATGGGGACTTGTAATGGGAATGACATGAGTTCAATGTGAATAGGATTAGCTGCCGTAAATTTTTGAATTGAAGTCCAATTTTTTCAATTTGATATCTTCACGTCGCTCACCTCGGCCGACTTCCTCTTATAATGAATAATAGAGGGGTAACCCAAACCCTAATGCTGGCTAGGGTTTGATCACACGACTGGTGAGTGGCCGTGACATCCGTGGACCGACTTTAATAATATTTCATCATGGAGTTCGTCTCATATCTATCCTTCATACATTGCCGCAAACACGAAATGAAAATCCTGGAATTACGTCCATGATACCGTCACGCAGCCGCACGAGTCTTGTGGCAGCCGACGACTGCTACTCCTTATTCGGCATCATCCTGTTGAGGGGCATTGTCAACTATGCGGACTTCTTGCCCGTCACCCACTTCACGATAGGGGTGTACCCGATCGCCTTGAACTCCACGATCAAGTCGTCAAGCCACGCAAGATACTCTTCGGGCGTTTTTGCCACCCCCGGAATGCCATCGGCTGTGAGTCAATAATTAGCGCGATGAAGCTTAGATGAGGACACTGCAAGACAGATTCGTACCTGGCATGATTCCTGCAAATTGGCGGAACGACTCTGGTAGCAACTCCCCGGTCCAGTCACGATCTTCTGGTCGCGCCGTCGTCGCACCGTATCCCAGAGGAAAGCTCTCGACGTGGATGTCCTTCAGGTTGAGCGACTCGAGCAAGCTCGGGAGGCGCTTCCAAATGTGAACGTCCATACCAGCCGCACCTGCAGACCACTCCTGCACAAGAGCGAGCTTCTTCTGTTGGACTTGCTCATCTGTGTAACCATCAAGCTTGACCCACTCCGCCTCCACCAGCTGGATCATGTCAGCGAAAGCTCCCTCTGCATTTGAAAGACCTTCAAACCCACCTGAATCGTTCCACCAGGTTTGACAGTGTCAACGAGATTCTTCACAGCCACATCCCATTCGTTGGCCTTGATTCCCCAAACCAGCAGGCGCTGGTGCACGAGATCAAACTTGTTCTTCCACCCCCATGATTCCGGAAAGGGATATCGGATATCATGCTTTTTCAGATCAAGTCGGTCATCCTTTCGAAACAGCGCATCCCCGATATCAACTCCACATAGCTTCAGATCCTCACGGACCGGACCGTCGCCTCTAAGGCCGGCCAAGTCGGCAAGCCACGTGCCTGAGGTCCGATCAGATGTATGTACGATGAATAGCGTAACAGATGAGACTCAAAGATCATTCTTGGCTCATGGTCACTCACCGTCACTGCATCCAACGTCCAATATGCTTGCACCCTTGGGCAGCTTAGCATGGGTCAATTTTCCACCGGTGTGAGTTGCAATAAATGCATGCTGGCGCTGCAACCGGTTCACCTCCTCCACATGGTGCGGCAAGAGGTACGCATTTTCGGTTCCTGCGAACTTGCCTCTGACGTCCTCCTTGAAGGCGGATTTGGGCACAACAGGATCGTTCATGGTAGCGTTGATTTTCGATTTTGATTCAGACAGGTTTGGATAATTAATACACCCATCGGCATCACCTGGAACTCGTCTGTCTAAATACATCGGACGTGAGCGATTCGCTCATCCTACCCAGCATCCCACACTGAGCTCCGCATCCTGTACGGAGCGTGCGACAACTCCACAATGGAGTATGATGGGGCACAATGGAGCAGAATGGAGACGCGGTCTTCAAAACCGAAGTTTGTCAACCGAGAACTCCCCGCACGGCCATGAGTATGACGTTTCGCGCCCATGACGACATGTCGAAATTGTTGAATGGGTTCATCGGACTCCAGGAGATTGCATTCCTGTTGCGTCGATGCTGACAAAATGCGACGACCATTCCAGTCCGTGGTAGCGGAGTTTCTTGGATGTCACGTGACTGCTCATTGATATGGAAGCAACATCATTATCTCGCAGCCGAAGTCGCCTCGACCAGCACGCCATGGCTTATTTCAAAGCAGGGACAAGTCGTATCCTATTAGGAACGATTGTGGGTCTCTTTGCGGTCACACAGGTACGTCACCCTGCCACAGCTTGCTGCATCACACGCCCAGTTGTGGGAGTTTCCAACAACACATATAAATCTAGCAGACTGACGGTGAATAGTCGCCATTTCTGTCACGGATACCATCATCATTCAAAGCGAATATCAAAAGTTTCTCCAGTTTTCCGTCAAGAATGTCTCCCGCACTACTGGAACAACCTTTCGAGGTTCCAAGCCTGGCTTTACAGATCGGCAAGCAGAAGCAATTCAGCGCTAAAGGACCCGATGGAGTTGCACCACTTCCGAAGGGAGGTCAATGGGGTCTACCAGCAGGATTGTACACTGTCAAGCAGATCGTCGAAGCCAACGCGCCGCTTCTCGAAACCTGCATTCACCACCTCGGACCCAGCCCAGACGGTGAGCCTTCAGCTCGCGAACAGCTGATCGACAATCTCGCATCCAACCTCGCGCTCGACACCCGCGAGGCCAGCATTTCCATCCCGACGGGAGACCCGAATCGTGCTGAACTCGCAAAGCAAGCCATAAACATCGGCAAGACCCTCATCAAGTATGTTCGAAACGTTTCCGATGTTGAGTTCGACCCCAACTATGTCGTCCGCAGCCCCTGTGAAGGCCACATGCTCAAGCCTCACGTTGCGTACTTGATGTTCGGTCCCCGCAGTCTCCGCCACCTCATGCAAATCTACAATGAGTACCTCCATCAGATGGTACTCCTCCGCGATGCCCTCCTGCCTTTTGAGAATTACGAAGATGTTCTCATTCAGATCAACCCAGGTCCCAAGCGAGGAATTCGACACACCGAGGAAGCTCGTGGGGCTTTCTTGACCGAGGCATTGACGAAGCAGGTCAAACAACGAACACTCCTCCGAGCTGCCCAATCCTTCCTCGCACCATCACTTTCTGAGAAGAGTGACGTCGGCTTCCAGTACAAGGGAGGAGTTGTTCTCCCGGCATTCATTGCTGGCGGCCGCTCCTCTCAATTGCTGCGTTGGGTCCCCGTAGTCTTGGATGAGTCCGTCGAAGAGACCACATTCCACTACGCCCTCGAGGACTACTACGCTGCCGATCGCGCGGAACTCAGCTTGAACAAGGGTGAGAATGCTGGAAATGCCAAGGTTGCCAACTCCACCCTGAATGCTACCAACAAAGACGGCAAACATCAAGTCCAGCTCAACATTGAGTGGGATGACGGGAAGTCGGCCAGCTTCGATGTGGGTCAGATCGCCCGTGGTCGCCGTTACGCCCACTGGGCTCAGAGCACCAAAGCGGGCAAGGGAGAGGAGCCGGAGAAGTCAAAGACCTTCCGCCACGACGCACACGCTGTCTTGACGTCGTCCCAGTCGGGTCTTATCCTCCCGCCAAAAGGATTCCATATCATCAAGTCCAACAGCAAGGTTGAGACGCTCGCGCTACTAGGCAAGACATACCCGGACAACATTGTTTTGGTGGAAGAGGGGCACTCGCTTGCGCAAGCAATTGCTGCTGGCCAGGGGGGACTGCCAGACGCAGGTCGTTTTTTCATTGCCACGGGGGAGCTTTAGGCACAAATTGTATTCATAGTCAGCAGCTCAATCGACAGCTGTGCAGCTTCACGAAATTGTAATAAACCTTTCTTCCGTGTCTGTCTAATTTCACCGCCTACTTGATCCCACCGATTTCAAATGTGCCCGGAGGCTTTGAATTGTGTTTTTCCGGAGATTAACGTACCTGAACCAGAGAGCCATTCCGTCCGATCCGTACGCTAGTCGATGCGGTCCCCTTCCACGGAGTTGGTATCCCTCTCAATGGCATGGGCCACGTGGGAGCTTACATCAGAGGTAGCTAGTATGCTTTAGTTGCTTATAATTTCCTCATGTTCGTGCTTCAATATCACTTCTCTCGATCGTCGTAGCACCACGCTTTTTTGCATTGCTTTTCTCTGATTGCGAGGCCATTTCATATCATCGCCCAACTCACACGGTGAGCATCGATTACCATGTGGATATCATGTGTGCTTTTCGCGTCTACCGCGACCGCCGCCATTCTACGCCCGATGGGCCAACAACCGCTCTCACCTAGCTCGGTGCTAGGCGAGAACTCCATCGCGCGTGAATGCCTTGCTGAAGGAGTCGTCTGTCTCGAGAAGGGAGGTGCCAGGTTACCCTCCCCGTTCTACAGAGAGCCCGCCAATGGAAGCTTCTTCAACAACTACGGAGACGTGTCTATTGACTCGGACGTCTCGTGGAGCTCGGTCTCGAAGGCAGACTTTGTGGTTTTCAATGAGGAGCTCGCCAAGGGTATTTTGGGCAAGAAGCCCAAGGTCGACTTCATGTTTGCCGTCTCGCCATACCTGCACGAGAGCCCCGTCTATGTACCTGGCTTGAACAGACTGTTCTTCTCGGAGCTTTCTCAAAACCTGCCCATGTACGTCGTCGACCTCGACGAGGCTCAGCCGACCGTGGAGGAGTATCTCGCCGACCCGCCAATCTACGTGCCCAATGGTGCTTTCTACAGCGGGGGAAAGATCTACTACGCTGTGGCTGGCTCCAACGCGACTGTGGCATCGGCCAAATTGAGCACCCAGCAACGTCCGGGAATCATCGCATTGGACCCATACACCAACACCACCGAGGTGTTGCTCAACAACTATTTTGGTCTGGCTCTTCCCGGCTGCGATGACATCGTCGTCGACCCGCAAACTGGATTCATCTGGTTCACCGTGCCGTACTACAGCTGGTGGTTGCAAATCGCGGACCTGCCACCGCACACCAAGAGCGGAACCTTCCGCTTCGACCCCAAGACCGGCAGCGTCGTCATCGTGGACGACGACATGCGGAGTCCGAACGGCATCGCCTTCTCACCCAACTCCGCCCACCTGTACATCAGCGACACCGCCGCCGCCGGTGCGTCGGCTCCGATCTCCATGGACGTGCCCAGCCCAGGAATTCCGGGCATCCTCTTCAACACAACGGAGAAGCGGACCATTTACAAATATGATGTCGTCGACCAGGGACGTGCGATCGTGAATAAGCGTCCCATCCATTATGATACCATCGGCACCGTGCCAGATGGTCTGAAGGCGGCCCGCAACGGCCTCGTCGTCACCGCCAGTGGAAACGGATTGACCGTGCTGACCGAGTTTGGCGATGTTATTCTCCGCGCGCAGACCAACTTCACCGTCAACAACTTCCAGTGGGTCGAAGGTGCTGATAAGAGCTGGACTGAGGTGTGGATGGTCGGACAAGGTGGTGTTGCACGCGTGTCTTGGGACCTGCAGGGCGTGCAGGCGAGATAAGTTTATCTTGACCTTGCTTTGGTCATGCCTTTAATTTGTTGCTGTGAATGTGTTGAAACACAAACCATCATTCACTGATTTGCCATGTATCTTACAAGAAAGAAGTAGAGAAAAATTCAAATTTGAAACATTGCTTTTTGTGACTTTCTCGCTACTTTTAGATATTTCTGATTGTGTTGGTATAGGGATACGAACGAAGGTTCTTGCACTCTTCTCTACATGCTGCGAGTGCAGGTAAAACCAAAATTCAATAACCCCGAGATCACGATTGCATCACGTACATGATTTGACAATCTTACGCTCCACTGAGGCGGAATAGGTTCAAATATGGCTCAATCATCATTTGAAGACCAGGAAATATCGCATACTTCCTCATTCAATATTTATACATGGAATGTGGCGACGCTCTCGTACTCTCCACTGCCCCTCGTGGTCATGCAATGAAAGTCGGTATTCTCAGTCAAGGTGAGACTGTTCTCATTCAATCTTCTGTCATCGTCTAGACGTCTTCAAACGATGGTGGAACCAGCTGCGAGCCATCTTTCCATCTCAAGGCTGGCGAGAATGAATGCGCTTGATCCGATGAGACTGTCATTCACCCGTGCGCGGTTGACGTAATACTATGTAAAAGTCAGCATCAACATCTCATCGCTCGTGGGAAATTGCACTCACATCAAAATTCGGTCGTGCCTCATGGAGGCTGGCGATGATGCTTGTACCATGAAATTCCAACAGCCCGGAATCGTTCTCGACAACAAATAGAGTGACAACTTCATCGTATAGTCCTCGGACGACATCCCCGACAGTGAGCACGGCAGGAAGAGGCGTTTGGGCCTGCTGTGGACCGTAAGCGCCTTGTCTAATTGGCGAGTGAGCAGATCCATCGATGATTACGTGGTCGGAGATGTACCCCAGGCGGAGGCTCTTTGCTAAGACGAAGGCAATCATCGCACTGGCGCTGGCTTCGATGTAGTTGCCCTCTGCACCTGGCTGGTCAACGACCTGCCATACTGCATAGCTACCCGTGACAGTAGCCGAATGTCTCGCAGCGACCACATTGGCGCGCGCAATGTCGTGTAAGATGGTTCTCATGCGTTTGTACGCTGGCGACGATTTTGTTCTGCTATCGTTTTCTGCCAACTCCAAGGCATCGACTAGACCGATAAGGTACCATGCCATGCTGCGACCCCAGACCATCGGACTGGCGCCCGTTTTCGAATCCGCCCAAGGCGCAGATTTAGACGCGTCATATCCGTGGACGATGAGACCCGTCGCGGCGTGATGGACATGTTGGTACAGAATCTCTAGCTGTTCAAGAGCAGAATTGATGTTTAGGCCGTCAGAGAATTTCTGGCCATAGAGCGTTGCGAAGGGTGCGAATCCGTACATGCCATCGCTGTAGGAGAGGTTGCCATATTGTTCGTATGGAAGTGGTGGGTCGGCAAAATACCAAAACCCACCGTTTGCACTCCGTAGTTGGAGATCTATTGACTGTCGGAGCGCCTGTAGAGCCTTCTCCGCCACAGGCGTCGCAACGTCGCTCTGCCTGCAGAAAAGTGTTAAAGCATAGGGTTTAACAATGATCGCACACTATGACTTACAGTATACTGCGGCCTGCGCAGACTCTGTCCAGAGGTGCACGCGAATCTTTGACAGCATTCGTGAAGTCATCAATGCCATATTGCAGGCTTTCACGATGATATTCGGTCCACGCCGCGGCTTGTTCAGGGTCGCTGCTGGCTGCGATTGCTTCCCGCAAGCTTTCCTGAAAGAATCCCTATAGAACACCAACAATCGCCATCAGCAACATCAACATCAACAGCAGAAACAAGATAAATTGCGAATATTCGATTCATGCAACGACTCAGCCGCACCTTTTGGATTTCACTGAGTAGGCCGTCGGCTGCTCTGACGCCCTCCTTGCGAGCGATAACGCTTTCAAGCATCCACGTCGAGTATGGCCGTGGGAGTTCTGTAGCGGCGGCCAGCAACGGCCCAACGCCAAGACCGAGCAAAGCGATACTGGTGAAAAGCATTTTGTTTCTAAGAGATTATACCTATGCAGACCTGACGTATGCGGCGACCACGCCTGGACTATTATCTCTGGCCACGAGCATCTGCACGCTGTGATCGCATATCCGAAGAAGGATTTTGGCTTCAGTAAGCTTATTTCGGACGGCCAATTCCGCAGGCCCGCCCGGAGTTCAGGCGTCAGGGTCCAGCCGTTTCACCTGTGCCAGCCCGGAAATTGATGGGCGTCTTTGTCAGGATTGAACAGTGATTACAACATCATGCATGATATCAGAGACAAGCGTAAAATACAATTTCAAGATGTTCCGGAAGAAGCCTCCGAGTGTAGATCTGATGCCTATTGAACGATTCGCTGTTAATTTCTTGTATATTTGTATGGTATCTTTTCGTTGATCGCTCTCGTTGCCCTGGTCATTGTTCGTTCTCTTCTACAGAGACAACCACAAACATGTCGGACTCCGCCAGTGCCGAGAAAGACATGTCCCGCAAGCCGTCCAAGGATGATTCTCTAGGCAAGTTGAAAGGTCCACGCGTTGGGCATTTCATAGTCACTAACATCTCGAAGACACTCCGAATGATGCCGGTGATAATTCCACAGCAGAAAAGGAACAAGAAGGAGACGACCATGTCTACAGCGCAGATAATCTTTCGTCGTTTCGACAATTCCTGATGATCGGCACGGTCTGCATGGCCATGTTCACAAACCAGCTCGGTCTCGGAAATACTCTTGGCATCGTCGGCGTCATCGGCGAGACCTTTGGATTGGAGAATGAGGGTGAAGAAGCCTGGCTCGTCGCCGGATACTCCCTGACCGTCGGTACATTCATCCTTCTGGCAGGCCGACTCGGTGACCTGTACGGCTACAAGCGGATGTTCCTCATCGGTATGACCTGGTATGCTATCTGGAGTTTGGCGGCTGGAGTGAGCGTTTTCAACAAGTCGGCCAAGTCCGGCTACGTCCTCTTCATCTTTGCGCGCGCCTTCCAAGGGATTGGCCCATCGATGACCATGCCTGCCGCGCTGGCTCTGCTTGGCACAGCGTACCGTCCTGGACAAACGAAGAACATGGCATTTGCATTATTCGGAGGATGCGCACCCTTTGGTGCTGTGGCGGGCTTTCTGTTGTCGGTCTTGACCCTTCCCTTGAGAAAAGAGCTCAAATGCTGACAATGAAATCGTTCTAGTGGTGGCCTTTTCGCGCTGGCCTGGTGGCCGTGGACCTACTACAGCCAAGCTATCGCACTTGCCGCCCTGACCGCCTTCGCAACCTGGTCGATTCCCGATCAGCCTCTGGGTAAGGACGCGCAGGCCATGTCGGCCACAGAGAAAGTTAAGAACCTTGATCTCATCGGCGGCACGATCGGCATTACTGCGCTGGTGCTCATCAACTTCGCCTGGAACCAAGCAGTAGTCGCGGGCTGGGAACAACCTTACGTGTATGCGACCCTCATCGTGGGCTGCTTTCTGCTTGCTGTCTTCGCCTACTACGAAGCGAGATTGTCGCCGAATCCACTCCTCCCATTTGCTGCCTTCAACAGCGACATCGCGTTTGTTTTTGGCTGTACTGCCGCTGGATGGGGAACATTCGGTATCTGGGTGAGTAGCGCTTTCATTGCTCCCAATCTTACGTTCGTTTCACTAACATGCCTCTGCTTCTGCAGGTCTTTTACGCGGCACAATTGGTGATTTACGGTCGCGGCGTCACTCCGCTTCTCCTATCCGCTTGGTACTCACCCGTCATTCCGTCTGGCCTCATTTCAGCTCTCGCCGTCGGCAAGCTTTTGGGCAGAAAGTTGTCCGCGGCATGGGTCATGGTCATCGGGCAAGTCGCCTTCGTCGTGGGCTCCCTTCTTATCGCTACCTACCCTGTCCAGGACACTTACTGGGGCCATTTCTTCTTCTCCGTACTGATCATCACCGTTGGCATGGACTCCTCTTTCCCTGCCGCGACCATCATCTTCAGCGATGCCGTCGAGCCCAAGTATCAGGGTATGGCTGCGTCGGTTGTTTTGACCATCGTCAACTACTCCATCAGCCTGGCCCTCGGCTTCGCAGGTACTGTTGAGATCGAGACAAAGGCTGGCGATGCCATGAGGGGCTACCGGAATGCTCTCTGGTTCGCTGTGGGTCTGGCTGGGCTTGGGTTGGTGCTTTCGTTGATCTTTGTGGTCAAGGACGAGCTAAGCAAGCGTCGTTCGAAGCAGGCTTGAGGCACAGTGCGATGTGATGGCGACTCATCGGAATTTGTCTGTCAGTTTTAGATTGTAATTGAAGCGGCTATCGTATTAGCTTTGGTATTAGAAGTAAAATTACGCAATTGTCATTGTATTTCGTTTATCTGTCCTCAGCCCAGCTCTCATTTCCGTGGCATTCTACAATTTTTAGATTGAGCCGATGCTATGTCCCATCTGCTCTAAATCGACCGCTTCGTGTCCTATGAGCAACAAGGCGATAAGACAAACTCGGATTTGGTAGATTATCAGGCGTTGTATTGTGCGGGATATCAAGGTCTTTACCTGAGACCTCTTCTTAATTTTGTCTCTCGATACTGCAGCGACATCGAGGACACGATCCTTCAAGAAAACAATGTAGAGGTTGACAGCTTGTAGGTTCCACAATGGCTTCAAGTTCAAATTCTGGCCTGGTGCATCCTGGAAGATTTTCTCGAGTCATCCGCAGAAGATGATGATCCCAAGTATCATGGACGTGACAGCATCGAGTTGCTTTTTGGATCGACAAGCAGGATTTGAAATCCCTCCAATCGGCTTGGTGAAGGCATGAGGTGGACAATGCTCGAAAATACGCGGTCGGCGTGGCCTCCGCGCCCGACCGCGTGGCTATGACTTTGCCTTATTCGGGAGAAACAGAACTCCGCCTTGCGATCGAGAGCTTACCACAGCACTTCAGGAAGAGAGCGACCCCTGCAATTTGATATGGTACTCTTTTAGGGCTTGCTAGCCGTCTTTGGGATTTCCATAGGATTTCAGCCGTAGCGAACTATCTAGCAAACATCACCTCCTCACATGTTCAGGCCTGCCTGAGTGTTAGATTGCCTTTTCTATGGATCTTAGTTGCTGGGCAAGTGCTCTACTTATTGAATACATTTTCTCAAACAAAATCGATCACTTGGAATGGGTAAAGTCATCTGATTCAGGAAGAGTACGTCCTGGGCTATTGCCAGATCCTTTGCCAGATCCTTTGCACGTAATATTACCTGCACATGGTTTTTCTTTCACAAGATTGTCAGGAGCGATTAGTTCCATTCAGCTCTGACTTATGATTTACTTGAGCCAGAGGTATTAATTTATCATCTTTGCCTTTACCGCATTATGCAGTCGTCGCAGCTTACACCCGCACGACACTATGGTCGCTTCTGGATTCCTTCTCGTGGAAAAAGTTTGTAATGATTTACATCTATGAGTCACGAAGATTTGAATATCGTGCTGAGAAATGTGGCTAGACCTGTAGCGCAAGGCCAGGTGCTGTTTTCAGTAGGACTTGCTCCTTTGATCCATGCACCAGCTCCAAGTTGATTGTCTCGACCTGACTCGCCTCCTGTGCTAATGCTTTCGCGAATTGCACGTACTCCCGGATCAGGAACATAGCCTGAGACTTGGACAATCGAGGATCGCAAAGCGTACGGTATTCAGGGAATTGGGCCTGCGATAGATCCTGACTGTATGAGTCCAGGCATTCTGTGACATCTGCTTCTCCTGTCTGCTCAATATGAATGCCGCCAAGTTGAGAGTCATTCTCCGCGTGGATCAGATGGGTCAGTTTCAGCTCTTCCAGCATCTGCTCAACAATTCTTGTCTTGACTTTGGAGGGCGTGGAGACGGTGTTGCCATGGCAGGGGTCGCACAACCAGACAGGCACATGGTTCGATTTCTTGATCTCTCTGATCAATGCAGGCAACTTGTCTTCGACGTTTTTAGCGCCCATGCGAGTAATGAGAATGATCTTGCCGACTGTTCCGCGAGGGTTGAGCTTGTCGAGCATCTCGATCAGATCGCTTGGATTTGTGGTAGGTCCCAACTTTACGCCGACGGGATTCTTCACACCGCGAAGATATTCGACATGGCCGCCGTCTAGCTGTCTAGTCCGCTCGCCGATCCACAGCATATGTGCAGAGGTGTTGTATCCAAAACGGGTCATGGTCGACTCAAGCGGCAGATGTAAGGCTTCATGAGAGGTGAAAACGCCGCTTGAGGGAAGGGTGAAGCGCTCGATTTCAGTTCGAGGCTGACCGCTCTCGGCTCGCAGCATTGAAAGAGTTGCAGCTGCTAGGTGATAACCGACGCAGAGACGCTCAGGGTTTGGGTCTCGCTCCGACTTCTCTGGGCCGTTGACATTGTCGCCTCGATACTGTTCAGCGTGAGCGTGAGCTGAATGCCCTGATTTTTGATCACTGATGATACGAAACTTACCGAATTGACTCGACTTCCGCAAGACAGCGTCTCGTAGCAGTTGGAACGCGGCTTAGAGTATTGTCCAGCTATCCGTCCAATGGGAATGATGGGCTTGCCCAAACCTTCGGACAAGGTCTTCGCCTGTGCCACTAGAAGTTCCCTTTTACCACTCACAATTGGGCGAGTAATTTCGTGGAAAGCCTCCGCGCAGTCACCGCCCTGTACTACGAACATTTGCCCGCGCGCAGCAAAGAGCAGAGTTTCACACAGCTGATCGATTTCTTGCGTTGGTACAAGATCGGGTAGTGCAGCAAGCTGCACGAGTGTCTTTGATAGCTTGTCTTCATCTTCGTAGATAATCGGTTGAGCAATGCTCTTGCTCTGCCAGGTGTTGATGGACCATGGCTCAGGTATCGCCGTTGTTGGCTTCGATCGATCCATGTTGAATGCGATGTGTTCAACAAATGAGTTGTTGAAGAGGATCTCGAAACGAATGCTCAGATTGTCTATTGAAGCTATGTGTAAGATGTGAGGCTCAACCCAGCCATATAGTGTCCCTGACCAGCCTTGTCACAGATTACTCGACATACAATTGCACAGAACACAGCCGGCGTTCAAATCCCGCGCCTACGTGGCAAATGCCTCAGATGGCGATTGGTCGACTCAGAAATCACAGGAATCCTTCGATCGGAGATAGACATTCAGCTCCGGCACGCTGAATGTATCATCGGTCGTCCAAGTCCGGTCTTCGGCGGAAGACGGTATCGATCGACATCCGTCTTACACGAGCTAATGCGGCGTCCATTCCTGCCGAAGGCTAGATGGTAGATCTCCGTTGATATGAATCTCCAGGATTGACTCTAATGCAATGTTGAATCCCTCCGAACTCTCGGTAGCGACGATGATATCATACGAAGTGGAACAGAGGTCGGATGTGAGATATGCGATGTTTGTTTCCACATCACGAACGGTGAACGCTCTCCTTCTCAAAACTTATCGTTCCTGACGAACGCCTCCGCGTCATAACGTCCTCGGCGCACTCACCCAATGTAACCTTGCATCCGACCTCGTCGACGCTGCCGCCACTGATGAAAGTGGCGTTTAAACTTTCAGCAGTATCATTTGTGCCTCTGTTGCTGATTGAACTTCCCCACTCTGCATACAGTCACAAACTTGCAAGCCTGCTGAGTAAACTTTAGATTGTTTGCTATTGCCTTGTCATTCGTTTCATTATACGCATATTGTAAATATTCAATCGGTAGCAGTGTGCTCCACCACAACTTCATTCGCCATCCATTTCTCCATCAGACTGCCACAACTTTACATAATATGAATTGCAACTTCCTTGACAAGATTCGTAGAATCCAATGGCTTGCTCAACTTGAGGTCAGCGTTTAACTCTGGTCGCTGGGAGATCGCCAGAGCCTTTAACGCACGTCGATCAATCTTGAATCCAATGTGAGGGAACTGAGTGATGAAGATGAATCCGCCCGTAAGACTTTGCAGGCCGACAAACTTCTCAGCGGCCAATTTCTGAAGACTTGACAGAGCTTCTGCTGGTTTGCCTTTCCATTCTGTAGCAAGAACCACAAATGCAGTCGGTTGTTCTGTGTGTGTTGTAGGGCTGAGAACTCCAGTGACGATGACCTCAGCCACTGCAGGATGCTCGAAAAGCTTCGACTCCAGTTCGGTAGCCGAAATGTGCACACCATACCCACTGCCGACGCGGATGAGCTCCTTGATCCTGTCACGTATGAAGACGTTATTGTTCTCATCGATCATGCCGTAATCACCAGAGTGGAACCAGCCAGCCTCATCGAATGTGCTCTGGTTCGCGGCTTGGTTGGCTTTGTATCCGGCAAACTTTGCTGCACTATTTCGCACAAGAAGCTCTCCTTCGATTCCTGGACCGACCGGGCTTCCAGTGTTGATATCGATCACCATAGCTTCGATTCCGTTCACAAGCTTACCACACGAGCCTGGCGGCGATGAGGCTCCATCGAGTTGGAGTGCGATAAGTAAAGTCTCAGCAGTACCCCATTCCATGGCCAGATGTGCATTCAGGCGCTCAGATACTGCTCTCTGCACACCCTCATTCATGGTTGCTCCAGCCGAGAGTAGCCATTTCACACTGCTCACATCTGTCTTTGGCAGACTTGCTGCGGCAATGGCAATTGCAACTGGTGGCGGGAGAAACAAAAATGTAATGCGGTACTTCTCGATCAGCTGAAAGCTGTCGGGCCCAAATGCAGTGTTGAGGAGCACGACCGGGATGCCCAGAAGAATATTGAGTCCCATGTTCAATTTGGCGTTGATGAAAAATCCTAGGGAGAGAGTTGAGAGCCAGACATCGGCGTCGGGATCTGTATTCTGTGGCACAGTATGCAATGTGGCTTCCATGGCAGCCTGATTGGTTTTCTGAATCAGCATCGTGGCCTCAGAAACAAAGATGACTACATCTGACTCACAATGAAATGGGCATGCGTCGTAATGACAGTCTTCATTTTGCCGCCCGTGCTGCCAGATGTTCGGTTGAGGAATCCATCAGTGCTCTCGGACTCAGGTCCGCCGTTGATCTGAAAGCCTTTGTACTCCGCACCCTCGAAAATGTCTGGCTTCTCGGCAATGTCGAGGAGCGGAATATTGCCGACCGAAGATACAGCTTCGGCGGCCATTGAAAGCATTGCTGCATTGGTGATAAGCAGTTTTGTCCCAGCAGCCTCAAGTCTTGCCACGACATCCTGTGCTGCGAGCTCTTTCTGCACGGGGATGAGCTGCACAGTAGCTCCGGCAGCGAGAATGCCGAGGTATGCAATTGGAAAATATATCTGGTCGAAGTATTAGCTATGAAACTTATAGTCAAGGGTCTCCTGGTATGGCATAGGGTGCACCCACAGAATCAGATGCTAGGATGGCGATAACATCGCCAGGTGCCACTCCGTAGGTGTCGATGAGAGCAGTGGCCAACTGACGCGACTTACGCTCCAATTGACCTAATGTGAGAGTCGCACCAGTCTCGTGTTCAGTATACAGGATTCGGTCGCTAGGATAAGGACGCCTAGCTTCGAAGATGTAGTTGAAAACATCACGTCGAGGACGAGCCACGCCCGCAAACTTAGAGACAAACTTCATTCTGAGAATACTAGATGATGAGTTGCTGTTGAGAGCCTGTGTATGGGTTGAATCGAGCAAGTTTCAATCAGGGAGCAATGATAGAAGTATGAGTCAGGGAGAAATGATGAAAGCCTTTCTCCTCCAAGGACGGATGCCCGAGCTGAACAATTTGCCGCATCTCGTCCTTATGTCTATATCGTGAAGATCAAGATTAGCATCTTGGGTAGCATCACACTCCTTTGTCGAAGGTATGGAGTTGCCATGCACGTATGCAGTACATCGCATCTGACATCGAGCCATCGTGGTGACAGCAGCACGCCCATCAACTCCGGCTATCTGCAAGATGTAATGCAAAGGCGAAGATCGAGATAAGCTTGTTCAGCAACTCCGTTCGAGAGAAATACGTGTATCGCGCTTAAGATCCTTTTACGGAGTCGGCCGATGATAATGACATTCACGATCACGCCCATGAGTGATGCACAGAAATGGGGTACCCTGCTTGGCAGTCAGCGCGAGGCTCACGGGTTGCCGGTCGACATTGCCGTTAGCGTCGATCCTTCAAACCACCAAACTCCGAATCGACCTCGCTCCCCACGTTGTGATCGGGGCTGAAAGCTTGGCTTCGGAAACTCGAAATGCATGGATCATTACATCTCACGAATGCGAAGATAATGTACAAGCAAGCGGAGTCCGAAGTCTAATCACGCAAGTGATTAGAACGTTCGTCGATGTCACTGTGGCTGAATCCACGATAAGGCATGCAAGTAACTCGGCTCCGAGGCAATGATTATCGCGCCAGAGGGTGAGCAGTCCGCTGAGGAACCCATAGACTCTGGCCAGACTCGGCTCGAATAGCTATTATAGCAAGGGCTACGCCATGCATGGCTGACTGCATGCGCATTGCGTCGCGTTGGTGAGGGTTCGCCTGCGCGGACGTCAATGGAGCACAATTGTACATTGGACGGAGGTAAAACCAACACGAGCATGTTGGCCTGAAGGAAAATCAAATGCATCAGCACTAGCAAAGTCAAGCAGCGACGCTAGAGGAGTGCCAGATATTAACGTTCTGGGTAAGGTTAGGCTTGATTGCGTCGTTTGAGCGCATCGGAGTTCACTGGCGATTCGCCCCCCCCCCCCCCCCCCCCCCCACCTTGGCCCGCTGCTGGGCTTGTCTCCGAGCCAGCACGTTAGCGATTCAGTTATGATGCGCCATTGTGATGATCTATCGGGCCTATGTGGAATGAGACCGACAACACCTTGGCAGGCAAGGAATTCTGTGTTGGACTGCTCATGTGCAACGCGCGCCGACAATGGAGGTGCCCCTTGGTCCGAGTTGTTGCGGATGAGAATGTGCATCATCAAGTCCAAGTGTTTGGTGTTGCTTTTGGGCAAATGAATACTCGCGAAGATTTGAATGGCGTATATTAGACGAAATACATCCAAAGTTGGATGTGATCAGGCACGACACATACATTTCTATTCGGAACCCTATCAATCACACTCTGTCTCACTCTAGTCACTACGAGTCAGCACGTCTATTCTGTACGCTGACCCAACCATTTATTCGGTAACGCAACAGTGGCAGCACAATGGCCTCCCTCGTGCTTCCCGTGATTGATTACCCGACATTGCATGCTCGCAAGAGCGACGGAACGCGGACCGCAGAATCTCTGCAGGAGCGCCGCGAGCTGTGGGCGGCATTGTCCGGGTCCGGGTTTGCATATCTGCGCAGCCCAGGCGTCAGCCAAGAGACTGTTGAAGCCCTATTTGAGAATTCCAAGAAGTTCTTCTCCAAAAGCTTCGAAGAAAAGCTTAAGATCAAGGGTCAGCTCGACAAGGGTCGTGGCCCATCGCAAGGGTATTCCAACCCAGCTAAGCTTGCGGTGAACCCCAAGACTTCTGATCTCAAGGAGTTTTTCGGCATGTACCGTGACGATGACACGGAGAGCCCAAACCAATGGCTGCCGGATGCTGACTCGCAGAAGATGCGCGCTGATCTGGTGGTCTTCTTCGAATCCTGTCACAGCGTGATATTGGAATTGCTTTCGGCATTGACCGAGGAAGTGGGCCTCCCCGCCGACACCTTGCATCCGTACGTTTCGGAAAAGAACCATTTCATCGCGAACCTGAAATATCCTGAGGCGCAGAAGAATGACTTCGAGAACCGCGTGAGAGCCGCTGCACACACGGACTACGGCTGTTTGACGCTGCTGTTCAATGATGCAGGCGAAGGACTGCAGGTCAAGCGGCTAAACCATGATTGGGAATATGTCAAGCGGAAGGATGGCTGTGCAATCCTTAATGGTGAGTTTGTGCTAATTCCTGTTTTCCTTCGATGATCACGCTGCTGACCCAACGCTCTGTATCCTCACAGTGGGAGACTTGACATCGCGTTTCTTCAATGGCCTGCTTCCTTCTACAGTCCATCGCGTCATCGAGCCTCCGTCTCTTGCACAGGGACTGGAAAGCTCGGTCGGAGACCGATACTCGATTCCTTTCTTTGGGCATTACAACCTGACCACGATGGTTAAGCCGCTCCCATCCCTTGTGACAGCCGACCGACCAGCGCAATTCGAGCCGGTAGAAGCAGGCGAGCATGTCAAAGCTCGAGTCCGACAAGTGAGTACATCTCTTGGACTGGACGGGTCGAAATCTTGCTGACTCTCTTGAAAGTTGCATCTGGCGGGCCACAGTCTGAAGGAGAATGAAGGGGAGTCATTGAAACCAGCCAATGCGGCAGTCGCAGCCAGCGCTTGATATGCAGGACATGAGCGAAGTGGATTATGATCAGCTTCAAGTACATGGCACTTAGCGTTGAAATAAAAACATTCTTATGATCCATTTGCATATCGTAACGAGCTTCGTCAGTATCAAACTAACGTGTTGTAGATCTTGGCTAAGCCTCTGTAAAGACGAGCCATGACCGCTTCAGGTGGTCCCTGCCCCCTCCGTGGCCGCTGCTTGTATGTCGCCACGGACCTGTAAACAGGCAGCGAACAGGACAAGAGCACGAAATTGTTCCGAGTCTCCAAAACCCGCCTTGTCGCTCAGCGCATCTAGTATTGAATCTTCATCTTCATCGGTGCCATCAATCTGCTGTGACCGCTGATGATTCCCCTGTTGAACGAACGCCACGGCTCCGGCCAGCGTCAACTCTGGAGCTATCTGTAGAGAATCCAGCTCTTTCTGAACCTGCTGAGCCTGCATTGCAACACGCCACTCGTTTTCATTCGGTGCAGACCAAGCCGCCTCACTGCAGGGAAGCGGAAGATCTAAGACTATGTCATCACAGAGAGACTCGTAATATGGTAGCTGCTTGCCTGTTGCAAGGTCAAGGTAGCTATACCAGTTAACCATGTTCAGCATGAATAGTGTTCGTCGCGCAGTTTCGGTTATTCTCCATCGATGCCAGGCGCCCTTGATCGCCAGATCGGGTGTGCTCGATACATCGTCAAAGGCGGTGAAGTTAGGATTTCGCAACTCCGGATATGATTTGGCGTAGATCTGTGCCATCTATGTCTCCGCTCATTGTCAGTATGCAATTCAATGATAATGGTGAGCAATCACTAATTAGTAAGCTTCTCGGCTTGGATCATGGCCTAATGCTGGTCTTCAGATGTCCCGCTACGCTGGTTGACTTACCTTGAGGATAAATGGGAATCGTAGACCGAGCACTCGCGGACGAAGCTTCCAGTCCTCTCGATCTTCGCCTGCAGTATCCCGCAGCTCAAGCAGCTCGTAGAGAGCCATCGCATGTAGTGCATCCCATTGCTGCATACATCTGTAATCCGGCTATCGCGAGGTTAGAAGACGCTTCCACATCGACACATATTGTATACCTACATATTGCTTGATCAGTCGTTGCCGCTCACCGTCCATGGCGCGTTTCATGAACCGTGAGCTTTCCTTGTGCAGAAGTCCTCCGCCACAAGATATTGCCATCGTGGTCAGAGGTAGTAGCGTGATGTCCGGATTGTCGTAGCCGTACAATGATGCATGTAGGAGTGGAGTGTGAAAGCCATCCTCGAGTAGTAGAGAAGGATATTCATAAAGTGTCGTCAGTATTGCATGGGCATCACTCGCCGTGCGAGATAACGAAGCTGCAAATTGTGGTCTGACGAGATGATTCAGTGCCGCGAATGACGTTCGCGATATTGACCGATTGTGAGACGAAGCGGTGCTTGATTCACCCGTAGAGGATCTGCGAATGGATTTCGGAGCAGCAGATGGGGCCTTGTAGGAACTCGGTAAGCCTGCAGGGTCGTCGAGTAGCATCGGCTCATGGCCTGATTCAGAGATCATGCTGGTGAAGTCCATTTCGTCTAGACTCGGAAGCCCAGACGGCGATTTTGAGATTGCGGGAAGACCACGCATGTCAGGGCCGGTGTAGGGCGCGGTGGAGGCATTGGACAATCGATGCGTGGACTGTTCTGATGCAGAGTATGTGGATCCAGCCGTTGGAATTTCAGAAGGCACGGCTTGACGTCCAGGAGCACCGTTGGTGGGACTCGTGAGGCCATACATATCGGCAGGCAAAGAGATATCTCCACTTGAGCTCAGGGTGAAACTGGAAACAAATTGCATATCATCCTGGGGGAGAAAATAGGATTCTCCGAGCGGCGAGGTCGATGCAGGAAAGTCGCCTGAGATGCCGACGCCCATCTTGAAGTTGCTGAGCGCCCATGACTCCATGTCTGCAGTCCAGGTTGGTAGGAGAAGCGGCTCGGACGGCTGTGGCGCAAGATTCTTCTCTGTCGCCTCGGGCATATCAGTCGGAGGTCGCCAGGTGCTGTCATCGACCGAATTTGACGCATAATGACAGCGGATACGTCGTTTCGTGCAACGCGCACAGGACGGCTGACTGTAGCAGCATTTCGTCTTCGCTTGGACGCATGCATCACACGCTTTGCGGCGCGCAAGCGGTCGTGCGGGACCCTGACATCTTCTCCGATGACGAGTGAGAAGATCACCTAGATGGCTTTCAGCGTGCGTCTCTCGACGAACAAGGCGGTCCGGCCACTTCACACGGGAGACTCACGGCGTTGATAAGACTTTGAGCAGGTGGGACAGATGAAGTTCTCGACGGCATCGCCAGCCTCGGAGGCAGCGCACGACACAGGATCAGGCATATTGGATGTTAAGCGAAGTAGGACATGAAACCGCCGCGGTCCAGACTTTGGCAACCACCGTCAAGGCCTCGGACTATATGGGCTGTGGAAAGCGCACGCGGTGATGTGCGCAGCGAGCGTGTCGACATGATCCTGCAGGGATAAGACGTCGCCAGCATTTTAATGTTACAGTAGTGCTGACTGTTGTCGCCCTCGAGTCTTGCATTAGCAGCTGTATAAGCTCGACCATCGTCAGCGCAATCAGTGGTTGAGATGCACGGTTTCGAAGCGAAGGAAGAGTAGTAGTGGTAGACTGTTTGCCGACGGTCTGACGAAGGAATGGATTCCCCTTAGTCTGTATCGAGCCAGTGCTTGTCGCATTGATGGTTATCGCTGACATCCGGGGCTTGAAACGTGGGTGGAGCGCGCGGATTGTTTCCGGAAATACGGAAGACTTTCCACAGTCTACGAGCGCCAAACAGCTCATCGGATGCTCGAATTCCCTGTGCTGATCGACATCACGATTCACCTCGAGTGTAAAGTTCCATGTTTTCACCATCACGCCAAGATCATGATGAGTCATGGTGAGTGAACACTATGTCGTTTTGTTGAAGAGCCGTCTTTCTTCGCAGAGCGATACCAGTGGAGCAGAGGGGCAATTCCTCGCGAGCCCATTCACACGGCGATTCTCGATGCGCACGTCTAAATCCTTGCGTAGATCGAAGCCCGAAGGAACGATCATCCCACGGGCTCTCTCTCTCTGCTAATGCATGTAAATACATGCATAATCCCGCCAGCTATCACATCCAGTATTTCGAAATGATGTGGTGGTCACGGGCGGGTGCCTTGAATATTACGCGAAAGACACAGACAGGGGTCGCCGCAAATGACGATTGTGTCCTTCCACCAGCTCCGAAGTACAGTGCGATGGTCTTCGGAATGGGAGGGGTTGCGCCACAAATTGACCCAGCCATGTATGCCGTGGGCTGTCGTGGCTGCCCAAGCTCTGCAGCGTTGCAGCTTCGGTACATGTGCATCATGTGCTGTGCTGTGCCCGCAAACGGTGGGTTTGAGGGAGTCTCCTACGGAGAAGCGAGCTGAGTGAATGTGTGAGTACTAAGATGATTAAATTGATCCTTCAATGATAATCCTACGCCTCGACGGGATCCTCGGACCAGGGTGAATGGCCTGTGCCAGCTAACCCAAGACGCGGTCGGCACAAGCCTGGAATCTCCAGCATGGCTTGCTCGCCGTGATGCCCGCCCGCCAGGCTGATGGTTCTCAAGGTCGGCTTGAGAAAGGACAGTCCACCAAACCTGACCAAGAGTGCTTTGACCCATTGTTCGGTACTTATTGGTAGTATCAAGCAAGTGAAGGCGAGGATTGTACGTGATGACGGCGACATGTATATGTGGCAGGCACAGGGCGGAAATGTGTAGGCGTGCAATTAAAAACACGTTCTCTCCATGTGCACCTCCTCCGTGGCGCTGTGACGGGCGCCACACGGAATTTCGCGGAGTGAATCCGGTTGCTCTTTCTGTGTTCTGCCAATTTGACGCACGTGTGGCGATCTCTGCGGCTGATCAATCGGTCGCAAGCGAATTACTAAGAACCTAGCAACAACGTTGGAATGTCACCGGGTGTGCGTTATTAGTCCGAGAGGTGTGTGAGAAGACAATCCAAAACAGCATACATATCAGGGCAGGCCTGGGTGCGGACAATCCTGCTCCTTTGGATGTAGGGCTTCACCACCTGCTGTTATTAAACACTAATGCCTCCAAAGTTGGGCTCCTATTGACTCCGTACTGGATTCGTTGGTCAATGTAATGTTAGCATCTGATCTTGGTAGCATATCGCGCACAAGCGTCGCTACCAGAGCATGTGATCGCTGGGCTGCAGCGCTCATGCAGACATGGGGCAAGACTGCTTAGCTCGGTGTTCATACAGGACAAGCCAGTCGGAGTTGGCGACATTGGTCCAACGATGCTGCAGCTGCTGGTCGAAGAGCTGTTGCAGCCGAGCTCGACTTCCGCCACAACATCATATGAGAAGTCCATTTGGGACTTGCTCTCGCTGAGGTGCACCTCGGATGAAAGTCATCACGGCCAAGTCGACCGCAAGCTCAAAAGTTTAAACCCCGAATCGCAGCAGGTATCGACTCGGGGACCTGCGCATCCTACCACGCGACGACATCCTCCTCAGCATGAACCCACGTCGACCGTCAGCAAGCCAGCTGGACCGCGATGGGAACCGCTTCAACTCGATGCGACAACTTCTGGCGACGAGGCTTGCAGCGACAATGCTCGACGGGTGCGGCGGCTGCCTTGCTTACACTTGCATTGACGGACGTGCTAAAAGCGCATTCCAATCCTTGTCCTGCGCTCGCGGAGCCCATGACGGCTAATCCGTTATCTCACTGCAACTTTCTAGCATTGCCAGTGGATCATTCCATCTACAGACGTCTATCAGGCCCTCACCCATTGACCAAGAAATGTCAATGCTCTAGGTGATTACGACACCTCGGGGAGCGAGCACGCCTGATGATCTCGATTGCTGCATCTAGTGTGCAACAAGGCTAAAGCGTTCATATTGCGCACATTGCGCTTTCATGCTCCCTTTCGTTAGGCGACTGTTCTCCACTTCACAGGTGAGTGGACCAAGTAAAACCCATATCGCGCTGCCAACGCCTGCAGTGGCAATGCTCAAAATATACATACGACATAGCTGCGCAATGTTCACTTCATCACCTAGCTCTTCGCGTAGCTACCACCACCTCTGCGTCTAGACGGCAAGCTCCCCGACGACACCTCATCTCGAAGACAGAGCAATGTCTTCGAGCGAGCGAACAGCGCAAGAGATCATTTTGCAGACACAGCTCAGCCCAAGCATAGACTTGTCGCCGCCAGGTGTACGGCGTTGAGGAGATGGGTGGAGTCGAAGGGGGAAATGTGACATGAGCCTGCCTCTCATACACTCGGGAGAGTCCACGTGGTAGACCCTCGAGCTGGTCACCGGCGCTTCGATAGCCGGCACCGAAGAGGGCCAGTATGGAAAAAGTCATGGGGCTGCTCCCGGCGTCTTGGCCAAGATAGTACTGTAGTTTACAAAGTGAAGATGTGCGGAAAGAACCTTGAACGCGACCGCCAAGTTTCAAATCGCGCGTTGGCTGATCATTGCGAAATCCGGAACATCATTCGCCTAACTACGTGGCCTACGTAATGACAGTGGAGACTTTGAGGTATCCCGTTGTGATAGGCATTGTAGATCACCATTTCGCTATCGTGATCGTCGCGGCTTTGGTGGAGCTTTCGAGCGAGCGATTGGTATCATTAAGACCCGGAAAATCATCGGCCGCAAGTGCGGGCTTTTCGTCATGCACCAGACATATTAGGTAATTCTGGATTTTATCTCATGGCGCGAGCCTCTCGGCACATGTCTTCCAGTGTGTCCCTCACAAGAATGCAGAAACAAGGTTCCAGGACCAGTACTTTGCCTGAGCGCATCGTATGACGTGGGAATGGTGATACAGAGGGCGGTGATCGTCCATGTTTATGTGAATGTCCTGTGATCTTGTTCACAACAGTTCTGGAGGGAGATCTGGGAATCTTGAAAAGTGCCCTCTCTAGGGTTTGGGTAAGGTTATTATGCGCCTCAGGCAACAGATCACGACGGCGAGTTTCTCGCGAACCGCGGCATCATGAAGCTGCGCGGCGAATCATCCCGATCATGTCTACTCACCATATCCAGAGTTGTGTTGCATTGAATCAGCATGGCTTCAAGCGCGGCATCGATGACATACCTGGACTACATGACTTTCCGGTACTACACACAGCAGGTTGAGCGGAACCCAGGAGCGGATGACAAGACATATGGGAGAATCATGAAAACCATCATGTCGCTCACCTTTGCAAAAGACCCGTATTTTTCGGCATATCAGTACGAACCACGCGGCAGAACGGACCACATAGTCGATACCGTCGTGCTGCAAATTAGCCAGCCGCCTGGAGGTGATCCGGCTCCCTACGACTACTGCTTGGTGGAGAGCCGCAATGCCAATGGCAACTGGGGCGAGACTCAGGCTCGCCTGAGCGAAACTTGCAGTCTCACAGATAATTCTTCAGGTCAAGTTTACGGAATCGTATAAATAGGTCTATATATGCAGATCTTTGCCGCCGACAAAGGTGCCCTGACACCGTGCAGTGCTCGCTTACACGTTGTCAATGATGCGGACGCCATTATCAAGAAGGTTGAAAATATGCAGCGTTGTCCGCCTCCTTTTGTCGAGCCAATTCCACCTCTGACAAACGCATGGTTTAAGAACATGAAATGGAACGAGGGAATTTCATTGAAGAAGGACACAACGGACTAATAATCACAAAAGGAGAGGGTTCCAATACTGCTGAACAGTGGGCTCATCAAAATTCGCAAGGTGTAGAGGAAGCCGCGCGGACGACGATCGAACCAGATTCCTTTCTCAAAGGGCCATTCCAGATCCCGAGAATGGCGTTCAGTCCCATAGTTCAACCATGTTGATTTTCCGATAGCCAGCAGACAGCTAAGTCTGGCAGGTTGAAATAACCTCAAGGTTGTATAGCCTAAGATTGTATCCCGAATCTCGACAGGCAGCATCTGCAGCGGCATATACAGCGACGCCCTCGCCGAACGGGTTGCCTAGACGATACATCTCAAAGCGAGATCCAATGGAGGCTTGGCCTCGATACCGCTTTCGAATCGCGATACCGAGGCAGTATATTCTAGAGCACCCGAGTAGCTGAGATGGCAGAGCGCGACATGACTAACGGAGAGGGTCATGTCAAGTCGATGTGATCGACCCTTGCTGGCCGTCGTCGTAGACAGATCTGTTGCCGCATCGCTAGACAAAGTTGCGAAGCGTGCTTGAACCATCGATGCACCGCTAGACATATCTGGACAGCACAACCCAAGCCTCCCCCACACGCACAATGTCGGAATTTAATGGCCCTTCCATCAATGTTCATGGAAGTCGCGAGACAGGTCGAGTATGAATGCACATGATCGCTTATTGATTCACAGGGTTGGTCGCCATGATGGAATTGGCGAAGGACATCGGCCAGCGGGTGGACCCGAAGCCCCATGTGCTTCGTCCATCACGCATCCACAGAGTAGCAGACGTGAGCTAAGTATTTTGGAGTCGACCCCACGAAAGGTTGAAGTTGTCTGCCTGGATGCGTACGATGACCCCCAAGCAGCACTCGGAATATTGCAGGTTTCCCTTAATTGTTGCGTTGAACGAGGATAGTGAAGATTGGCCATCACGATTCCTCAGCGCACGCATCGATCCCTCGAGTTGCAACGATTGCTCGACGCCAGAATTGACTCCACTGAGCGAATCGTTGATTTGCGCAGAATAAATCCACGATCTCAGGCTACTGTCGACGAATCCTTTCTCAGAGGTGGTGAGTTGGGTGACATGTTGGGCGATGCAGCATGCCTTGAAGGTGCGGCGGTTGCGGCCGAACTTGCACGCACGCATCACGCTTTGTCAAGCCCGCACAACACGGCACTTCCGTGAGTTTCGTTACATCGTACATTGCACTAAACGCATCACGACAGCATATCCTGGGAGATTTCTCAAGATTCTCCTAACATGGAAAGCCTTGCAGATCAAAACCACAATATCGCGCTCGAAACGCGCATGGCATGGCAAAAACTTGCTCAACTTACGGATCACAACAGCAAAAATCGAGCAGGATTCGTGGAGCTCCTTGCAGCGACCGTCCATACCAGAGGCATTTCATCAATTCGGGATCATGCGGAGTCTCAGACATCATTCACACTGTCTCATGCGAGTCTCGTCGTCGTATTTATTCTACCAATCAAGCGGGAGTACATAATCCTCCCAGTGCTCCTCGGTGTCAGCTTCCTTCCACTTCTCCATTCCGCCTTTGATGCCGTCGCTGTCAACTTCCCACATGCCTTCCTCCACCATCTCAGTCCAAAGCCAAAGCACATTCTTGAGCTGCACGTTATGATTCCTGATGAACACATTATGTCCCAGCTGGAATAAATCGGTGCTGCATGGCGTTCTACCTGGATTTTCACCTTCGTCCTGCCGATGCTCGCCCATCAACTCGCCATTACTTTTCCGCGCCCAGCCATTCTCCCCGATAGTGAATGGGAGCAGCAACATGCAACCATCTTCCCACGGGTGCCATTCATAGGGCTTGGTTTCCGTCAAGAAGAGACCAGCCGGGCAATTTGAGACCGGGAAGAATTCGCTCTCACGAAAGGGTTCAATCGTCCACGTTTCGCCCCATGGAGTCTGCTGTGTCACGATGCGCTAGCTCTGATGATTGAAATAGCAGGATCGGTCGGAGCATGTCATCCTCAATGGTTACTGAAGCAAGAGGCTGAGACCAAGCAAGCTGCAGTCCAGGGGCGAGATAGCGGAACCGTGGTCTTCGAGCACGCTCAAGGAAGCGACGAGCAAAGCTTCTAGGAGGGAAAGTTCCAAATGTAGCTTTATCGGCCGGATCGAGGAGGCCGACTTCGTAATCGGATTCTCTCGGCGGCGACGGCATCCTCACCTCGATCGCCGTAATCAATGCACTGAAAGCCGCGAGTGAGTCTTTCAGGTCATCTTCTGTGTAGGATGGCATGATCCATGGGTCTTGTCTCTCCTGTTGGCTGCGATAGGAATCGCTTACCGCGACAATTTTCCCACAATCCATCATCTCTAGAAAGGTCTCGAGCACGGTCTCAAATTTTACCCGGGGTTGGCGTCCATTCATAGTGACATCAGCATCCCAGATACTCAAGTGCTGGCGGGCCACCAACGCAGGACGAGTCCAAGAGGATGACTTATGCACGTATCTCCCATGGCATGGTGGAGCGCGATGTAGCGATGTTCATCGTAAAATTCTTAGTCGCCATCGTATAGAGCGTCGTCCCAGAGCCTTTCGGGAGCGGAAAGTGCAGAATATTACCGATGGAACGCGTGTCATGGAGTCGCTGTATCTCTGGAGTAACCATCCCATGCAAGCTTCAAGAATGCGATGACCGTTGGCTCTAGACGCTCGACATGCTTAGTAAACGCGTTGTCGCCTTTATGGAAATCCCACCACGTCGTCCGATCAAGATCGGCGAGGTTCAGTCCGCGCTCAGTCCACCCGCGCTCTACAATATGGTTGTGAAGCGCCGCACAGCGCTCATAATCGAGTCCTTCCACATCCTCTCGGATTGGATTCTCTTCAGTGATGCGCCGTTCTGCCATGCCTTCGATGAGCTCTGAAACTCATTCACGTGCAAACAAAATCTGTGCCGGCGCGGCAATGTCGACTGTCTGGTTGTGAATTCGGATTTCTAAGAATGCACACGGTCCACCACTGCGCCGCAGATGTGGGATGCAGCGCATCAATTCCGCTGTCAATTCCGCAATACCAACAGGATTGAAACCTCAGCAAACTTTGTCGCTGTCGTGATGGTGACATGTGCTTGTCCAAAATAGGCCGGTAAATGTGTTGCGAAACACCGTACCTGCCGAGTGTCGACGGGCTTTGTCGCTTCGCTTTGAAATCAACAATTTCTATTACAAATCAACTATTTTGAGCCCAGTCCCGGTAACGTATAAAGGTATTGAACGTCACTATGAAATATCCGAGTCGATCCCCAGTTTCATGATCGTAATGACATAAACTTCTCGTCTTCGTCATGTCCGAGACCGTTGTTTTGATCACTGGTGCCGGGAAAGGTAGCAACATTCCGACGAGTATCATGAATTTCCCATGGTTGACTCTATCTGTTCACAGGAATTGGTAAGGGGCTCGTCGAGCGTTATCTGCTTTTCCCGAATCATACTGTGATCGGAACGGTGCGCGGTGCCGGAAAGCCCCAGTACCAAACACTGAAAGACTCCCCGACCGGTCCAGGTAGTCGCCTGATCCTCGTGAGCCTGGATGGAAACACTCTCGAAGATCCAGCACGTGCTGTCGAGCAAGCGAAAGATGCCTCCGGCATCACCAAGATCGACATCGTAATCGCGAATGCCGGGATGTCGCCACCAGTCGGTCCTTTGGAGGATGCTACCGTCTCGGACATTTCGGAGGCACTCACGGTCAACACACTCTCTCCGATTGCTCTTTATAAGGCAACATTTCCACTGTTGAAGGCCTCTCAGCGACCGCGATGGCTTTCAGTGAGCAGTGCAGCTGGGTCGGTCGGCAATGTCGTGCCCTTCTCCGCTCACTACCTCCTCGCATATGGAATGTCCAAAGCTGCACTCAACTTTTTCACTTTGACCATTCATTCCTCGCAGCCTAGCTTCATTGCCTATGCCATCCATCCAGGGTTTGTAGTGCCGCAGAGGACGCAACTGTTATCGGCAAGCACTGACGGTGAATAGTCTTGTGCAGACGGACTTGGGCAATCGTGGCGCCGAGATGCAAGGTGGGTTTTGAATTTAGCTCGCGTTTTACCGAATGCAAGCGAGTTGACTCTATCCAAGGAATGGAGAAGGCTCCTACCACGGTTGAGGAGAGCTGCAGCAAGATCATATCGTCGGTAGGTCTTGACCATCTCTGTGATGGGTGAAAGATGCTAACGATCTACGCAAGCTCGAGAGTGCAAGCCGCGAGAAGACATCGGGTAGATTCATCAGCATCATCGAGGACGAGGACATCGCTTGGTGATGCAAATTAATGCACGCGCATTCTTCTGGAGGTAGATTTGCATCATGCGCAACGAATGTCAGAATTCGGAGATACAGCACACCGCACCACGTGTCATCCTCTTCTGAGGGGTCGCCTGACTTCGAACATTGAGAGGACACAGATATCTTTATACATCTGAATATCACAGTAAACATGTCTGATTCGTTGGACACAAAGGTGCACGGGCGTCGAGATTCAGGGCGCCGAGGCGTTGGGATTGTTGGATGCGGCTGGCGGCCCGTCCCTTCGATTCTCATTTCACCGTTCGCGCCAATGCGAGCTTGTGCTGTAGACACCTCAATGCGCACGATGACCACTTGGACGACTGTATTTCGCATCGTCGCGCTCGGCAATCCTCACTCGTCGTCGTGAATAGCATATGTCGAAGTCGAAGGGTGCTGCAGCCTTATAAGCGCCTTGTAGGTTGAAGTCAGAACATGTGGGCCGACCAAATCGCACCGGGGTGGTTCATCACGTTGTAGTCAAATAAGGTTCGTAACGGGCGAGGGCCAAGATAGACTCACCTCGGAGTGAGTCCGTGAGCTGGTCAGGGAAAATACAGTGCGCGAGGATCCGCTACCGCACGAATTACAGTACATATCCAACTGAAACTCGAACCTCTTCTGCCCTCCGTCGCGACCTACGCGCATGCAACACGGTCATAATTAATCCATCCTCGACTCTGGAAATGCTCTTCAAGACACTTGCACTCGCTGCTCTGTTGCAGGGCATCGCTGCGCAAATTGGCGTCGGCGTCCCTGGGAGCTCAAATTCCCTATACGGAGGGTCGCGCTTGTGCAACCACTCTTTTGCAGACGCCAACACGGTGCGCGATTGAGCCCTCTCTTGATCCCAGTCACTTGTTCTTCACTGACCGTCTTGCCCACCTACAGACCGGAATCGTCACGTTTAACCCGGCTATAGCGCAGGGTCAACAAACCTCCGGCAGCTTTTCAAGTCCAGTGTCATGGGCGGCGACAAATTTCCAGCCATTTAATGCCGTCGAGAACTCATCCCACTCGGAGTTCTCACTCTGGATCTCTACCAATGGGGTCAACTACACCGACAATTTCGGATTGGGCTTCGATGCCTGTTATTTTCGGCTATCGAATCTTCTGGTCAACACGGTATTGCGGGGACAAGACGATGATGGGACCTGCTCCTCCACCCTCAACAAAGCATGTATCAATGACCTGCAAAACGCCGCTAGCACTTATGCTATACAGCTGGTCGGCGCCGGCTCTGCTAGCAACCTTACTGCCAACTCGCTGCCCGGTGTCTGCTCCAGTATCGCGGAAAAGACGACTAGAAATTTTCCTAGCTCGTGCGCCGTCTTCTTCGATGGACCCGGGAGACTAAGTGGCGGTCTACCAGACTATGGCGGACGTATGTTCTGAGAATCACCGTATATGAAATGATCTCCGATGTTGACTTATCCATACTCTAGCACTCACCGGGCCTCATTCTCTCATTAAAACCAGCCAATGTACCTCAAACAGTAGCTTCCGTCTTCTGTGGTCGCAGTTCGAAGCAGCAAATCCTGGAACCTACGCTATTGGCAACTGGGTGATTGATCCACTTCTGACAACTTTTATGCCTATCGCGGATTCCACACGCCCTGTGACACTCTCCCTTGCGAAGTCCATTATGTCTTGTGTCCGTGCGAAGAACGTGAACTCTGGGAGCGTGATACCACCGGTAGCCCCAACAGCGACACCCATCGGCACGGCAGGTAATGACACCACCGCAGCACCGAATCCGGCCTCAGCGACGGCGCAAACCGGAATGCTATCTGGGGGTGCCATTGCCGGTGTAGTCATCGGTGCGGCTGCTGGAGTAGCCCTCTTGCTCGGGCTGTTCTTCCTGGTCCGGAGATCCAGAGTCGCCGAAAAAGATCGTGTCGGTCAGCATAGTTCCACTTCAGAGAACGAGAACTCCAGCCTTGTGGATGGCGGTCGTCACGGTCATGCGGCAGAGGTCGATGGGCATGGTCCGATGGTGGAAGCGCCGCATACGAATGGGTACTACGAAATGCAGGTGCCGCTAACCGAGCTTCAAGAGAAGAACTTTGAACCGAAAGAGCTACCCGCATAGTGAACTCTTCACAAGACTCTTACTCATCACACGTGGTCACATGGTCGTGATTAGAGAATCGAAGTTCCTACGTAGCTCCCCTTCGCTCGGGACAGAATCTCGCCGATCAACACGTCGTTGTCAGAGATGATTTTGACTACAGCGAAGCATGTTGGTACGCTGCTTGAAGCTTTCGATCTATGGCAACCTAGATCAACGCCGTTCATGACGACAAACGCACATTGCAAATCTTGTAGAGTTACATGGCCAGCGTCTCAGTATTCGCATCGAAAGCAAGGAAGAGGGCCATGATCTGCCAAGAAAGAAAGAAATGTCAGGGGCCAGCAGTGATCGAGTCTTTTGAAGTTTCTTCATGATATGGCATCTCGCAAAATGTGTTTTGCGACCTTCACCTTTGTGCTCATGTGGAGCTCGAGCTGCTCACCTTGACATCTTTCGGAGCAAATGTTCGTCACGGATGATCGACCACATCATCACTCGCGCCAGAGTTCGCATTCCATCGCCCGAAGCTGATCCCAAACGAGAATATTGTTCTCACAATAGCAAATAGCCCATCTCAGAGGTGACGCGAAACACAATAACGTTCATCTGACGACATCCGCGCTCAAAATCGACCCATAATTGATGCGTGCAACCAACAAATTGTCCTTGACAATGACATCCTTCAGCTGTTCGACATGCTCCATATTCCAGTTCGAATACACAAATCTTCCGTCGAGATACCCCGCCTCGGGCGTCGAGAGATACAGAGCCGTACTCGCCGCAAGATCAACCGTGTCAAAGAGATTTGCACGATATTGCTCAGGCGCCGCTTGTCCCATCCCTGTGGAAGCAATACCGCCAGGGTGGAATGCCAGGGCTCGGACTCCTTGCTTGCCATATTCCATCTGAATCATCTCCGTCAGACGATTGACGGCGTGCTTGGACGTGCCATAGGAACTCATGTTAGGATCGACCCGGTCGCTGACCGATGATGAGGTGCTGATGACGGTTCCGGCTCTACCCGTGAGTGCTTTGAGCCATTGCCGTGTCACGAGATAGAGGCCGTGGATGTTGACTTCCCAATCGGCCCACCATTGCACTGGGTCGCTGTCGATTAGGTGAACTTGTGACAGCGATACTCCGGCATTGTTGAGCAGAACTTCCGGTACCTCGCCGTCCAGGCTGTCGAAGAGCTTCGTGACGTCTGAGGGAGAAGTGAGGTCCGCTGTGAGTGGCGTAACCTTGCAATCTGAAGCGGCAGCTTGTACTTCAATTTGAGTTTCATACAACGCTTCCAGATCGCGACCGACGATCCAAATCCGGTGCGCACCAGCAAGCGCAAATTGCTTGGTCATCGCCTGTCAATTAGACAGGTCAATCAGGTTATGGTCGAAGTGGATCGATGCCATCAAACGCATACTCTACCAATGCCCTTGCCACCACCTGTGATCAAGACTGATTTGCCTTTGGCTGCATTCGCCAGGCGCCCAGTGGCGGAGATGTATGGATAGATGTCATGCTCGGTGCGCTTGATGGTTTGCATAATTCCGTTCCGAAGATTAGTTGTGGCACGGAATATGAACAGAGTTCCTCAAGATCTTGTCGAGGAGAGCAACGCGACGACGATATTTCAAGAGCCAGGAGCACTGCACGAGAGGAGTTCTACTTAAGTGCACAATCTTTTTTCAAGGCTAAACTCCGCCTGCTGCTGTGCGGAGATAAGGACAGGACTGTATCGCCGTTGAGCGTCAGCACTAAGGCTTCGAAGTTGATGCAGAACCGTACGTCACCCTGCCGGCCCTTCGCGGACCAAGCGGCTTTGCATCTGCTTGGGAAACTTTGCCTCGGACAGTGCCTACCTATGCGAAAGTTGAGATACCATGTCTCGGAAACTATCAATGCATGCAGGTGCTGCCAGCTATTGTAGTTTGAAATGGCGTCGGAGATGAACTTCGGGAGATGTCAGGTGAAGTTGAAGGACTTTCACGCCGCGCTTTGAGACGTTCATCATTTGGTACTTCTCGACAAGGATACAACGCACTCTGAGCAATTCCCACCTCACAATGACTTACTGCGGCCACGGTATCAAAACATGCCTGCGCTCCCATGATATCCCATTGAAACGAAGGACAGATGCATGGCAGCTCTCGGTCTCCACTGTCCATCTTTTCATCATCAGGGTCTCGATGAGGCGGGGCACTTTGAGCGCGGTCAGCATGACCCAACACCTGGCAGCAAGGCTCGATCACTTGGCGAATCGAGCCATCAATCGAAGAGCCCATCAACTAAGGAACAACGAAATAAATAACAACCTTGGAAACGTCCAAAACTCAGATTCGCTGATCCCACGACCCGCAATATCCACAGCAATATCCACAGCCCCGATCCATGTTCAGATGGAGATGCTTGATGACATCATCCTGTAAGCCTTCGGAGGCTATGCTCCTTGTGGCGTTGCCGATCATTCCGTCCTTCACCAAAATGACCAAATGACTGACCGTCCCTGTCCACATCATCGTCCTGACGGTGTGAGGCTGTGGTCCTCCCTGGACAAGTAGAAAGCTACGTCTATGTCATGTAACTTGATTGGGGTCATTTTGATTTCATGTGCGGCAGTCCACCATGATACAAATTAAGAGATGCCCGCCATGGAAGGCAATCAACACCTCCACCTAGCACTCAACCAAACTTGACGACAGAACCTCTACCAGATCCACCATGGCCCTCTCAGATACCGCCTCAGAATCATCCTGGCAGCCCGCAAAGGACACCCACATCAGTCTCCCTCTCCCTCTAGCCTTCAAGATCTACTGCAGCAAATCCCGCCTCACCCATTCCGAATTTTATATTGGCCACGAGAAGGGCCAGAAACTGCACGCTATTTCCGGCGGATACAAAGGCTGGTTCAAAGCCACCATCGGCCTTCACGAGGGATCCACAGTCAATACTCCAATCCTCGGCGGCGCCGTCATCGACAGCAAAAAGACAATCGAAATCACCCTCCCCTCATCCGGCAAACACACTCTCCAAGCGGATTCAACTCTCTCCTCCGACTTCGCCTTCGATTTCGCAATCCCGGGTAGTTCCACGCCCGAACATTTCGAGTGGCGCCGTTCCAAAGGTCCTGAGGTAGCGAGTCTCGAGGGTCGAGGGAAAGGTGGATGGGTTCTCCTCCGGGTCGGCCATGGGTTAGATGCCTCCGCGGGGGAGCCGGTCGCCGCGTATTCGGTAGATTTGACCTCGTTGAAGCTTTCAGGGCATTTTGCGTTCTTCGGTAGCGGTCGGACAGGAGAATTGGGGGCGGATTTTGCGGTTTTGGCGGTGGTGTCGGCGCTGAGTTTGGGGCAGAAGAAGAGGGACAGTATGTATAGTCTTGTCGCGGTTACGTCTGCGGTCGCCGCTGCTTGAGGAGAGGTTTGAGGTGTCCATTAAAAGCTGTGCTCATTACTGGCAATTATATTGAATAATCGCTTTGTTGGTTTTGTTTGTTGGTACTACATATATATTATACAATACAGATATCCTACAATCGACCACAGATCACATTAATCATGATTCCCCTGCCATCCATCTCTTATGGCGAAAGCACGTCAAGATGCTCTCCACCATCCCTCACGACAAGCTTGGCCACATCGCCACTCTTGATTGCACCTCGAATAATCTTATCAGCAAGTCCATTGCCCACCTCCTTTGCGATCAACCGATTCAAAGGTCTCGCTCCATATCTCGGATCATAACCTTTGTCGCATAACCAGGTCTTCACATCGTCTCCCACATCGAGGGAGATTCTTCGCTCGTCTAGCCTGGTCTGCAGCTCTCGGAGACGAATGTCGACAATATCCCGCAGTGCATTCTTGGAAAGACGTTTGAAAAGGATGAATTCATCCAGCCGGTTGAGGAATTCGGGAGGGTATGACATCTGCACGACGTCCATAACTTCCTTCTTCACCTCAGGTGAGATTTCGCCACCGGCGTTGTTGGTGACGGAACCGTCCGCGGCGTTGTCGGCGACCAGAACTTCAGCACCAAGATTCGATGTCAACACGATGATGGTATTGCGAAAATCGACTTTGTGACCCTGTGCGTCGGTGAGGAATCCTTCATCTAGAACTTGGAGGAGAAGTGTGCTGATATCACGATGAGCCTTCTCAAACTCATCAAACAGTAGGATGGCGTATGGTTTCCGTCGAACAGCCTCCGTCAGTTGCCCGGCGTCATCGTAGCCCACATATCCTGCGGGACTTCCGATCAGGCGCGAGACGGTGTGCTTTTCTTGGAACTCCGACATATCGAAACGGATGACGGCTTGCTCGGTGCTGAATAAGAAGCTGGCCATTTTCTTGCACAGCTCCGTCTTGCCCACACCTGTAGGTCCGAGGAACATGAAGCTTGCCAGTGGACGGTTCTCACCACTGAGACCCGCACGCTGCATACGTACCGCGTTGGCTACGGCCGTTAATGCTTCGTCCTGCCCGCGGACTGACAAACGTAGTGTGTCTTCCATATGGATGAGTTTCTCCACTTCACCTGACATCAACTTGGTGACTGGAATGCCGGTGCTTTTTGAGACCACCATTGCGATGTCATCGGCCGTGACGGAGTCGTGTAGCAGCGAAGAGCCATCCGCGTTCGTGGCTCCTTCCTCTGGGATCTTCTTCTGCAATTCAGGAATGCGCGAGTAACGCAATTCACTAGCCTTGGCGAAGTTTCCATCGCGCGAGGCTTGTTCAAGCTCAAGTCGAGCCTGCTCGAGCTCTTCCTTGATGCGCTTGATGTCGTTGATTTCGGAACGTTCGCGCTCCCACTTCTCCATGAGAGCGCCAACTTCATCTTGTTTCATAGTGAGGGTGCGCTCGAGCTTTTCCCGACGTTCCTTGCTCACAACATCAGTCTCCTTCCGTAATGATTCCAACTCGATCTGAATAGTCATGATCTGTCTATCCAGTTCTTGAATCGCGTCCGGCTTACTCTCCTGCTGTAAGCGCAAAGCGCTCGCAGCTTCATCAATCAGATCGATGGCTTTGTCAGGAAGGAATCTCTCCGTGATGAAGCGATTCGAATAGGTCGCGGCGGTCACGAGCGCATTGTCGGTTATCCGGACACCGTGATGAACTTCATATTTCTCTTTCAATCCTCGCAAGATGGTGATGGTTTCCGCCACTGATGGTTCTCCCACAAGGATCGACTGAAACCGCCGCGCCAGCGCGACATCCTTTTCGATCAGGCGGTACTCGTTCAAGGTGGTAGCGCCACAGCACTGTAATTCACCTCGCGACAAAGCCGGCTTCAACAAATTGCTCGCATCGATGCTTCCCTCGGCTTTGCCCAGGCCTAGTAGGGTGTGTAACTCATCGACGAAAAGTATCACCTTGCCATTCGCCTCCTCCACCTCCTTCAACACCTTCTTCAATCGCTCCTCGAAGTCCCCCCGAAACTTCGCTCCAGCGATGAGACTGCCCAAGTCCAAGCTGATCACCCTCTTCTCTTTGATACTCTCAGGCACATCGCCCTTGACGATTCTTTGTGCCAACCCCTCCAAAATCGCCGTCTTTCCGGTTCCCGCAGCACCGATGAGCACGGGATTGTTCTTCGTTCGCCGAGATAGGATTTGGATCGTTCGATGAATTTCGCCATCGCGGCCGATGACCGGGTCGAGTTTGCCATCCCGTGCTTTGGCTGTAAGGTCCACTCCATATTGTTCGAGGGCGGGCTTTTCAGGTTCACCGCCCAAGTTCATTCGATGAGTGCCTCCTGGAGGTCGCACGGGTCCGGTTGCGTAGCTTCGACATGTTGGCAGAATGTAATGAGTTGTGAATGACGGGTTAAAGACTTGTTGTTGTTGAAGCGCAGTTGAAGTTGGCAGTCTCGAGCTCCACGCCGTACGCAGCGCCCGGGCAACTGGAATGCGCCGGAGAGCAACACGAGGTATATCGGTGATCATATCGAGCGTGGATATCATCCAATGTGCTCTAGATAATGTTCAATTCATCTGTACATCAAGAATAAATACATGCTTAGCTGGTCGGCGAGGAAATCAAAGGTCAGTTCTGGTGAATGCTCGAACATTCTTCGGGCACATGACGCCCGGCTTGGAATACAGTAGCAGATCGTGAGACGGGGATAGGGTTTGGGTTATCGCGATATTAGGGTTGCTGTGCCCACATCAGAGTGACAACTACAGATCAGCACGCGAGTCCGGTCTGCGTCGCACGTTCCTACCTAGATGGTCTATGAAGTCATGAGAGTCATGGTATCTAAGGTCACAGATGCCTGAGTGCCTGAATACCCAACAAGACGAGGTCATTCATTTTCATTCGCTTACCAAGACACATCCGCCATTTCTTGGAACACGGCGAGTTGTTGCAATGCAGAAATTGGTGTGACTCCACACCTTACAAAATTGCCGACTTGAGAATGAAAACACAACGTCAGGAACGCCATGGTCTAGACATACGATCGCCAAGCCTTTGGATGAGTCTCACTGTGGCTCAAGTCAAGGCACCAAGGAGATTCGCGATGGCAGTGCACATGCGCCATATGTACGGATCGCATGCACATGTGGACTTCATGGTAGAACCACATTATTACTCTACTTAGGGAAGCGTTCGTACCCCAAGATAAGCCTTCAGAGATTTCGTTATCACCAACGGCTCGAGAAGCGCTGTGGGAAGAAAGAAAACACCGCTTTGAGATCTCACTCGAGTTCTTACTAGCCTCGTGCGGGACATTCTTGAGAGCTTGATTGAGGGCAAGTAAGACGTTGACAAGACTTGCGTCAGCAACACAGGTGGACCGAAACTAGCGACAACCAATCGAAAGGCTTGTCTCGAGGACTACAGGGCGCCTGCATGCAGCAGCGTTGGACGACTACCACGTTGGGTGCTGTACCATATTGATCTCACAGGTGGAGAAGAAAATCACATGGCAGAGAAAAAGGAAGATCAAAGGTCAAAGGTTCAATTTCATGATGACTTCGTGGCGCATTCTATCTGAACTTCGTCATCTCATGATTCCGTGTTTGTGATATCTAAAGGACATCGACGATATCGTGGAAGGCGCCGATCACGCCATTGCTCAACGCGCGGGCCTCAGACGCAAGGCCGCCGATGAAGAGACGGGCGGTGACATCGGCAAAGCTCAAAGCGCCGTGCTCAATGTTGGCGAAGCCACCGAGAACGAAGTGAGCAGCAGACTCGCCGAGCTCCTCAACATCCTCGAGGAGGACTCCAGCGCTCTTGCCAACTAGGACGCTGAGTTTCTCGGCCTTGTCCAGAACGGTCTTGAGGCTGGCGACGGCGTCTTCGGCGACGTCTTCGGCGAGAGACTCGACGCCCTTGGCAATATGGATGGCATCGGCGATCAGGGCGTTGACATCATCGGCCGCATCGTTGATGCTCTGGGCGGCGTATTTGTCGGGGATGGTGTAAGCCTCGACTGCGGAGTGAAGTCCGCCCAAGGAGTAACCGATGGCGTCGATGTTGTGGTTGAAGCTGGCTGACACGGCAGAGGCGCCGGCGAGCAGGATGGCAGCGTTGAACTTCATGGTGAGTATTGCTTTGTTGAATGTGTTCGAGGTTCTTGAGAAATTGATTGAAGGGGGCTGATGATTTATTCAACTTCACTCTTGGGAAATCATTCCCCTATTTATGTTGACTATGATCCGTCGACCGCGATTCCTCGTCTTCAGCCCATAATTGCCGAGGTAGAAACGTGTCGTTTGGGGGAAGAGCGTTGTCGATCACAGAAAATGATGCCGTATCCACATTCTGTACATGTCGAAATCGACCATCTCGTTGATCGCCAAAGCGATCGACCCGCACGTCATTCTCAATAACTCGACTAGGTCGTTCTGAGTAAAAGTGTTGCGGTACGCTCTTGCCTGAAAAGCGGGACAGGCAACACACATTTTGGCGCCGAGATCAACGCATTGGGACTAGCATAAAGACCAGAAAGTCGTCACACTCATGATCTAGCAATTAAAATCTGTTGAGAAGGCTCTCCTAAGCTGCCAGCCGCAGTTAACTTCGATATGTTTTTCTCACACGGTTGAGCGAGTGTTACAAAATCCTGCCAAGCACAAGGAGCTGTAGTAAAGCTTATCCACTGAACTGATTAGCCAAATAGCGTTAGCGATAGTAAAAGCCCTGACTCGGATCACGGCAACATCCTAACCCGGGCGCCGCAATACCGTTGTGAGAAGCCCGAAAAGGCTATTGCGGCAGCTATACGATCATCTTTAGGTTATATACGACCAGTTTAGCGCGATGCCCACATGTCTATACGACGTGATTTTCATAACCCAGCTGCCGATCCCTCCGACGGTGTATAATTGTGCCGGATCCACCGCATTCGGGCACTGCTCTTAAATGTGGAGCTGTCGCCAGTGGGACAATATTGGATCCAGCAGGCTTGCTATACCACCCTCGGCATACTATGCGGTCATCGGTGCGGCATGCTATAATCGGGACCACATACCGTCATCGGCACGGTGTACGGTCGGAAATGCGATATACGACCGTGGGAGTGATTTTCTAGGTTCCGCACACACGCCATCCCTAGTCTGGTCTGTTTTGACTTTTTTAACCCACTCGTGATACTGGGAGATCTCGAATAAGTCTTCTGCGGTTTACTTTTGGTCATCCAAGCCGAGGTGGTGTTTTGTAGACCACCGAGGATCACGGTCTGTGTGCAATGCTGTACCTAGATATCGGGGATACCCGCACAATAAAGAATGAGGTGCGACGAAAGCGACGTGCAAGTCTTGATTCTGATATATAGTTCAGATCTCTCTTACTCCGTGGCCTGTGTATCCTCCATCAACTTCTCAAGTCAAGCTATCAAAAGCACAAGTCAAAATCATGAAGGTCTTTTCTCTACTCGCCTTCGTTGCGCCTATCGGCCTGGCTCTAGGCGCAGCCATCCCGAACCGACTAGTCCAACGGCAGTCTACCTCATCTCAAGGCACATTTGAAGCGATTGGTCACGATCTCGAGCGATTCAAGGTCGACCTCAGCCTTTTGCAAGCGTCGACCGCAGCTTATTACGGTCCTGCCAACCTTCCTGCTGGCCAGCGTATCATCAAGAATCTCTCCGATCTAGCAGCAACGCTCGAGCAAGCTACAGATGATGCGGAATCATATGCTCGATCGATTCACAGCAGTGCTCAGCAAGAGTCTGATTCCCAGCAAGTTGTTGCCGCGATCAACAGTGTTGCTCCCTACGCCCGTGACACCGTCAATACGCTCATTGACAAACGCGACGACTTGGAGGCCGGCCCGTTTGACGCTGTGTTCGGTAATGCGCTTATTCTTATCAACCTACGAACAACCTTGGATGATATCATCGACCTTGCAAATGCCCTGGTTGATGCAGTGTCGTTCGATCAAATTGCCAATGTTCGACAAGCTTTTGCGCCTATCGTCCAGGACGTCACCAGAGCATACAACTACTACACGGGCTTCTAAGCTGCCCGAGCTGCATGGATGGATCCTGAAGATATGTAATCATCGCATAGACCTCGCATCGAGCGACATGCGCCGTGCGCCGTGGCTGTCATGCTGAAAATGAATGTAATGCCTAGAACAAGAATTATGAAACATTGATGAATCGTTGCTTGTAACCTTTGAACATACGCGCCGAGTTCTGTAGTCACAGGTCAACTACGTCCTATGCTAGTAGACTAAAAAGCCTGTTCTTGAACAAGTTTGACTGGTGACAACAACGTGTTGGCCATGTATCTATGAGAATGTTCGATGAGATCGATTAAGCAAAGGTGACATGAGGTGTTGCCTCATCGAAACTTATACATCTGCACTTATACTAAAGGCACTGGTGGCTGCTGCTTGTTAGAAGGGTTCTTCGAAACGTGGACCTAATAGACATGGCTATCACTTGGCCGGGACAGGGTCAGAATGTGCAGCTCGACATCCAGCACAGAGGCGTATCCATATCACGATTTCTTGATCCGTTGCTAAATCGCCCCCTCCACCTGTAAGTAGCAGTGATCTCCGAACCATGAACTTAGCAGACATGACCTCAGTTAGCGCACCTAAAGCCATATAGATTCTAGTCAGGATATGCGCATAGATTGAGGTTGGTTGTTATGTCAGCATGGACTCTTATGTCGCTGCCGAGAATTTTCGAATTGGTGCAGGAGTAGACTCAAGACCGGCCAAGAGTCATTTCGAACAATTGTATCCCGATATAATGCGGATCATACTATTAATCGGTCAACTCATTACCACTCAACAGACTTTGCGAGGCTCCTGAGAATGTATAAACATTTCAAGACGTCTGTGTTACGGTACCCTCCAAGGAGGAAGAAGGGTCGTCGACCTCGTCACCGCCGGCTGCACTTGCCCGCAACTACGACTGTCCAAGGCGACTTGGACAGTCGTAGCTGCTGTAACCGGCGGAGTCAGACACGACATGTTATTTCGAAGTGCACAGTAGTTAGTTATTGAATCAACCTTTTCACAGAATACGTCTTGACCATGCAACATTGGTAGCTGAGACAGATTCACTGAAATCGTTGACACAACCCGAAATTTTCGCCATTTCGAAATTTTTTCAGTGAATACGACCGTACACCTCCGTGGAGACAAAAACCGCAGTCGAAAAGACGTGGCAATTCGTACTGTGATTCATACGAGCAGTCGCTCCAACGCCGCCGAGGCGGCATGACCAGTCACGAGCCCCCTTCGCCAACCCAGCTTCTGTTGGCGTATCAGCTTACGGCTTACCTTGAGAACTTCGACTTGCCGGCGGCGACGAGAAAGAGGGCGCCATACCTGCCAGACCTCGCCTTTCAGCTTGTGTCGTCGTACCCAGCACCAGACAAATACGTCCCTGCACAGCAGGAGAACGACCGCTTGGGAGAGTTCAACCCAGGCTATCCCCAAGACTGGGTGGTCGACCCTTCGATCGTGAACCGCACACTACGACGGCTGGAAAAGTTGAAAGACACAGTCGTGATCACCGAGAAGGTCGACCAGAGCCGAGAGCCGGTTTCGGAACCACCCTCACAAGAGGTGGACAAATTGCTGGGGACCGTCGCACAACCGAGAGCAAGACGAACGATCACTGAGACCCGCCACAGCCAGCAGGTCGGCATCAAGAAGCTGCGACACAGAAAGACGACTTCACGAGAGTTGAGCACGAAGAGCGCCGAACCGATCATCGAGAGCATTGAGACACCGACGGTGACTCTGCCTTCGACGACACCACGACCTCTACACACGTCAAACTTCGCGAGCGTCGAAGCACCCTCTACAGAACTCACGAGATCTACGACCTTCAGAACCAACTCGCTCCCGGCGAGTCTGGTAAGCCAGGAAGGCGTTACCACAGACAGGTCAAGCTCGGAAAGCGCACCTGCCTCCCCAAGGGCGACTGTGGCTGCCTTCGCGCCAGTCCGTCCTGCCTTCCACTTCGCATCACTCCCCCAGTCACGTCCTTTGTGGCAGAACAATCCTGTTCCTTTCGTTCCACCCTCAACAACAACCGTCCCTTGCCCACCAGTAATCCCTTCGAACACTACAGAGGCTACATCACACGTCGTTGAAGCACAGTCGTCTTACGGCCAAGCAACAGTCGCCATGCCAGAACAACGCCAGCAAGGCGAGTCGTCAAAGACTGACCCACAGCCAGCCGTCTTTTCACCGGCACAGATGCAGCAACTTATGTCGGCGATGGCGACTATGATGGACCAGAGGTTCAGGGAAAACGACGAAACCATAAACGCAAGGCTGAAGACCATTGCCGGCGACCTCTGCCAGACGGTCGACGAGCGAGCACGTGCGACGCTGGACGCTCAGTTGGAAGCGACCAGAGCAATAGCCGAGGCACAAGCCGCCCGGAAGGGCAAAGAGAAGGCGCAACCACCATACGTCGATGACACTCCGACTTTCGCGGCAGGAGTCGAGGCCAACTTAGCGAAGTCGAGAGAGGCCAGACTGAAAGCGGCCGGGGCGTTCGACGTGCGACATTCCAGTGCCCGTCGCTCACGTCGTGGTCGTGACCGCTCGTCCCGACACGGCAGGTCGAAATCAAAGAATCGTCGTCACGACTCAAGGAACACATACGCAAATTCCGACCCATCGGATTCCTCGTCGTCGGATGGTTCAAGTGTGAGTTCGACCTCATCAAGGGGCTACCGCCGTCACCACGACCGTGGGAGTCGGGTGGAGAAGTCGTACGGCAGACACCACTCCCACAAGCACCGCCAGAAGTTCGAACCAGACGTGGTGGGGTACTTCGACCCCAACTCGGATGAGACGACCACGTCTTCGAAAGGCAAGACCATATACCGCAGTGTCTACGAGTTCATCGACTCAGCAAGATACTACGGAAAGACCAACTCAAATACGAACACACGGCGACATCTTCCTAAGTGTTTTCAGGGCGAAGCCTCGACGTGGTTCACTTCGCTGTCGGACGAAGAGAAGGACGACCTGCGCGGCGGCGACGGCATCGAGCGATGGATCAAGGCGCTCACCGACCAATTTGGTGTTGACTACGCCCAAGCTTGGAAGAAGTTGAACGCACTGAAGTTTGGACTTTACGAACTTCACCAGGGCACTCCGATCAAGACGTTCATCTACGAATGCATCCGATGGGCCAAAGAGGGTCGTATCACCGAGACGAAGGACCAAATCACCCAGGCGTGGATGCGCATTGACCCACGCCTCACCGTCTTCCTCACCGCACCTACGCCTTCAACCACAGTTTCGCAATTCACTGCCCAAGCGGAAGCGAAGGTGGATGAATGGCTGTACGTTTTCCCCAAGAACAACGGACGCCCGCCCGGGTTGTTCGTCCAGCCCGGCTTCACAGGACGCAACACTTACAACAGTCGCAATCCGTACCAGCCAGTGAGCTTCGCAATGCCACCACAAGGCGCGCCCGTCTTCCCACAAGTCCAGACGACCTTGCCGTTGGCACCAGTCGCGAACAACCGACTGCAGGGCGGACAAGGTCAATGGCGCCAGTGGGGTTCAACGTCTCAGGGTCAGAGGCCGAACGGACCAGCAGGTCCACCACCCGGTCGAGACACAGGTGCTTGGCCGAAGCAAAACGCCTGGTCGAAGCCGAGAGACGCCCCAGCCAACCGTGGACTATCAAACCCCAACTGGTCAAGACCAAACAATTGGTCGACCAACCAGGGGCAGTCGAACAACAACAACAATTGGACGAAGCAAAATGGCGCCACGGGAAATCAAAATTCGACCAACAACTCGTCAGGACGCCCAAACCAAGGTCACTTCGGAGCCAGCAGACAACAGAATCAGCCGGCGGCATCGAACCACATCATTGAAGAAGTCGAATCGTCCCCGGAGCCCATTTCAACCGCAGAACCGCAGAGTTTGTATTGGGTATACGACACGCCACAGGAAGACGACGAGTCAAGCGCCGCGTTTTACGGACGCACCCTTGACTACGACGAAGAGCCATCCCAAGGCGGGGACTACCCACAAGACGTCCATATCCATTTTTGCGGCACCAATCGAATGGTCGCAGAAACAGGGACGGAGCCGGTGTTGACAGAACGCAAACTGCAGGCGAAATGTTCACGTTGCAACCAGATCTTCACTTCGAGAAATCAGCTGAAGAAACACGACTGCGACTCCCCGTCAAAGCAGCCACAACCAGTCAGCGTCAAAGACGTCAAAGTCAAGAGATCTGTGGGCGCAGATCGAGTGCGACATGACATGCAATTCGCAATGCGTGGATTTCACTACTTGCGAGTTGGCTGCAAATTCGAGGTGAAAGGCGCAACGCACCATGGTTGCCTCGACACAGGAGCGACGCTTTCGTCCATCGACAGAACCTTCTTGTCGAAGGTGGCGCCAAAGGCGACACTGCAAAAGCTTGACAAGCCAATGAATCTGCATGGATTGGGCAAAGCCGTAGTGGACGATTTTGTCGTCCTGTCCTTCTGGGTTCCAGCAGTCGTCCGTCACGAAAAGATCATGGTCGAAATGGAGCACCCGTTCTTGGTGCTGCCCGACCTTGACGCCAACTTTCTGGTCGGAATGGACATCATAGGGTCAGAACAGATCCAGATCGACATCCCCAGGAGATGGGCGACCATTGGGTCCTGCGAAGACGCCAAGGTCCAGCTACTGGTGAACAAACAGGACGACAAGCGCTTCCAGACCGTCGTCCAGACAGCGGACAACGTCACGGTCGAACCGCTGACAGTCTGTCGCGTCCCAGTCTCGCTCAGGAAGGCCATCCCAACCAATCGCGATTTCGAATTCATCCCAGAAGACGAAAGTCTCAAGAACAACGCATTGGGGATGTATTCGCACCTTGCTGACCACACGTTGTCGCACGTGTTAGTCCGTAATGACTCTAAACTACCCCAGGCTATTGCGAAAGGTACACGCCTAGGACGTCTGAAGGAGCTTGACGTCTCAGGGTTCTACCAACTCGACTCAGCAGACCATGGACTCGCTACGACAAGGCCACGTCGACCAGACCCACAGCTCGAGTCGGAGCTTCCCAACGGGGTCACCATTTTCGGCAAGGCAGACGAGGCAGACCGCCTGGCGGAAGTCGTGCGAAAACACGAACGCTTGTGGGTCGACAAGGGCACGACCGTGAAGGTCGACAAGGGCACGACCGTGAAGGTCGACCCTGACCGTTACATGCGTGTCAACCTCGTAGACGACTGGAAGGAGAGAGCCTCGAAGCTCTCTTCCAAAATCTACCCGCTGGGCCACGAAGAAAACGAAGTGGTACGCACAGTGTTCGGAAAAATGCGCGAACAGGGCAAAATGGAGTACACTTCGAAGCCAACGCCCTTTGGCTTCCCGGTCTTCGTGGTGTGGAAGGTCACAGTCGTAAATGGAGTCCGCAAGCGGGTGGGCAGACCTGTTGTCGACATCCGTCCGGTCAACGGCATGGCAGTAAAGGATTCGTACCCACTGCCACTTCAATCCGACATTATTACAGCCTTGCTGGGATGTCGTTACATCACAGTGATAGACGCAGTTTCATTTTTCTACCAATGGCTCGTCGCAGAAGACGACCGCCACAAGTTTACCGTCAACACGATCGACGGGCAGATGCAGTTCAATGTCGCAGTAATGGGTTACTGCGGAAGTGTGCAATACGTCCAGCGAGAACTGGACCACATCCTGCGTGACTGCCGGGACTTCGCCCGAGCATACATAGACGACATTGTCATTTTTTCGAAGACCCTGGATGACCACGTCGACCATCTCGACAAAGTTTTTGGGACGCTGGACGCCTTGGACGTTACGATCAGCCCCAAAAAGTCGTATGTCGGGTACCCATCCGTCACGTTGCTAGGCCATAGGGTCAATGGTTTCGGATACACGACGCACGAGGAGAAAGTCGAAGCCATCCTTAACGTCAAATTCCCCGAGACTTTCGCAGACCTCGAGAAGTACATCGGCCTCACCGGTTGGCAACGAATGCACATACCCTATTTCGCCCAGATCACCGCACCGTTGGAAGCACGAAAGAAAGAGTTGCTGCAGGACCTGCCGTACAGCGGCAACTCAAGGCGCCATGCAGCAAAAAAGACGAAGCTGTGGGAAAATTGCGACAGAGAAGCCCAGATCAATGCATTCGAAATGATGCGGGATGTCTTTCGCAATGTCAATATGCTTTGGCACCCCATACCTGTTGAAATGTGAGGAAGAAGGAAGAAGATTCTTTTTTTTTTCCCCTTTTTTTCTCGGAGGGTGGACAGACCCTATTTATGTACCCCTTGCCTGTCCACGCTATGCACCATTGCCACCAACATTTAACAATACCATCCAGGCGTAAATACCTGGACATCGACGCATCGAAGGCCTGGGGCTTCGGAGCAGTGCTCTACATGGTAGAAGGCGACCCGGACCCAATCATCGAGGGCGGCTTGGCATACAACTTCGCGTCGGGACCCCTCCGTCCATGCGAACCGAACGGCATCATCTTGACTTGGTACTGGTGGCACAAGACCCACAGGAACAAGACAAACTTCTCACCCGGACAACTGACACGAGCGCGTGCTCACCAAATGGAGACGGAAGCCCGCGCCAAGGTCGTAGAAATCATCGAAGAAGACGACCTCACAGAGGCAGACTTCGTTGAGATCGCTAAAGAACAGATGCGTGCGAACGCACAGGTTCTTGCCCTGGGCGACCCTTGGGGCAAGACGAAGCCCAAATACCAAGAGCCACGCTTGGACTGTCTGAGAGGCGAGGCCCAAGAGGAGGACGTCCGTGGGGACATGTGCGAGTGGTT